TTTTTTTTTTGCTTTCTCTTATGTTTCTACTCTGTGCCTGTGACTGTGCTGCTATCAAGGAGGGGTCGCCCAAGGGGCGACCCCGGTTTCTTGTATATATAATCATAGTAATTTTTCATTCCAAAGACTAGCCCTCACATGCTAATTATCGCTGTGAGCATCCCCAGAAATCAGTTGTTCAACCACTCGCTTAGATTAGGCTTCGGTCACTTTCTCGGTTAGGGGATCCCATATTTATATATATCCTTAGACGTTCAACTATGATGCAAGGTCGATGTTGGTTTATGTGAAAAACTATTGGAAAGAGGGAATCAGATGCAGGCAGAACATTTTATCCAGTCTTTGGGTTTTTGCTTCGGCAGCAGAGTGATTGCGCATGAGAGCTATTTGCCTCTTCGTGAAAAAAGACGCTGGCTCCTCGAAGAACACCATAGGTGAACATTATTCAGCGGAAACACCGCGCACCAGGTAACCGTGTTATTTGTATTCATCGAAGCCGACGCCCTTGGAGCCGGCAACATCACGACATCCATTCACTTTCCACCAGCCTATCACTTTCTAAGTGTCTGCGTGTTGTTTCTTTTCTCCCCGTTCGTTGGCTCCATCGGTTCAGGATCTGACAGTGTTCCAAAACTTGGGCCTTCACGAGCCAACATGACCCTGCTGATCTAAGGAGGATGATATTCATATTTTTGAATTGTAGTTTCAGGTCTCTTATTTGTCTGAAAGCACATTGCTTGCGTTTTGTTCCAACGTACATTAGTAATTTTCAAATCTAAGCACCTCGACACTCCCACTGTAGCGGAAAGGGCTTGAGGTAGACCGGACCCGTTCCGTTGAGGAATCCATTTTCGATTTCCTCTAAACCCGTGTTAAAAAACATGGACCCAAAACCTTGCCCGAAAAAGCGTGAGTCATGAATTTCCAACCGATCGATGAACATGATGCCACGCTTTCCCCATACCGAAGGGAAAGATTTGAATATTGGAAGACTTGTCGGATCATCTCCCAGCATTTTCTCCACATTTGTGCACGCGTTCATCATATTGTAAAGCGACTGCGATTTCCCGTCAATCTCCATGCAGAGGTCACCAAAATCTCCTCTCACCACTGCCACATCCACCGCAAAGCCTGGAACCAGATTGACCGTCATCTTGCCGATCTCCAATTCCTTTTTAGTTGTGTACTCGTTCTTGGTCAGCTTCGGAAAAACATGCTTCGCTACAGCAAACGAGGAACAAGATTTTGCGTAAGGAGCGTACAACCATGCATGCCACGTTCGGACAACCTCTAGATAGTCACTTTCTTCATCCCCTGTCAATCACCGACCTGTGTGTCACGAAGGACGACACGGCAACTCTTCATGAAGTCCTGCGGTAGATTCACGCGCTTCGGTGTCGCAGGTCGGGCACGCTTCGAATCAGCTTCTGTGCCCTCTTGGAGGCGCCATTTCGAAAGGGTCCCATCTGCTTCTACCGGCATCCTTTTCACACACTGCAAACTTTGTTAATCTACTTTTTCCATCAAGTTCGAGACAGAAGAACTATGGTTATCCAATATCTTTTTACAACATGCACGTCTCAAACTCAAAGTCAAAACAGAATAATAGTGGGTGGAACATTCCCAATGATGTCATTTCCACTTGTACGTGGTAACACAGTGCTTTAATAAACTTACTCGCAGGTTTTCCTTTTCATCATAGACCACGTTATCAATCCGTAGACGAACGAACAGCAGGATAAGTGGCCAAGCCGGTGGGACCCCTTGACTCTGTCGATGACAACACGCGTAGTCCGGGATATTCTGCCATTAGAGCCAGGAAACGGCAGGAAAGTAGGTTCACATGCGTTAAAGACATCGGCATTCCTTGGCAATGGTGCACGTAATATGCGGAATCTGGCCTAATGCTACCACCAAATAGAAGCACCAACCACACCCGCATATCAGAGACCCTGGATTTCTTTTTGTTTTCAGCAAGTGTTTCCCCTAGGACGTACAGGTCCACTGGTACCAGCAAGAAAAACAACTACGTAGTGGCTCTTACCGCTGACGTTGTTGATCGATCTATCTGGTATCACATGCCCATAGAAATCGATTCAGATCGCGATGGCGTCACGAATCCAAGAAAAGAAGAAACTGTAATTTCTAGAACAACTTCTCTGCTCTTACCCACAGTAAGCTATCAGCAAAAACATACTAGACACCCAACAATTAATAAATTTTTACACGACAACATTGATTGACTTTTACACATTAGTGTCCGCGAAAAGAAGTAGAGCATGAAGTTGCAGACGAACCCTTTCAAAAATTCTCAAATCCTTCGAATAGGTCATCCGGAATCGCCACTTCTTCCGGTGCTTCAACACTATCTGGATACTCTTGAAAATTTCGCGCGTCAATAACGGACTCGAGCTCTGGTACGTAGGGCGCGGGGATCTGTTTTGGTTGTGACGAGTTTATGCTGATGAGTATCCATCTTCTTACCATGTTATCATGAGAGGAGGAAAAGATGAAAGGGGACTCGAAAGATAGACAGATTGATCCTTTTGGGTCAATCTGTCTAGAACTAGGCCGCAATATGAATATTAAGAGCTAAATTAGAAAACAAACAACGACCCCGCCAAACTCTCACTCTTCCACTTCTGACCCATGAACTCACGAACTCATGAACCCACCCACGAACGCACGAACCTAGGAACTCACGAACTCGCGAACTTATGCACTTGGTTAGATTTCACGCAGATTGATGGGTGCTAAATCTAAAATTTACGCGATAGGGTCAAAACTTTTACAATTTGACTGAACGCAAAAAAGTTTAGCTTTTCTCATGAACTTGCGGCTGCGAACTTCTGAACTTCTGAACTTGGTTAGATTTCGCGAGCTAATTTCATTCGTGGGCGCTAAAGTCAAAAACTTTGTCCAAAAAGCCCAAGCTTTTGACTTTATCAGCGAAAGCCCTATCCTCAACCCCAAGGCCGAACGCGTAAGCTTAAGGCTTAAGGCGCTAAGCTGAAAGCCCAAACCTGAAGCAAAGCGCACAGCTGAAAACTCGAAGTCGAAACTTCAAAATTGAAAGCTCAAAAGTGAAAGCTCAAAGCCAAAAGCTCGAAGCTGAAAGCCCCAAGCTAAAAGGCCAAAGCTGAACGTTTGAGATCAAAAGCGGCGCCTCATTGTCTCAAAATTTCAAACTTGAGACTGGAAACCCAAGTTTTTTGATTATATCGAGAAAAACGAAACCTAAAAAGTTCCCCCTTCGGAGTCTTTCGATGGTTATCACAAGAAGAGGAACTTTCACAAGTTGCAAACTCGAGCGCTGCAACTTGCACGCAAAGAAGGCCAAACCTACCAAAAGAAGAGCAAACCGACAGGCCAACGGCTTCGATCTGTGCCTTTTTAATCAATGGCCGCACGCTCTTGTTCCAACGATCAACGCCGCCCGACGGTTGTCGGGCGGGGGAGGAGCCGGGGGAGCGAAATCGCCCCGGGGTTGAGGAAGTGCGTGCCGGGGGTGGATGGTCCTAGTGGGAGGAGTGCTACCGGGCGCTCAAGTCTAGTAAAGTTGCTCAACAAGTCTTGTATCTCAGTCAAAAATCAAATTCCCTCGTACCTCCTTCCGCAGTATGTAATCCCAGGGTGTCTCGAAGAAGTAGTTCTGCGCTTTCACATCGGCCGCTCCGTCTCTAGAGCCTAATCGCTGGTCGGGACTTGCCACTAGTAAGGCCAAAATTAGCTCTTCTTCGAATTGGACCATTCCCACGTCTGCACCCCACGCATCCACTTCCCCTGACGTTTGAAGACACAGACATCGAGGATGTTCAACATCACATCAACAGACAACATCAAGCCGTAGATGATATTATATTCATCTATATAATTTGAATTTCATCTAAGTAGTACAACCATGTTGGCTATGCATCGGCCAAAAGTGCTTTCTTACACAGGTAGCCAAATCGAAAAACTTACCATCTAGAATCTTCCGGTAGAGTTCCGTGATGTCTCCCGAAACGAACGGTGTGGTGCCGACCAGCATTTCGTATAAGAAAATTCCAAAACTCCACCAGTCAACTCGCTTATCGTGACCAAGATTCAACAATATCTCTGGCGCCAAGTACTCGGGTGTGCCGCATATGGTGTACGTTTTCTCTGTACACTGTTTTGCAAACCCGAAGTCCACGACTCGCAAATACCCGCTCTGTTTTTGGTTTTTGAAGGAAATGATGGGAACAGATGATAGCAAGCGCACGTAAGACTTTCCATGATTTCTTACGAAAAATGAGAGGCAGAAGGAGTCCCCAGTTCTACCACATGGCATTTTCTAGTTACCTCTAGTTCTAGACCTAACAAGGAATACCGCATCGATGAGAAGATTCTCGGATTTCGTGTCGCGGTAAGCAATGTCGAATCGATGCATATGCTCAAATGTCAGCACCAGTTGACATGCGTAGAAATAAACCCTGCAAGTTTCAATAAGACGATTAGAGCATCTCCTCTCATGAGACCGTGCCGAAAATTAATGTATAAGTACGAGTAGAATCAGTCGAAAATCACAACACAAAAACAAACTTCCGTTAGTAGAAATTAAAGAAGTTGTAATTCATTTTCGTTACAGGTCCTTCGGGAAGCGTCCCATCAATCGCAGCATGGTAAATATTTCTCCACCCGGAACATACTCAAGCAGCATGTAAAGATATCGCGCATCCTGATACGTGCGATGGAGCGTTACTATGAAGGGGTGATCCTTCAATATTCCCAGCACATCCCGCTCAGACACCGTATGCTCCTGAAGAGTGTGAGAAGACACAAGGTGATGAGAAGACGTCTTCTATTCAAGAGTAAACCATGATGCAGAGGCTTCTTCTAGCATGCATATTGAGTATAGTCGTATGCAAGGAGTTCTACCTCCTGTTTCAGCATAACGATGTCGCTTTTCCGCAATATCTTGAGCGCGAAAGGTAAAACTTGTCCGTCTTTTGTGTCAGCCACTAGCGGCGCCACGGTTTCAGGTCTAAAGTTCTTTGGGCGCGTTGATGACGAGGAATTTCCAACTTCGAAGGAGCCAACGGATGTGTTGAAATTACCTGGTTGGTAGCTTGCTAGTGCTCTAGACTGTGCTCAATTACAATGGCGCTAGCGGCTGAAAACTTTTCGGTCTCTTAGAAATAGATTGAAATTGTTCATTATTTCTGTGAACAAATTCACAGAAGATGCTTAGCTAGTCAGTACTAGCACAAATTTGCTTCTCCAAATAATTGGCAGAAACTGTACCTTGAAGCAGCGCCAATCGTATCCTACTATAACTGCCCACTCCTAAAGTTTTTTGTATCGCGAAGTTGGAGTGCACATCGTCAGCTTGGTCGACAGCGTTTGATAAAAACCTCTGCTGTTCTTTCAGCTCGGGACTTATCGCTGCTTCCTGTGCGCATAGAGGGATGATATGGAGACAATTCAGGACGAGGGACTTTGAACGAGAAAAATTATCTAAGTGCTTATCCATGGAAGGTTTTTTTCCACGTAATTCTCCACTAGATTCAGTTTCCGACACGACAAAAAAAGATAAAGTACAACGTGCGATCCTGCATCATCAGGTTCGCTTCTGTGGCTGAGATTTCCTCCAGGTAGTGTGGTTTCCTGCTGCATGATCTGATTTCGTTTCGCCGCCAAAATGTCTTCCTGTAGCTCTACGAAGCTAGCACCTGGCAGGATTTCATCACGTGTGCCGAGTCTACAGCTCGAAGGATCCGTCGGTGACGGAACGATCTTGCCGTAAGCCGCTCTCGCTGCGACTCCGGCGGACCCTGGGCTGCGCATTGGTGAGTGGATTGCAACTGGCCCACTGGGAACGAAGGTCGGCTGCACCAATGGTGCCGCAGCAGTCGAAGTGGGAGTCGCCAAAGATACACCCTCAACTGCAGGCCTCAGCTCTGGCGCATCTCCTGATGCTGGTGCTCCTGCTCCTTTGTCCACTGACGAAGCAGACGCATCCCCTTTCTCGTTCCGGCTTTGTTCAAAAGCAGTTAACACTAGGTCAGACGTTTCTGGTGCAATTACGTTTCCTGTCGCAACTGCTCCTGGACGTTCCAACAACTTTCCGCCCACGTTGCCAGCACAAGACGAGCCGCATTCTGCACCCGAAGCACACGATGACGAGACCTCGTCGTGTATCGTTGACGAAGAATCGCCGGAAGTCGATGGCGCGTCCTTGCTCACGGAAGTAGATGCGGCACTGGGAAGCTGCAATGGTGGGACAACTACGTTTTTTTTAGGTTCGATCCGAACCAGAGTGGAGCTTTCCTCCTTATCTACTCCGCAGATCTGCTGTACTAAGCCCTGAAAACACACCATTTTCCTCAAAAATAGAAAGCCTGGTGCCAGCAAGGACAGAAAAAACGTCTAGAAGTTGCACCACAGAGGGAAAATGCGGAGCGTGAACATATTGCGTGGTTGTGATCTTCATAGACAGTATTACACAAGTGGCCGACCGCTTCAAAGGCACACACTTGCTATGGAAGTTTATGTTTCGACTGAATCCCGATTAATAGCAGATCACATGTCCTCTTTCACCATCCTTCGCTCGAGTCTCAACCTACTTACTTTACTCAAGATCGCGGGAAAAGATATCAATTCAAAGCTAGACGGAACTGTCGGTTGTGCTGCCCTTCATATAATCCGCCCGGATATGAAAAGAAAAACTACATTCTGATTCTTATTAACATCACACATGTGAGATGGCGCTTGTCCTGTCCTCTTCCTCATTCGCTCAGGAAAATATCCGCTTGCTGTAGTTTGATGGTTTGGTCTTGGATACCTGGCCTGTGATAAGCTCATCCTGGCCTGTGTGACTGTAGTTTGATGGTTTTGCGGATGATCCAATGTTATATATAAAGTAGATGAAAGGGTGCAGCGCGACCTTGAAGAAGCAAATCAGCCTGCATGAAACAACACGTGCTGCTCTGTGCCAATGATGGCTTTACGGTCCGATTCCAAACCGCATCACCGCGCAGTGCGTTGCGTTTTGCTTCGCCCTGTTCTTCCTTTCCGTACTATCAGAAGTAATCTTGTCGTTTGAATTGGATATCCAAACTGTTATGCAGCAGCTGAATGCATGTACAGAAGCATGTCAACCAAAAAGTTGAGGAAAAGAAACAGACTACAAGGGAGACAGGGTGCATTCAATTCCGTTTTCGAATGGCATATGTTTTCAGTAATTTCGAAATCAACTACACGTGTTTAACACGAGTACCTGTGGCTAATTATGCTTGTTAGACACTTTATGTGACAGCCGTTGATGACAGACGGAGAGCCTCCCCTGTCTATCAGATATCAAGCTCAGCGAATATTCTACACATGCCATGTCAGTCCCCGAGGGGAGACTGAATAGGTCCCATTCAGCGGAGACTGACTTAGGGTTTTGGGGGTAACTCAGTCATATATCGGGGGCCGTCTCTGAAGGAAAAACTTACACAACACGATCAATGATTTGACAACGAAAAAACGTTACAACTAGTCAAAAATGTATCGGAAATTTCGGGCATTGATTCCTTTGCCTGGGCAGCCTCCTTGCAGTATCTCCACTGCACCTGCTGCTGCCTGAAGTCAAGATTAGATAGTATCCTGTGACACTACTAGATTCAAAAGATCATTGAGTTTATTCTTCTACATACTATGGTCCTGCAGAAGCTACACCTCCCCTTCGATGCTCGTGCAGAAGCAACAAACAACTCTAACTCACTAATTGTACTTTTTTCCAACCAAACACGCTTAGATATGGTCGCATGAATCTTATATATATGTAAACTCAACCAAACTTTCCAGAGTCTTCTTAATTAGAAGAGTAAGATGAAAAAGAAAGAGATGGTGGTGCTGAGCCATGGTTTTGGGATGAATAGCGAAGTATTAGTGTCTATCATCAGAAGAAAATGAGAAATAAAGTTTAAATAAACTACTAACCGCTTGTTATTGAAGAATCTTGAAGGACAACAAGATCAAGGACATCATTCATGTTGACATAAACTTATTCATCAGTTGCGGAACAGCGATGAGCGGCATTATTACAAAACGACGAATCACAGAAGTTAGTGATAGCATTGATTCTAAGCAAAGCCTTTATATTCATGAACTTAGCTATATTCACAAAACAAAATCGATCATCCATTCTCTAAAACTATGTTGTAACCCCTTATATATAATAGGCACAAAGCATTTTGCTTCAGAATCTTTATCAATATGACTCCTCTATTCGAATGCTTTCTGCAGTCCGCGATGCGCAGAGGCTGAGTATTCCGCTACAAAGAAGTCGCATTCTGCCTTTACCCTTTCCAAGGCTTCGAAGAGGACTGCCGGGCACTCTAGTCCCTTAATGTGCAAACGGAAAAGACCTTGGTCTAACTCTTCCTCGATATCATTGAGCAAAGCCTCGTGATCTTTGTTTTGAGGCAAACTTGTAGTTCCGCTTAAACAGTAGTCTGTTGGAGATGTAGTCGATAACGCGGGTGAATTCGTAATGATCTGAGGCGCGCAGGTCATCGCGGAAACGAAATTTCTCGCGCGTTTGCTCCGAGTTTCGGTTGCAGCTGGTATAGTTTCGCTGTTCTCGGCAGCTTGAGCATCATTTTCATTTCCTTTTTTCGCGGATACATCCATATCCTCTTTGCGACGTTCCTCCAGAACTTCCCGTAGGGCGTTTTGTAGAGCCTCAACTGCGTCGTGACGCATCCTAGCGCCCACTGCCAATCGCAAAAATCGTTCGAAGTCAGTTTCTGCTGCATCCTTGCAGGTAGAGGAAAAACTTGTCGATCCGTAGGCTGCTGCACGAGCCAGCATCGAGTTCAAATTCCTGTTGAAAAACTTGCTTCTGACCCAGCGCTCACCAGGTCTCGTGGAAGAGGACGACGAGGATATCGAAGGATGAGCATTATCTGATGTCGTCCAAGATGCGGGATCCTCTGTCAATTCGAGTCTAAAAGTCGAGCTTGTCCCTAGTTTTTCACGAGTTGTTTCGCTCGACGCGGACCATATGCTCGCACTTTCTTTCTCCCGTCGCAAGCAAACTCTATACTCAGATGGTGCCACTGGTTCTCCCAGTGGACCGGCCACAACTTCAGCTTCTTTCTCTAAGAAGAGCGCGCTTTTCCAACGTCGGAGCAAATACTTCAAAGCAGGATGCGAATGAAGATACAGCGTTACAGGCTCTTCGATCGGAGCACAGTCCGATTTCGATGAATCAGGATTGCCTTGTTTAACATGCTGCGGTAGACCGGACATCTCGGCTCCTGAAGCTGGCTGAATATTGGATGATGAACTTGACGCTGATGAAGCGAAACCAGAAGAACTCGATGAGGGTTCCTGTTGACCAGGAGGTTGCTGTGTGATTGATGCTGCAGCGTTTAAGTTCGCCCGTCGCATACCTGACGTCTTTCGTGTACTGACCAGCATGTCCTCGTACCCCAACTCCTCTGCCACGTCACTGTTCTGTCTCGGCAAAGTTTGTTGATCGGATGCCCCTGGAGGCCCCGAGATAGACTGAAAGATGGAGGGAAAACTCGATCTTGTCCCTGAAGATCCTTGGGCACAAGTCAAGGCCATCACATCCGGCAAATTGCGGTCGAAGACACCCCGAACGAGATCTCGAGAAGCTATCTCAGGACGCAAACGTAGCGTCACACAGTATTCTGGCACCATATTCAGATACTCGGGTGTCCCCAGATGTGTCCAGCGGCCCTCACTTTGAATCGCCACCTGCGAGCACAACAACTCAGCCTCATCGATGAGGTGCGTTGTGAGGAAAATAAACCTCTTTTTTTGCTCTGCTGCGAAAGTACCTTCTCTATCTGCGTTGGGACCAGAAATAGCGATATCCGTGTCGCCACGACCTGCTGAGGCACCTTCCTCAAAAGATGAACTCCCTTCGAGTATACGACCGGTGGAATTCTTATTCTCGGATGACGCTCCTTTGTTCCCATCAACATTTGCTGCAAATTCGCGAAAGAAACTCCACATCTCCCGTCTTCCCACTGGATCTACGCCTGTTGTTGGCTCGTCCAGCATCAATACTTGTGGAAAATCCAGTAGAGCCACTGCCACCATGACTTTCCTTTGTACTCCGCCTGAAAGCTCTGTTGGAAAATAGGTCCTGTAATGCTCCAGCTTCAACTTCTCTAGCAAGAAATCTACTTGTGCCCGCCGATCGTCATGAAACCTACCACTTGTGGTTGCCAGCGGTGAGGTTACCTTGGAGGTTGAAACAAAAGATGCACTACCTGCACCAGCACCTTGTAGCTTTCGCTGATGCTCTTCCACGTTGTTGCTCTTGCTCGCTCGCTTCAAGGCAAAGAAAAGGTTCAAGTTCTCCTCAACCGTCAAATCAGGGAAAAGGACGGAATTTCTCTGCGGACAATAACCGACTAAGCGGCGAATCTTCTTCAAGTCTCTATCTTTCGTCGCGTCTAACCCCAGGACATGAATTTGTCCGGCTGATAAGGCTTCGCCCCCGAGGATCATCTTCAGGAGAGAGGACTTGCCACTCCCGTTATGTCCTAGAAGCCCAAAAATAGCAGGCTGCGATCCCGCGTCCAACCCTAAATGCCAACGTTCATCTGGGGTCAGCTGTTGCTGTGCATTTGCTCCAGACGGACCCGGCAACGCATTATTTTTCTCAGAGGCAGATAATTCTTCACTCTTCATGGCTGACGAAAAACTCCACGTCACGCCTCGCACTGCGTGCACAGGCTCCTCTGCACTTCCGCGGTAAACTTTGTGTACGCCATTAAGGCACAGAAACTGATTATCCAAAAAATGTTGAGGATTTGCATATCCACTCATTTGTTCGCCAGTTCTCCCGGTTCGATCGTTTTTTTTCGAACCCGATGCGCCATAGTTGATATCTCCCTCTCCATTCTCTCCAAGCCCGTTCTCTCTACAATACTGCTTCCCGGGTTCACAGCGGCCACCTCGAGCAAACTGAGCATCCAGTGACGGTAAGTCCTGGCCAAGAGATGGGAGAGCAGCGGTCGCCATGGCTAGGTTCGCTGCTGCAATTGTGGTATTAGTTACTGCACCATTATCGTCTTTTGACATCTTATTGCTGTTTGCACCTCCTACGCCGCCCCCAAGAGCACCCGTATCGGCCCCATCCCTATCTCCGGCAAATTTCCTCAAGGAGTTCAGGGTTGCTTGCCGCAGGGTCAAGCCGACACGCTTTTTCTCCTTCAGGACTAATGGATCCACTAAAGCATTCGAGACTTCTAGCGCTTCCTCCATCTTTAGACGCTTCATGTAGCGACGGAAAAAACTGCGTTCTTGCTCTGCAATGCCCTTCCGTCGTCGCAGGCAGCAACACAGCACTGCTCCTAGATTGCTCAACACGCGCAGAGTCTTTTCTTCGCAACCCACACGCCGTTGCGTGGTCCGCAGGCGGGACTCAGCGACTTTTCGCGATCGCGTCTTCAAGAAGTTACCTCGTCCATGGCCGGTCCCATCTTCATCAGAAGACTGCTCTCCACCGAGAAGCTGCTGCTGCTCGTCGTTGGGCTCTTCCGTTGCCGAAACTTTCGATGTCCGCGCCGTGGTAGCTTTGCTACCTCCATTGCGTTCGTCATCCTCGTTGCGCGTGACGTCGCGCAGCACATGCACGTCACCGTACGCAAGGGCGCGCCACCAGCGAGACTTGCAGGAAAGCATGGTCGAGCGATCAATGGATTGACGACCGCACTTTTCGCGCAGCAGCTGATCCTGTCGTTTCAATATGCGGAAAAACCGCCACAGAATCGCTAGCGTCGTGAAAAAGAGTACATCGAAGCAGCCGAGGAAAAACCGCAACAAGGCTGGCCGATAGAGAATCAATTGGTTCTGAAGCTCATTTGCGTTCCGGTTCTGCAGCTCTGTCTCGTCCTCGCTCTCGGACATCCCGGCGACCTTGATCTCCGGTAGTACGGTCGACGGCGAGCCGGCAACTAGGCGCTCTGCGTCCCGGCGACCTTCTTCCTGCAGCTGAGCAAATCTCTCGGCTGCGGTGATTGCAGCAGGCACCCCTTGTTGGGCTGCTGTTCTAGGGTCCGTGGCAATCCCAACGCCGGTAGAGGATGAGGAAGAAGGTGCATTGTTCCCACTCGAACTCGATGAAGTTGTAGGATTGTTAGTCAACATAGTTCCATCTGTAAGAGCTGAGGCTTGATCGTATACTTCCTGCTGCGGCGTTGCTTGCATTATTGCTGGCGCTTTCGTCGACGCAGACACTGCATCTGCTGTTGAAGACTCTCTGGTGTCCCTCGACGTCCTTGACGATGTTGTCGGAGTAGATGTCTTACCTTCACGCGCAGATGTAGAAGTAGTTTCTCGGGGTTCAATCGCTGTGGGCGGCGCTGTTAGTCCTGAACTAACGAGGTAACTCAAGTCGACCAACGCAGTCAGAAGTGCCTGATTCGGAATGACGAAGAAATCCTTTAGCATGATCTTATCGTAGAGAAGACCATAGTCTAGTCGCTTCTCAGCTTCCGCGTTTATGGCCTCGTCCTGCGGCTTGCGTCGTAGCTTTTTGAGGCGTCTCTCTAGATCCGCCTGCTTCTCGCTTTTCGTACGCGGTCCCTTTCCAGTTCGCGGTGCCGATGTTGCCACAAAAAACGATGTTCCGCCAGGCCGGTTTCTCGGCGCGTGGTTGCCGACAGAGTCCACAAAAGCAGCGTCCTGCTCCTGATCGTAAGAGTTACTAAGAAATCACTGTTATAGATCGCAATATGCAAAATGCGACCAAAGATGATCCAAATTCTAGCGAAAAGAAACAGATAACAAACTCTGACGATGTATCAACATAGTCCACTTAAAAGAAGGTAATTCTAACTTTAAAAGTTGATCAATTCATCAGTACCCCAGCTGCCGGAGTGGATTCGGCCGAGTCGGTCGTCGCAACACCACTGGCCGCTTGCTCGCCCAATGTTGCATCACTAGCACCAACAACGCTGCGTCGTTGTCGTTTTAAGGGCGCGAGCCAATGCCATGCACGCGCTGCTATCGCGCGCAGCGTGATGGCAAGAGGAAACTGCCAGAGGCTCTCGGCAGATGCGCGCAGAAACGTAGCAATGTCCGGCATCACGACATCACGTTGAAACACCACAGAACTGAGCAGAAAAGACTCCCTGTCCACTTGAACCAGCGTCGCGAGAGTTTCCGGGGAGTTAGCCCGTGGAATCGGCGTCGCGTCCGCCAGCTTACTTCGATGCGTCTGCCACAATGCGTACTCCCTTGCAAACTCCGCGTGAAAAAGCTCCGGCTTGTGCCGCACCAGCACTTGGCGCTTCACATCCTCCCAGTGAAACGTTTTCAAGTCGAAGTCGAAATAGGCAAACGCGACCTTCCAAAGTTTCTTTCCCAAAGCCGGACCATACTTTTGGCACAGCTCCTCCTTCGTGAAAAAATTTCCGTTTGGTCCTCGTCTCCGCGAGCTCGCATGCCACACCTTCTGCCAGTCCTGCTTGAAACGCCTCACGAAATCTTGCTTGCTCAAGTAAGGACCAATCTTGTAGAGCTGTGTTCGAGTAAGCGGAACAGGTGCTTTACGCGCGATGTTGCGGAAGATGATAGGCAAGTTTTCACCCTGACCTGGAGCCCCGCTTTCGAGACGATACTGGAGATCCAACTCCGGGACCTCTTGCAAATACCCAAAGTCTAAACGGTCCAACTGCCGGACTCGCCCACTAGCGTTACGGAAACGCACATCTTCGGCTGCAAGAACGGATTCTTTGCTCTTAGAAAATCCATGACTTTATTTTTGATCTTGCGTCTGCCTCTACATAAGCCAGAACGGATTCTTTGCTCTTAGAAAATCACAAAAATCATATTTTTGCCTCTACTACTACTAAATCTAAAACCATGACATATATAATAGAATCAGCTTTAGCTCTTGGACAAATCGCACTGACTAAAACGACTTGGTAGAATTTTCGAGTTCAACTTCACACCGGTCTAAAGGATACTTAATCATTCTGGTGCCGTAATGTTTCCTAGGTAGGAAGGCATCCGCAGAGTGTCGTCATCCACGAACTGTGCTGCGTCCCACTCGCGCTGGGCCTCCGGCCCTGTGAAGTCCAGATTCTCTGTCAAGTGCTGCATAAATTCGTCGTATGTGAGAAGAATGCGCCGTGCGTCAACGATCTTGCGCAGTCGTGGGTTCTTCACATCTACCGGCTTCCTGCGAGTCTCTTGCTTCAATTGCGCTTGCCTGATCTCCGCAGTCTGCATGGTGTTCAAGTAGTAGCGCAGCGCGGAGCCGAAAACAAGCTGGAAAACTTGGTCTGACGTGCGTTGTTGCAGAGAGGAAAATCGCTGCTGAGGGGCTTTCGTGGGTCTGGAGACCGGCGCGCCCTGTGCTGGAGGAGGCGACTTGCTCCCCCTTTTCTCCTCCGGGGCTCCACTCGTCGTCGCCCCCGTTCCGGTAGAACGATCTTCAGAACTGCTACTTCCTTGCGGAATGGTGCACCCAGCGGAAAAAACATCTGGTGCCGGGTAGAGAAAAGTCCGCGCGTACTCTAGAAAGTCCCAAGCCTGGCCGTAGCCCCGCCATAACCACAGCTGCACACCTGCCACTGCATCCGACGCATGTGATGCCAAAGTCGCTGGCGGTGGAGGTGGTGCTGGCCCGTCCGCTGCCGTTGAATGGCGTTGAACGTGGAAACGTCCGAGCCTGACACTCCCGTCATTGCCAGTTGAGAAGGCTTGCAAAAGCGGCGGCGCATCGTCGTCAAAAAGCCCTGTGCCGGCTCCCGCATTGAAACCGACAGCGTCGCGGTGCCCCGGCGTTTCTACGGTCGTGTCGTTGCGAACGCGCTGACGCTGCTCCGCAGTTTTACCGGCCAGATACTGCGATAACTTTTTAAATGCTGTGCGGGCGCGTGCTTCCCACTGTTGCCGTAAGCTCTCATCCCTGCTATCGTCGAACATAGAGTAACCTCCTTGATCGTGGTAGGGATCGTCGTAGCTGCCCCAATAGGCATCATCCTCGTTCTCGGCATACCACTCAGATGTTAAAGCTTTCCATCATTCCTCATTTTCTGCTAACAAACACCCCCTCTGTTTAAGCAACTACTTCTTCTTCTAAAACAATTTATCAGAAGCACTAAAAAAAATTATCGAGTGCCATAAAGGTGCGGCTTCGTAATCTTGGCCCTCCATCCATGCCGAATGTGCATCCCAATTCCGATGTTCAGATCGCGAAGCATTGTGCCCACCGCTCGCTGACCATCCGGCCTGGTCCGTGTCCCACGTCGCCACGACACCGCTTCCGCTTTCCTGGTTTTGCTGTTGACTTGGCGAACGGATCGTCTGCATCGGGTCCGTGCTCCGAAAAAAATTAGTGTTGCCTCCAAAAGCGCTCCCGCTCGCAGTCGGGGTGTCCTGCCGTTGATTTCCGCGATACTGCGGATCACCTACGGGTGTCCAGCCTCGATTCCAACTTTGTCCCCAACCTCCCATTCCTCCAAAGAAATTCATCACACCAGCAGCTGCAGGTCCTCCCCATCTAAACTGCTGCCCGCTGCCACTAGGACCTTGTTCCCAACTCCCACCGTACCCGTAGTCACTGAACTCTTGCGGACTGCCGTAGTAGGCACTAGCTGGGTGATTTCCGCCATAACCCTCGTCTTCTTCTCCAGTCCGACCGTACCCACCTGACGTGTCGTTGCCGAAGATTTCGTGGTACTGGTAGTCCGGGTGAGGGGCTCGCTGAATCGTGCCTGGGAGTGGAACGCTGCCGCGACGCAAACTTCGCTGGTGGAACTCGTTCGCACTCTGCTCAATGTACTGTGACTTTCCCCACCAGTAAAGTTGCTCTCGACGCCGCGCTGGGTTTTCAGCCAGCAACTCCACTATCCGCTCGGTAGACAAGCCGATATCACTCGCGAGTGCTTCAAGGCCTGCTGTGTCGTTCGTGAGAGCCTCCATACCAAGCTCCTCGTCTCGCTCGCCGTCTTCGCTCGAAGCCGCACTCGTGTCGCCGTCATCCAGATCGATCCGGTGATGTCCCGCTACCAGAGGGGCATTTCCTCGCGCAGCGGCAGCGCCCAAGCGCTTCTGCAGTCCGTGTCCTCGTACAGCTGCGTCGAAAATACCTTCTTGCGGGCGCACAACGTTGTCGTAAACCTTCAACGCCAATTGCTTCTCTAGTCTCTCGACCGCACGCCGATGCCGCCGTCGCTGCTTCTGCCGTTCCAAATGCTTCGACAACGCTTCTCCAGCCCGAGTGCGTGCGCCGCTCGGCTGCAGGACGACATTGTGCATTACAATGTTTGTGAATAACTGCGCAACCGCTGCGACTGGGGCTAAACCGTAAAATAGCCCACAGCCGATCCGAGCAACAAGCTGTTGCATATAAAATGAGTCCCACACCGCGCGGGCGCCCCCATAAAAAGATGGCGCAAGAACGAATACCGGGGGATCGGTCTGTTGCGCACCTGATCCACGCTGCGACGAAGGAGGCGCCTTCCCAGACGCCGAATCACTGCTCGACGCTGCCTGCGCTGTGCCGGATGGTGTTGCACGCGCGAGCTGAGACTGTGCTGCGGCTGCCCCGGCGCCTGGTGTTGAAGTAGAACCGGAGACAGCACCATGCGGAGCAACAGAAGTAGTTCCACCAGGTAGCCTCCCCAGAGACCCACCCGCGTCGGATTCTAGGACCGAAAGTTCATGCAGTATGCGCGTCCCGCTGCTGGCCATGTTCAGGCTAGCCTCCAATCGCCGATCTCCTTCCCATAACGAGTCTGCAGAAAGGTAGTCATCGGTTCCGGCCAACACGCCAGCGTTGAGATCGTCCTGAGGAAACATGTCGGCCTTCTCGGCACCCATTTGCGCCCAAGGGTCCTGAGATCGCGACAAGCGACCGGACGAACGTGGCAGCTGAGATAGAATCTCGTCAACCTCCGGAGGTTGACTAAAGAATCGCTCGGGGAGTCCATCCTTGTTGACAATCCAGTTCCGTGCTCCCATATCGGTGAAAAAGCCACCGGCCTCGTTCCAGATGAGATTTGGGTTGGCTTTCGGGGTAGCCGGCACGGACTCCGCGTGATGCGCGGCTGGACTCAGGGGTGGCCCCATAGCAAGAAGCGACCCCCCTGGCCGGGATCCAGCTGGCGTATCCGCCCCAGCCATTGTGCTCAGCGACGCTGGCGTTGCTTTGCGGCCGAGCCCGACGCGCACGCGGATATTGTTTTGTGCCCAAGCCTTCTCCTTGTCTTTGAACACCGACTTCATGAACTGATCCCAGTAGTGTCTCATCGTATCGCTCGTTCCAGGATTCCAGAAATCAGCCTCGCCGGCGACTGCCAACGCGTAGATGCGGTCGTCTTTCATCAGATGCTCCTCCGCATCTAGCACCATGGATGCCGGCCGCGGCCGTGGCCTTCCTAAGAGCGTCGGATGCTCAGCTTGCGACCCCAGTGATCCATCTGCCGTCGTAGCTTCCCTCGCATCTCGTCGCGCACGACTCCGCGAACTTGGCAAGACGAGGCTGCCCCCGCCCGGCATTTGCTGCTCCAAAGGCGAGTGGATGCTAGCATTACGCGTCAAATCTATTCCTGCAGTCGACGTTAGATCCCCAACATCCATTGCTGAGGTTTCTGCGGCTGTGGCGGGTCGCTGGAACAAATTTTGATCCACCCTTATGTATTGTCGACCGAAGTGCAGAGCCCCCGTCTGTCTGCCTAAATTCGATAGCTCCCCTAGAAGCACAGTGATTTCCTTCATTTGAGAGGGTGCGCGAGGAGGCGGCGGCTTCGGTGGGACGAGCAACTCCGCTCGCAGTTTGTAATTCACAAAGCGCGCCTTCACAGGATCCAGGACGTTGAAGAAGGGCACCACTACTCGCACGCCGATTAAAAGGCAGCTGATAGCAATGACCACGTATATCAGCACGCGGAAAACTGATACGCTTGTGGACGACACTGAAGCCCCTAAACTCGTGCCAGCTGAAGCCGAATCCGACGCAGCGTCGAATGAGGCCCCCTCAGCTTCGCCAAATTTCGGCTGTACTAGCAATGCAGTTTCATTAGTGCTCTTGTCTTCAGTGGCAGTTTTCTTCTCTGCCGGAACCGCGACAGGAACCGAAAGAGACTCTTCTGCACCCGTGACCGCTGCAAACCGTTTTTCTTCGCCATCTAATCCGCCTGGGCGTCCGGCGTCCGCGCAACAGCCCGACGCAAATATCGCTCCTAGGCATAGGCTGAGAAGTGCTTGTGCCGCCTTTAGCGCCAACTTGGCAAAGGCGACTAATCCATCTCGTAGTGCGCGAAGAAACCTCCAGCAGAGCGCGGGCAAAGACCAACTGGAACGCTGTCGAGATGTCGACAGTGCGCGAGCCCACTGCGCAGCCTCTTCGGCAGCCAACGGATCGCGGTACGACACGCACAACATCATAAGCAGCCACAAACGAATTAGAATTAATCGATCATTAAACTTTCAATTCTATTTCAGCACAATTTATTATGCCTGAGAAAAAATCGTTGCTACTCCAGAATCCTCTTTGTCCTCTTTGTCGGCATAGTGGCACTCGAATACCTGTATTCGTACATAAGTCTCATAAGTAAAGACCCGCAAAGAAGATCGGATTTCCTCGCACGTCGAAGAAGCAACTGAGACGCAGAATCTCGACGAACGGGAGGTAGTCGGCCACGCCACCTCCCAGGAGTATCCAAAACACAAACGCAAGTGCAAAGAATGCCACAATCGCGTCTGCCACGAAATGCGAGGCCCAATATGCTCGTCCGCTGATGCCGTTCATGAAAAGGTACTCTTTCACACCACTCTGGTGTTCTCGATGAATGCGTGCGATCAGAAAAGACGGAATTTTCATCAAGACGAGGAGAAAGATGAGAAACTGGACGCCGACATCCAGTGCAAGGAGGAAACCGCCGCGAATCTGGTCATTCGTAAAGACTTGCAATCTGAGTTTTTTCATCCCAGTACTTCGCATGCGTGGGTCCTCGCCGCGCTGAGCATGCGTTGGCGTACTCCTTGGGGGATCAGGAGCGAAACTGACACCAGAGGAAGACCCCATGTGACCGGTAGTTATGAAAAGAGAAAACAGGAAATTCAAGAGCTGCGAAGTCTGGTTATATTCTAGGTTCAGCTAAAAACGCCTTGGATTTGGGTTTCCATATGTATCTTTGGGGCATCATAAATGAACGAAGCATGCGCCCGCTGCTGGCGGAATATGCTCCAAGCATCTGGTTAGATTCACCACTTGAATTGAGATCGATGTCCGTCCTGCCGTAGCTGCCTCCATAGGCATAGGGCATTGCTGGATTAGTGTCTCCTGACTGGTACATGTTGCTTTGGTAGTGCTCCAGGTCCGGCAGCTCTACGCCGTACAGCGTCTGTTTCGGACGTCCCCCTACGGAAAGGGCTTGCATGTTCTCCCGCAGTTTCGTTTCGTCTACACGGAATCGACTCACTTTTTGAGTGTAAAGCTGCTGCGCATTACCGAACATGTCGAAGGTCTCGCCATAGCCGCCGCCAAATCGATGTAGCAAGAAAAAAACCGCTAATCCGCAGAGAAGCACCAGAGCAATGTCGTGATGCAGGACGAACGCGGTTGCGCGTTTGCGACGCTGTTCAGGCGAGACTGCGGGTAGACACAACTGCGAAACCGTCACCCACGCCGCAAAAGCATAGGCGGAGAACAGTTTAAAGTAGAAGCAGACGCAGCCACCAATACTGAGATCGTATTTAAGCCTCCTGGTTCGAGATGATCCATCGCTCGAATGCGCTACAGCAAGCGTCGTGTCCAGATGAGCCCCAGCAAAATTCCGCGTAGGCACAACTTCAATCGGACCTTCGAACCGAAAAACGTTCAGGTCCCGCTGTAACCGTGCTCGACACAGCAACGCTTGGAACTGCTGCCAGAACCGCGCACACGAGGAGACCCATCCGCGAACGCACTTGATTTTCGATATTGTCTTACAGCACATGCACGGAAAACACAGGACACTCCTCAAAAATATGAGAGCACAATGCTGCTTTTTTTCCTCCGATGGATCCAATTCGTTCGAACCAAGGCAACAGAGGAAACGGCAAAATGAAGACAAGCAACAAGAGGAAGCAGATTGTGTTCCGTCGTCTTCAGGGAAACCTTGTTCGTGTCTACCTGCATCGTTCCCCGCGCCCGGCCCTGCTTTGTCTGCAGCAAATACTGGCACACCGACTACCGGGAGTAGCGCCTCCTGCTCCATGCCCGACAGAAGCTCTCCGTCTCTTGCAGTCACTGGGCCATGTGAATTGACACTAATCCTCGAGTGTCTTCGCGAGTCTGCGCGTTCCTCCGGAATCACACTTCGGGACGAAGCGGAGGGAGGTGATTTCTCAGCACGGAAAGGCTCGACTTGGGTCTCGCCCATGTCGGCATCTTCACCATCTTCAAAAGAACCTCCATTCCGGACGTTCTTATCATTTCCATTATCCTCGTCAAGGCCGATGTCGTCACCAAAACCCCAGCCAGCCGTCATATCCCCTTCCATGCCCCAAGCTGTGTCTTCGCCTCCAAAGCCGAAGCTGACGACGTCGCTGCGTGGCTCAAAACCGAGAAGACGGAACTCACTTCTCGCATATGCTAATTCTTTCCCAGCCGCAACTTTGAGAAAGATTTCTTCCAGGTTCGCGGTATTCAAAACAAAGGAATGAATTTCAGGCAGCGTCGCAACTAAGACCTTGCGGTGTTGCTCTGTTCGGCTTCTGGACGCCTTATTTGCAGTTTGTCTTTTGGAATGATCGACTGCTGCAGAACCGTTATCGCGAACCTGTTGTAGTTTGTCTGGGTGATCCCTTTCATCCTCTAGACCCAACTCCACCTCAAACAGCTGGACTCGTTCTAGAGCACGCGAGAACCGTGATATCTCGGATAAAAGCGCCGCTAGAATCTTTCCGTCTTTGATAAAAGGAAACTTCACACAGCAACGATTCCCCTGCGACTCCGCGTGCACATAGTCTGTCCACCAGTCGACCTGGTCACCTTCAGCTCCAGCATTGTTTGCCGGTGTGGGACATTTTCCCGGTTCAATCGACGAATGATGATATCCTTTCTCAACGACGCTGCTACTTCTATTTCCAGTTTTCATGGGCCCCCTTAGCGGTGACGCAGTAAAATTTGAGCCCACTACACGCACACTATCTCCGCTGTGTGGTACTTCTAATATCTGTTTCTGCCATTGAACGAGATCGCTTTTCAGCAGGATCTCTTCCTTGATCCAGTTCGACCAAAAGTCTGTGAAATCCTTGTCCGTGTAGTCTACGAAAGCATCTGCCGACTGGCCCAAAGCGCACGCTAGCCGATTCGCGACGATCTTTTCGAGCTGTGCCGCCACTTTTCGATTCGCGCGTTCGCGGTTCTGGATTGGCGCTTTCAAAAACTCCTTCACATTATTCATCTGCCGCTTCAACAATTCCTCGGTGGAGCGGCCTCTTATTGGCGCAGTACTAGAATCCAGATTTCTAAGTGGTGGTAGCACGATTCGGAGAGGCAAGACTTTTCCGAAGGCGCGTAATGTCGAAGAGTTAATGTGATTTTCGTCGCAGTCCTCGAAAGGTTGAAACAAGTCCCCTCCTGCGCCTTCCGCAGCGATATACTGTTGCATCATGTCTCGCGCAGACTCAGAAAGTTGTTCCACGTCTGTTGCTTCCTCGAGAACGTGTACTTCGCTGTGCCCGCAACTCTGTTGCACTCGCGATTCAGGTGAGTCGTTTGGGCCACGCTGAGCGGCTGCATCTCGCGCGCGAATATTAAAGGCGGCTTGCAAAAAATGCGCTTCTTCTCAGAGCGCATCTCTCATGAATGCTTCCACATCGGTAACAATATTTCAAGTCTAGCTTTCATCAAAGTATATGAAAGAGACGTTGTTATTCCCAACCCAATGATCTTGTCTTGTTGAGCAGGTTGCTCAAGCAGACACCGAAGTAGCATCACTCAACTCTCACTCTCGTAACGAAGTAGGCAGGCAGAGGACGCACGAAGAATTAAGTAAAGCTAAAAAAGCTAATACAGCCGTAGCTAAGTACAACTACAAGATAATTAAAATTAAAAATTCGTTCAAATATTGAAGCGCGTAGATAAGAAAGTTGCCTTAGCTGAAGCGAAGAGCACCTTGCAGGTCAATGGATCTTTCTGTCCCCCCTCTGGGTGCATGCTGTCCAGTTGCGCCAAGTTCTCGGCTGTTAATTGTTGCGACGGATTTCGGCAGGCTGAAAGGGGTGTGATCCCGTTGCAAAATGAGTTAACGTCCATGCTTGTCTGCAGACCACTTGACTCTTGCCGTTCAAGCATGCTTTCATCTGGAGTCGTCTCTGCATGTGGCGGTCTGATCACGTTGTCGTCATTAGGTGAAGAAAGTGCACGACGGGGTGTGTTCTCAAGATCACCGGCGGGGTCAATGTCAGCATTTGCTTGTGGTCCAGCATCTCGCAATGCAGTACACTTCTTCTGAGCAGGAGCCACGACTTGTTTCTGGACGATCCGCCACAACCGTTTTCTCTCTCGCATCTGCAACTGCATCGAAAACCCAGTTCCGAATATCGTTTTTAAGTAGTCCACTGATCCGCACGTTTTGATGACTCCATACTTAAGAATAGCGACTTTGTCTGAGACCACCTCCGCTTCGTCCATCAAGTGCGTAGTGAGCAAGACACAGCGCCCCTGCTTGCGCTTGAGAAGGAACTTCTGAAAGAGCCGACGATTGTGCGGATCCATGCCAGCTGTGGGTTCATCTAGAATCACAAACCTCGGATTCCCTAAAAACGCAGACGCGCAGGATATCACGCGTCTCCAACCCCCGGACAATTCACAGCAACGCCTAGATTCGATTTCAGGTGGCACATTCAAGTCTTTGAGCAAGCTGTCCGCTTCGTGCGCAACCGCTGTTTCGAGATAAAAAGCAAAAGTTGTGCGCCGATGTTCAGGTACATGCGCGCGCTGTCGCCACTCAGCATACAAAAATTCGACAGACCGCAGTTTCGCGATGAAGCGCAACTGCTCTCTTACCGTCAGCTCACTGTACAAATTGTCTGTTTGTTCGCAGTAGGTCGTGCTCGCGCAGCCCGATCCGCGTTGCGGCTCCTTGTCCTTTCGATTGGACGACTGCATTCCGTCTCCATGCCTCGTCTTGTCCTTATATTTGAGTTCCTTATCGTGCCGCTTGCTGGTACGCCCGCTGCGCTTGCCACCAGAAGGCCAACTACCATCATGTGTGGCTCCAACAGCAGATGATCCGCCAGGCACAACATGCAGCAAGCGTTGAAAAAACTCTTCTCCTGGCAAGTCCAAATCTGTCGGACTCAGTTTGGTAATCGCTCTGCAGTTGTCGCCAAAGCTACTTGCGTCCGACATCATAGTCTCCTTGCTGTTGGAGCGTGTGCTGCGATTGTTTCGTTGTCCGGATCGCTCAGAGAAAGCATCTCCACCGGCCAAGCCCCCGTCCTGAGATGTAGAACCTCCATTGGTGTAAGCACTGTAGATGCCAACTTTCGAGGAACGGTTCGCTTTGGCTTCGGCATCAGTCTCCCCGCCATGCTCCCGCTTTCGAAACACGGGGACACCAAATACATGCAGTCGGTCACAAGCTGAAGGCTTCAAAATGCCAGCGAGACAGTTTAAGGTCGTTGTCTTGCCTGCGCCATTTTCACCGAGCAAGGTCGTGATCTCGTTCTCAAATAGCGTCAGGTCTATGCCGCGTAGCACTGGGGGACCTTCGTCAAACTGCACACGCAGATTTCTAATGGTCACCGTCCTTTGTTCCGCTTGCAGCATGGCCTCCCGCGAATTCAGCGGTTGAAAGAGCAAATCTCGCGCAAAAGCCTGCTCTTCACTTGCCAAGGCGGCTTGACCGCCATAGCCCCCCATCGTGGACGCTGCCGAATGAATGTAATCATCGAGGTGTCCGCCACCTGCGGCCGCCTGTCCTAGTTGCGCTTCCTCCACACAGCCGAGGTAAGAGGGCTGATTCTGCGTAGTAGACATCCCGCGAAATGCGCTACTCCCACCCCCTGCTTCGTAGCCCAAGCCGCCCGCAGCGGACCAAGTGTGCTTTCCGCGAGCACTCGCGCTCTCGTCGAAACCTCCTGTGATCGCCGCCACTGGCGAGCCACCCGCATGTTGTCCTTTCGTTCCGCCACTGCTCATTTTGCTTCGCGGATTACCTCCCTTTTTGGTATTATCAGCGCCACTGGTCGCTTCGCCCATTATTGTCCGGCGGCAGCAGCAAAACTTTCGGAAACACCTGCACAAGCCACCAGAGAACAGTGCTGAAAACGAGTCCAAACCCTGTCCTACCTCAAAGAAGATCAATAAGAAAGCTAGACACGCCAAACCGAGCAGCTGCAGCGCGAGCAGCGCCAGGAGAGAAACGACATGGATCATTAGTGTGTTTGGCGGTAACTGCACGTGTTTATTCACGCGCATAAGTTGTTCCGCAATCCAGAAGCTCTCGGTTTGTTCCTCCTTCGCTACTCTCTGTAGAGCTTCGCTCGAAGTAGTCGAAACAAGCGATCCAGACGAAGTTTCAGGCATAAAATTATTCACTGCCGGAATCTGGTTGGCCCCAGAGTGTCGCATCAGCAAACTTCGATGCATGCTGATCCTTTCCGCTGCTGACCTACCATCAGCTGCTGCCGCCCCTCCCGCGCTCCTGGAAGCCCGTCCATGCTGCCCACGAACGTCACTCGATGAGCCAGGAGCGCTTCTTTCTGGGTTTCCACTTGCTCCCGCGTTTCTTTCCCAGTTCGGTGGCGTCGCATCCCAAGCTTCCAACGGAGTCTGATCAGTGAGGTTCTCGCCTTCATCCAAATGTTGCACATACTGCCGCAGGTAGGCGAAGAAACGATATGCCTCGTAAGAGTATTCCAGCCTGTTGTTGCTACAAAGCTGCGCGAACATGCGATAGAACAGAAACTGCGGGACGAAGATTACGCTTGTTATGCGCCGCAGAAGCGGAAAGGAGTCTTCCGCAAGTAGTAACTCCGTCTGACTTTCGTCCAAAATTGCAGCTGTCGGACTGTCCATCTCCTTTGTCCGATCGAGTTTTCCCCGCAGTTCTCGACATCGTGATCTGTTCCTCCTTCCTGGTCCACAACCTACAGCGTGGTCCATCTCACTCTCCAAGTCTGCATGATAGGCGAAATATTGGTCGTCACCTTGTTCCTCCATACGGCGGGCCAGACTTGCTGCAGAAAGACGCACTCGCTGTCGCCGCCGCCGCTCGGCAACTTCTTCAGGCGCAATCCACACCTCGCGCAACTCTCGTTTCTCTTCGTCAGCCAGTGTCTGATACGAATAGCGGGTAAGCGCGAGGCTCCCGTCGTCTTGCCCAACGCGCCAGCGGTTCTCGGAGCGGTCGTAGCGCACAAAAGCTGCAACTTCTGGCCGTCGCGTCCAGATGCGCACAGGTACTGCCTGCAGTCGTGCTACGTCAACCGGTGGCGCACTCGGGGCACTGGCGCTCATTGTTGCGTTGTCCGCAGCAGCGCCACCTCCGATGCCGCCACCAGCTCCCATGCTCCCGCTCTCGGCAGCAGCGACGCCTCCTCGAGCCATCGGCGATCCTTGATGCCCCTGCTCATATCCCCGTGCCCCTCCACCTCCAGGTCCAAACATCTCCCTATACATATTGCTGTTGAGACGCTGCAACGCCTCAGCGAGTCGGACACGGATGTAGTTGCTACCTGATTGCTTTCTGATCGCCTCAACGCGCCACTCCTCTTCTCGCTGCCACTCTTCTTCCTCTTGGGCGTTCAGCTCCTCCTCTAGTGCAGCGAGGCGGTCCGACCCCTCCGCCGGACTCACTTCACTGGGCTCAGCCCCGTTTGAGACTATATCCTCGCCTTGCGGGGTCCTTCCCGTGCTGTCTCGACCTCCAGTGCCAACTTCCTGCGCAGTGGAGCCTACCTGTGCTTGTTCCCCTTCTCCTGTTTGCTGCTGCTGCTCTGCTTCGTCGTCTCGGTGTCTAAAAAGTGCGAACGTCGACTGAGTACGGTCCTGCGGTGGCCTAGTACGTGTCATCGCAGCGTCAGCTGCGGCCGCTCTTGCCTGCTCCTTCATCTTCCTCTCTTCTGCGCGCCGACGTTTGGCGAGGAGTTTTCTCCGCTTCTTGTCTGCACGTTCGGCGCTCGTGGCACGCAGCAACTCCAACTTACCATCAAGATGCTCTCGCCAAATTTCGGACCCACCAAGAAGCTCGCTTTCGACGAAATGCGAGTGCTCATACAAAAAGCAAAGAGACAAAAGCAAATAAAAATTAGACGTCACGCATATTCATGTTAAAGATCATCGTTGATGTGTTTTTTCCTTGAAAAAGGGGTCCATCAAAGATGCTTCTTAAGATGAAAGTAATTTGGAATAGCCTTAAAGAAAGCAATCTTTCTGCCGTATCCCGACTGCTCTGTTGTTTCGCCGCCTGAGCCAGCAAAGTCATACTCTATCGACTTCTCCTGCAGCACGGATTCGCCGAAGCCAGCTCGAAAAACGGCAGGAGGAAGCCGCAACTCTCGACCGGCACCATCTTCCAAAGCAGCAGCATCCGCATCCGCAGCGGAAAGAGTATCACCAGCTAACGCACCAACTCCACGGCTTTCTGCACCACTTACGTGGTTCTTGGATGCCCTCTTGGAACAACAACGCCTTCTCCCTGCCTGCTGCGTGTGTCCTGTACTAGAACCCGGCATCACAGCTGACACAACCAGGTCCTCATCTGAAGACAGTTCACCAGAAGCGGACTTCGAGCCTTTCTTCTGTCTCGTACAAGGGTCAAAACAGCAGCAAAACCATGCGCACAACGACGCACAGAAGCCTGTTTTCTTCTTAGTGTCCTCACGTGCACACCTTGCTCCTGGTCCGCTATTGAATACGTGGTCCGGGGAACCTCCGTAATTGTTGTGCGCGACACTACCGCCTAGAAAGTTGTTGACAAGAGGGCGCTTGGAATTTGTGCCCGGGAACCGCGTTCCATCTCTTTCAGCTTCATCCATCATAATCTCCGACAAACTGAGATTGTCAGCGCTTCTCGTATCTGCGCCGCTCGCAGTGCCATTGCTGCAGCCCGCTGTGACGCCATGGTCTGTGATCGCACGGGCTGCGGCCGCCCGGTTTCGGGCGCGCAGCATCGCCGCGCGCCTGTGTTCCTGCCGCCCTCGTGCGCGCGCCATAAGCGGCGAGAAACAGCCAAGAATGCAACCGAAAAATGATGCGAGAAACGCCAACACCGCAGGCACAACGTAGACGAGGAGCACTCCACCGAGCAGAGACACCGACCAAATGTAAAGAAACCCTGCTACGAAGGCTATCGACGAATTGAGAAAGGCTCTTCCGATCACTGATGCCACAAATGCAAGTCCTGGCGCAAACGCTTCGATTCTCGTGAAGAAGTCGACATCGTCTGGACCCGATGACAAGGTGTCGGCAGTTGTTTCTCTAACGCCACCATCACCAGCAATTCCACGCGTATCTGGGACAACTGTAGATGACGAGCCTCTGGAAGCAACGTGATCTGCGAACGTAGAGGAACTCGTCCCTCCTTCTCCGGAAGAAAGCATGTTACTCCTGCTTCCCATTTCCGAGCGTAGATAGGACGCTAAACTCCGTGCGTCGTGGCCATCGCGGAGAAACGTTTCCCGCAGTTCTTCTTCGAGGTCTTCTGGTAGATCTTCTGGCGCTCCAAATTGCGGTGCACCAGTTGCATTGCCGCCTTCTCGCATCCTCCGTTCCACGTGATGCACTAGTTGCTGGAAAAGCAGAAAACCACTTTCGTAGGTCCGCTTCGTGGTGACTCCATTTACGGAAGTCGCTCTTCGACGAAAGGCCTGCAAGATGCTGTTTCGATCAATCAGACCACCAGTTGACGCGGTTGCGCTTGTGTGTCCTCCGGCATTTGCCGCAGCCGCAGCACTTGTTCTTGCTGTGTCACCTTGTTGTAGGTGTCCAGCTCCGTTGCCTCCAATGCCGCTCGCTCCTGGTGCACCTCGGTTGCTAGACTCCGGACCTTCTCCTGCCATAAAGTGTAAGCATTCCTCTGAGTTCCGACGTGAAGAGGTCTCAGTGGGCGAAAGCAAACAAACCGTCTCTCGTGCTTCTTCTATGGCTGCAGTGTCCACGTCGGCGTACAAGTCGAAGCGTGCCGGTGAAACTTGGTAGTAGTCCCATATTTGCCAGAATTTGCGTTGAGGAAAATCCAAGAGACCTAACTCGGCTTCTTTTGGAAAGGGAGCCATCACCGTGCTCTCCTCATCACCCTGTTTCACAGAACCAAATGCCACTGCCCCAGGAGCCAAACGCAACGCATCCAACTCACTCAACGGCATGCTGCTCCGACCTGTCATGCACATGCAATGCGAAGACTTGACCAATGGTTGCTGCCTCGTCAGATCTCAATCTGAACAAGACCGACGGAACAGTAAGTAGTGCGCAACTCTAGTATGATCACAACATGCAATTCCAATTTCTGACATTAGAAATGAATACCAGCATCAGTTCCTGCCCGTGGGGCCTTCCATCCGTGCTCCCCTTCAGCCGCTGGCATCTCCCTCGGAAAGTTCCAAAATTTGTCGAAGTCCTTGACTTTGCCTTCACCCGGTTGCAATGGAGGAAAAAAGCTCGCGCGCAGATTCAACACGAAAGCAATCACTTTTAGACGAGGAAACCGCAGCCAAGGAAAATCTTTTAGGAATGCGTTATCTTTTAACTTTGAGACTGTAACAGAAACTTTCTTGACAAGAGGCATCACTGCTATCGACGGATTTTTTTTGAAGTCGTAAAACTGCACACGCCCACGCGAAGAAAATGGCACCAAGCCACGGAGCCGATGCTACCCAGTGCAGCCCGTACAGAGAGCGAACCACTAATCCTCGCCGTCTGTGATTGCTCGCTGCACGGCTGCTGCGAGTTAGCTGCGCCAGCAGGAACCCTTTCTGACCCGACCGTTGTTCCGCTAACAACAGACCCGCTGTCACTTCGGCATAGTAAAGGCCGCAAAACGTAAGGAGCAGCTCGAGCCAGTGCCTACCCAAAAAAGGGAAGATCACCGTGAAAATTGCATCCCTTAAATACTGCAGAAGGTTTATCTCCACGAAAAACCGTGTCGATAACACCTCGTCTTCCGCCGAAAGTCTGGTCGAGGATGAACAAAATTACATTGGATTCACTTTATTGCATAGAAGAAAGACAAAAAAAACAGAAAACTCTTCATCACTAGTTTCAATATCCAAGCACAAGCTGCACGAGGAGATGAGCCTTTGTTTTTCATCTTGATGTAGGTACGCTATCATAAGAGACATTAGTTACTCAGAAACTCCCTGATTCTCTGCGGCCAGCATACGCGGCAAAAACCTGGTGAATCTGCTTGCTTGCCCAAGCACCCAGACAGGAAGATACTCGCTCAGTTCCACCGCCACTGTGCAGTAAGATACTAATCGCGTTGACGCACCTGTATCACGGGCCGACGTCGAGGAGGAGTCACGTTCATCTCCACCGGTTGTAGACGCTGTTTGTTGCTGTGACGAGCCAGCCAGGTGATCGTCTCTGGCAGTCCCGGATGTGCCGTCATTCCCTGGAGAAATCAAAGCTTGTTGTTCGTTGGCCAGCCTACTTCGCAATCGTGCTACCATTGCGAACGTCTCAGAACTCGGTGATAACCCAGGCCCTGCACCCTGTTGAGAAGTGGTCTGCACCTGTTCGGCCCCGATTCCTCCAGTTGCTGGTTGACCTGGAAAAGGATTCCCACTTCTACTTCCACGGTCGTTTACAAGAACCCCAGCGGGCGGCTCTACTTGCGTGCTACCTCCTGTGGTCTCGGTCTCCCCAAAGAACCGAGATCTTAGGAACCCAAAAGCGGCAGCGGAGGGAGCCGCGCGACCCAAAGAAAGTCGCATCGCGGTAGAAACGACGTTCCAAGCGTGCAAATCCTCGAGCTCTCGAACATTCCATCTGCGCTCGAACGATGACCGTGAGAAAGTGCCGCCTGATGAATGTTTTTTGTTTTGTCCTGCTGTATCAGAAAAATCATCAATGATGGTGCTGTCAAAAGCAAACAAAACTCGATCGAATGATGCAATACTAGGTTCATGTTCAGACTACTCTCAGTCAACGGACGTCGTTTATCATTGAACTATTCCCACTGCCTACAACTACCGCTTCCCCTTATATGCTTTCTTGCGAATTCCTCGCCGATGATTTGTGGGAGGTCCTTGAGAACGTCGGTTCGTGCAAGGTACTTGTCTGCGCAATGAAGTGTGAGCAGCACAAAAATCACTGCGCCTACGAGCAATAAGGGAGTCGCTGCCGTCCTCCAGAACAGTTCCCTTCGATTTTGGTATAACGTCTTGTAGTTTTTCCACAACAAGACCTGCAGGATCGCGGTCTTTCCGTTGTCACACAGGCCGAACTTTCGGCTCGCACGGCGGTTTTGGTTCAACGGCGACCAGGCCTCAGCGAGATGCAGCTGAGCTCGCGACTTTCTCAACATCTTCACGTCAGCAGGAATACCTGATGGTTGTGCCGGAACTGTTGTGCTTAAATCACTGTTTTGGTTGCCCCCAGAGGAACTAGCATCCACATCAGCACCACTCGAAGACCCGATCATTTTCTTGCTCCCCTGATCTTCCAAGAACCAATATTTCCAACGATCTCCACGAATGAGCAGATCATGGTGACCGATGTCAGCATTGGTGAAACACAAGGGAAACAAGCAACGAACCAACCACTTAGTACTGTAGTACTAGTAGAAAAAAGACCGCCGGAGACTAAATCCAAACACGAAGCTCCTCCTAGGACTATACTAGAATACGCAAAACCCTCAAGAATCAACAATCTATCATCCATTGGCTGCTAGTCGTGGTAGTTCCCATTTTAGATTTAGGATCTTTACAAATTCAACGATGTCTTAGTTCCAGTCTCTTTACACGCTCGGCGACCTCTCTTGTCTGCACCGACCAGTGAGGACTTTCACCGAGGCATGTGCTGCAGCAGTCCCCGCAACTCTCCAGACCATTCAATAACTTAACTGGTACTACGTTGTCTGAAAACATCTACCGCTGGTCCCGGCCACAACCCTCTGCTCTCCACAACAGCAGGATCATGAGCTGAAAAAAGACACTGAGCATCTTCATCTTCTTTACAATTGTGATGAATCAAACCGATGCTGACATAGCAAGACCGCCTTCCCCTGGGTGCTTGCGGTGGTAACCATCTTTGAGTGAGGATCAGCCATCTGCTGATAGACGAAGATAGTCTTTTCATCGCTTTCAAGAACTACAGGCCCATCCATGCTGATATTAACGACGATGCTTGAAAAAAGTCAGTTTGTCATATGCATTTCACAGACGGTAGATGTATATAGGCGCTGCTCTGTATCAGGTCTATGTCCAGACTCTCTAGTGTTCGAATTCAAATCACATCCATGACATGCAGCTTTCCAAAGCCTGAGTATATTTTTACATCGCACAACTGCCCACCTATGCATCTAGAACTATCAAATAAGAAGAAATCATCTCGGATACGAAAAAGCAATGTCGATGTCAACTCGCTACTTGTGTACGAACTTATCGCGTCAAAACGCCCCATGGCCAAATAGAAACATGGATCTCAATTATGCGACTTAATATGGAAGTGTATTCCTGAACAAGTAAGTGAGCGACTTTCATGGAATTACTTCCGATGGGGTTTCAATATATCTGGAAGCGCAGAGCCAAAACCAATGCTGTCGATCCTCGTAGACCTATCGCCTGTGCTAGGACTATTCGCCTCAGACTCCGCCTTGAGTTCTTTTCGCCGAGAGGCAAACCAGTCATTCGTCGGGATCTATGTTAGAGCAGCTTAGCTGATCCTTCTTCCAACTCCAAAAAGCTATGATCTGTCTAATTACTTAATAATTCAACTTCTACTTGAGCTAGCACAATATTCGTCCGGTTCGTAAAAGTGGACTTCCCGCGTCGCGCTTTCGACCCTTCTTTTTCTTCTGCTCTGCTTGGCATTGCCAATATTCGGCTCTGTCGTGAATGTCCTCGAAGGGCACTGCGTCATCGAACGTTATTCGCGGACTTCGATAGCAAAAGGTGAAAAAAATTGAGGTGCAGCAGCCACGCTCCGGTTTAAATCTAAACCCGACAACAAAGACGATTGGGAGTACCAGTAGCACCTTCTGGAGCCGGCTTGCCATTTTTGTTGACATACAAACTTGTAAATAGTGACTTCTGAGTCAATTTCTTTGTACACCCGAGGTTGCATTTTTTTGGTCCGACACTGAGAGGCACAAGCCGACTGCTATTCGAGCGCTTCTTTACCAGGACCCTGCTCACTGTTGTTGCACACTAAACACTTCGAACTTACACGAGGGGCATGCAGATTGATAAAGCATGCAGCTCGCTGTTTTTACTTTGAACAAGATGAGTTCCAATGTAGGCATCGCGTTAGCTACATCATGTTGAAAAAAGAGCACTTCGCTAATTCGATTCACTTTCTTTGCTCTTGTTTTTCGGCGATATGAGGGATGCCCTTCGACGACATCCTTCTTGTGACAGCACCCAAAGTGCCAGACCCACACACTGGCGCAATCCTTGTCGTATTGTTTGCTTTATAGGAAGGTGTAGAGCGCGTGCTTATCGTTCAGGGTTGTCGGTCTATCTCTATCGTTGTACACATGCGTCAAGGGATCAGACATCTCAGAAGGCGGGATCATATGTCTGACTCAGGGATTGATTGATCGGGACCACGCCGGGGAACTAATATGACAGGATAGATATAAGATTATCGGTGCGGAATCTCGAGTCAAATAATTGTGCAGAGGGGACCAAAAATAAAGCGTGAATAAGATGTTGAACGAAAAGAGTAAAATATCTTCAAAGAGGGAGCTCTCTGTAAAGAATTTCCAAAGATGTCACTTTTTCACTCTCTTCGAGATCCATCGTGTCTGCGTCAAGATATTTCAAGCTTAGAGCCAACACTGACTCAGTTCCGCTTGCTCCGAACTTCGATACTCTTTCCATCCAATCCCAAACTCCACAGTTCTTGCAACCTTTCAAAGTGTAACGGATATCTTTGGAACCCAACTCCCTTTGTGTACAACCACGCGGGGACCTCCAAAACAGAGCTACCAGTGTTCGTCCCTGTGCCGCTAGTAGTGCGCCGCTGCCACTCCCTCAAACAGTGGAGGCGACGATTCGCAGAACAGTACAGGCGCCCTTCATGCTCGTGCACGATGATTGGCGGCAGCTCAAACAAATCTACCCGCCCGTCGCAGAGTTGCTCTATGGTATCCGCGAGCGGTCTGCCGTCTGCAAAAGTTGAAGAAATGGCCTTCTGCGAGAAGCGGAGGTCTGTGATGCGCAACATTGCGCGCTCTGCTTGGTTTTTGCGACGTGGTGGCGCTCTATGCTGTAGCTGTGTTGTCGAAAGTGATGCTTTACTGGACAAACACGCACTAGAAACAGAGCCCGCAGCGGCAGATGAAGAAATGGTAGTAGATGAAGAGCCCAGACCACAAGAGTTGCTGTCTGCGAAACAGGCGCGCGCCTTGATTGCACAGACCTCACGAAGATTAGCCATTGCCCCAACTCATCTCGAGCGGCATCTTCTTGGTAGTCTTTTTCCCTAACAACAAACTTCGAAGATGCTTCTCAAGATGATCCAACGTAAGCCGTAAGAAGAAAAAGATCGTCAGGGATTCGAAGGAGGGGCGCAACAGATTTTGCCAGTGATTTCGTGACATTGCGGCCCCGGCGTCGATTCTCGAGCATATTCGTGTAGGCTTCGACATACACCAAGGCGGCAAGGCTTTCATTGTGCGCCCTTTTCTCCTCCATATCAGCACAGATTGCCCCTGTGGTGTATCCCTGGTTTTGCGGCTTTTGGAGGTCTTTGTATCCCAACGCCTGCCGCGTTCGCACTTGCAATAGTGATAAGAGCGTCGCGCCCCCAGCTCTTCCTGCCTGCTTCAGCCGCAGATAAAGACTCACTACTGCTTGAATTTCCGCAGAACTTGGAAAGGCTGTGCTCCTTGTCGTGCTTGACGATGAAGAGGAGCTCGGCAGCCCACTGCTAGTACTAGCGCTACACCATCCGGCTGCACTTCTTGCATTTTCACTCCGTGCATGGCGATCATGATCATCTACAGCCAATTCTACAGCAAGCTGATCCTCCGCGTCGTCGGTCTTTCGCGCTTCTGCGTCTGCATCTGCTAGTAGGTCGTCGTCTTGATCTTCGCCAAAATCCAGGCCAAAGTCTTCAGCAGTGCTATCATCCGAAACACTTGCCGCGCCGTCGCCAAGTGCTTCATCCGCGTCAAGACTCGGAACCGAGTGGCCGCCCCTGTGCTGGTTGTTCGTTTTCGCCCTTTTTGCCGCGGATTTGGATGCTGTGCCGTCCTCTTCTTCAGTAGCCTCCTCGCCCTCCCGCGCTCGTTTGTGGCTGTCCGTGTCCAGTTTGGGAAAATGGTCAGAGCAGTCGAGAACTTGGCGCGCGCGCTCCACCAGGTCACTATCTGGCTTTAAAAGGTCATGGCAGACTTTCGCTCCTGGGTCATTATGCAGCGCATGCGCACGGGCTTGCTTATTCACCATCTTGCACCTCTTCTGCAACATAGTGACGCCCTTGATCTTCTCCGCCAGTTGGCGGCTTCTCTTAAGCTCTTCGCATCTTGTCCGATAGGAAACGGGTGGCACCTTGCCCGGCAGCCTCTTCTCCGTCGCGAGTACATTCTCGACAACCTCAGGCGCAATGTCAGCCTGTGGGTGAGGAGAGTGAACAGTGAATATCTGTTATGATTCTTAGCAAGAAAGCGCTCCTTGTCCAAAGAAGCTCTGTACTAATCTAATCTAATCTACGATCATCGACATCGAAGTAAGTACATCCATGAGCTACCGTTTCGACAAGGAAGAGACGTCTGAATTAAGGGGCGATAGCTCTGTACCTTGATGAGGTCGAGAGCCGCGCGGGAGAGGTAGCCAAGCGCCAAAGCGCGGGGATGTGCTGGCCCGTAATTCACAGCAACGCCTTCCCAGCGATTGTATACTTTTGATCGCAGGCCCGCACCTGCATAGCGTTGCACCACCTGGAGCATGGACTCCAGCACCCGACTCTCTGCAGCTGCTTCCCCTATGCTCTTCGACAAGAGATCAGAATCCGAGGGAGCAGAGGCCGTCTTGTTCAGCGTATTTTTTGCACCTTTACTAGCATGCTCTTTCGCCTGTTTATCCAAGGGCGCAGACAGAAGTTGCGCCAGGAGCTTTTCTCGACGGTCGCCAAAACTGTCTCGCATTTGTCGCGCTGTGTCGGCAGTGTCTGCGTTTATCATCTCGCAGAGCTCGTCGTGCCAACAAACCCAGTTCATATCGCCGTCATAGTCACCGCCACGAAACTCGTCGTTGCCTCCGCGATCACACGACTTCGGATCTGCTGGCAATATCAAAACGTTGACGCCGCCGGCAAAGCGACGAGAGATTTGCGGCCGCCAGACGAAGTCCAACAACTGCCGCTTTTAAAGGCAACTACGAATACCTAAATACCTAGAAAAGTCGCCTGCTTATGGTTTTTCTCTTCTCATCAAATCATACGACTCCGCATATTGCTTTTGTTCCAAATCACATATAAGCTGCCCTACGCCGGCAAGCAGTTCTATATTTTGAGAACCCATGCTTTTTTACGAGCAGCTGCGATTGAAACAAAAATAGACACTCTACTGCTAATCGAAAAAAGCCTACTGACCTTAAATGTCAGTCGGGAGCACTGCCGGGCATGCCGTTACGATGCACTTGCCTAAAAGACGAAAATATTTTCCAGCAGCAGCATCGTAGATGACCAGCTGTGCTTGTCCACGACGCAGCGTTTTTGTAAAATCGTACGCCACAACGAACGACTATGAACAGCAAGGGATGGGACATCAATTAACTCAAACATGAACCACTCATCTAGTTTAGAAGCAAAGCTACAAGAGAATGACCAGCAAAAGAATTTGCTGGCGTACAAAAAGAAAAGCTGCCTGTCTCATAGAAAGTCTGAACAGGGGACAACGTATCGGGGCTTCTTCTGAAGCTTCTCCGTCTCCTTTTCTTGACGCTGCGCCTCAGTCTTCCACATCGTGATGTGCTGACGCTCGTCAAATCCGGCGTCTCGGAGCTTTTCTAGAATTTCTGCCGTGCTTTGCAGGGGCGCCACTTCTGCAGCATCGTCACGAAGACACTGCTTAACTGTTGCCCCATTTTCGTCTAATGTAGCATAAGCCTCCGCGCGCGCTTTGTCTAATAACCAGCGATATGTGCCAAACGCAGAGCGTCTCCAGCCATCTGGTACAGAAAATTCACGAAAGGAGCGCCTTGAAAAAGCGAGCGGCTGCGCTTGCTCTGCCAAGTCCGGTGTCAATGCCCCTCCTTTCTGGAGCTTCTCTACATCGATGCAGACTGTCGCTTCAGTTCGGTCCCGGGCACGTGGAATTTTCGGCGCTGTCGTCGCTTTTTTTTGAGAGCTGCCAGACTTCTTGTTGTTCTCAGCTTGCGAAACTAACGACATGCTTGCGGGCTTTTGTTCTTCTTGGGTCTTCATGGTGCAGCCAACTGCCTTGGTCTCCACCTCCTCCTCGCCTGTATAATAACCGAGGCGCGCGCTGAGACATGCGATTCTAAAATCCGACTCCAAGTGGTGATCTTGGACTCTTCGCAAAAACTCCAAAAACTTCTTCCGCTTTTGCGCATTCGGGCGCGTCTCTCTTTCGCCAGGAAAAGCCTCAAAGAGCGAACTCGCGTCAGGAATTCCTTGAGGGCCACTGTTTTCTTCATCGTCGGAGTCGGACAGTACGACGAGTTCCGAATCTGGCGCATTCTTCTTCGATGCTGTGCCTTTTTTCATGCTTGCCGCTTTTTCCACTTCGACATACTCCCAACAACAGAGAAACTCGAGCAGCAACACGAACTGCGAATTTAGCGAGCTGCCACCTCGCACGGCGTTTCTGTCGCCAATAAGGCCCCTTGTCGTTGGGATGCCCTGGGCGCAGACTTCATTCGATTAGAGACTTTCACTTCCCACATTTTTCGTAGGCCTTCGCCTTCCTTACCTTCAATAGAATTACTGCCCTTACAAAGATAGATTGACTGAAGAAGCCATCCAAGATAGAATGCGTGGATAAAAACGATCATGCCAATCGGAGGCCCGTAAATGCACTGCTGCACGTCGTCCAGAATACTTTGGTCGTGTGATCCTTTGACCATGCTGTCCATGAAAATGACCTTCCCAGGCTTTTCAGGGCCGCTACATGGAATATCCGCGTCCGGGTAAAGCATCCCCTTGGTCGACCCACTGCGCTGCTGTACGCCTTGAAGATAGCCACTGATCCGCGTCCCGCTCGCCTCAAGTGCCGCTTGAATGCGTGCTAAATGCCACAAGGAGACGCGGCCAGCTCCATCGGACAAAATAGCGCTGCCGGGAGCGGTTGAGCGAATATCATCCACAATGTCGCGGTCTTCGGGCGGCACTTTTACCGTGGCGAAAACCCGCGACGACAGCAGCTGGAAACGCGAAGTGAACTTGCCTGCTCGCAACTTCGAGACACGGGGGTCGCTTGGCGGCATGTGCCATCCTCGGAGACGATCCGCTACGTTCTCGCCCGTCTCGCCACGATTACCAGGAAAGAACTCCACAAACAAGAATGCAAATGAAAAGGGAGCATGGGCGGACTAGTAATAAAAAGTGACTAGATGACAACGAGCATAAAAACGACGCAACGGCCTCACCTTACCATGGTATGAGACGTCGCTACTTTTACAATGTGTTTTTTTAGCAGTGTAGCTCCACACATCCATAACGAGCTATTTGAGTCGTGTTCGTGATGCGGGCAGAGCATTGCGTAGTATCTGCGAACACGGCCGAGCGTAACGATGCGCCGAGGATATTCGTTCCACTTGCGAAGCGAAAACTCTAATTTAGGTGAAGGCCTCATTGCTGGCGCTTTCTGGTCGGACGGCATTGGCCCAGGCGGTCCTGCCTCTGCTACTAGGTCGCGCCCATCCAACGGTGTCGGCTCTAGCTCCTGATCCTGTTTTACGCGGGCGATTCCAGGTAGTATACGTACCTTGAGGCAATGGCGCTCTTCTTCGGCACATTTGCGCACCAGCCGCGTCGTCAAAGCCCCCTCACCATCTACCGCCGCGGCGCGTTGGGCCCCCCAAGCTCTCGCATCTGCCTCAGTGCATTCGCGTGCTACCATTATTTCTGACAGCGTCTCCAACTCGGAAGCACTACGGATGGGCCACACTTTACCCGACGCCTTAGCTGTAGGATCAGAGCCATCTTTCGATAGCAAAACGTGTCCAGAATTTTGATGTACTGCACCTTCTCCATGAATCTGACTCGCTACCCCGCTCTTCCCCTTCTGAGTATCATTTAGGCCATCGCCGAAGAGCGATCCTACGTTCATCTCTTGAGGCGCAAACTTGGTAAGTTCTTGCTTCTTTTCACTGACTTGACCGAGGCCAACACTGTAGTTACTTTCACGAGCGTCAGCAGGCTGTCCCTCAGCAGCATCTTCCTGCGTTTGAGCTCGCTGTCTTGCCTTTTCCTCTTTCTTCTTCTCCAAGGCCGCAGCCTGACGGTCGACAGCCGCGGAAAGGTCGGGGAAGAATGCCCGAAGCTTGTCTACAGGCGCCAAACAGTAGGCCACGTCCCTGGAAGTACTTCCAGACATCGCGTGATCGTCTGCTTCTGCCAAATCGCTGCCCTCCACTTGCAGTCGGTCTTGTGACTCAGCTACAGTTTGCTTTTGTCGCTTGAAGCTGCATCTGTGGCCGAAATCGATTGCGTCTAAAGCATCAAACTCTCCTATTCGCTCCACAGGTAACGCACGGCGAGAGCCGAACACATCACGCCAGTCGAAGTCATTATATGATCGCACGCAGTTCCACCAGGCTGAATATTTTTTGTCCTCCTCGTCATTGCTGCTTTTAGCGATTGCGAAGGCCCGCCGCGGATTCAGCAGCAGCGTTGCGTAGTCCGCGCCTCTGCGGTACTGCGTATCTCCTTCGCGTCGCAGTCTGTCGCTCAGTCTATTGCTGGTAGCACTTGGCGCTTCAGAGCTCCCGACGCGATCCTCAGAGTCTTCCACACAAGACGACAGTAGTGACGCAGTCGGGCTTTGGGGTACGATAGCGACCAACTTGCTCGAAGTGGTCGGCGATGGGATCGCGGGAGACAGCAGTGTTGCGTTTGAACTGCTGCTCAACGTCGGCGTTACAAGTCCCCTGCTACCTGAGGACGAAGACCTATTGCTTGAGGTGGAGTACGTTAGCGACGAACTCGTTGCCAAGTGCGTCAAGCCAGATTTTGATCCGAACAGCGTCGAGGCGGAGGAGGAGGAGGAACTCGCCGACGGCGCGTCCGTTCTCGGAGTAAATAAAGACGAAGGAGCATTCCTCTTCCCATCCCGAGAGGAGGAGCTGGCACCTGATTTCCATTCGACGTCCATCTTTCCCTTCTTGATTTTTTGAACAGAAATATGTTTGTAGGCTAATTCGGTAAAGATTAAATATATAGCTTTTGTATTGCGGCAGCGGCACACGTCAAACCTTGCGTATTTGATTCATCTAAAACATTTTCAGAACATTTTTACGTAATAGCTCTCTACTCGCCATATTGTTAGTTTGTGAAAGAGGTTCGCGCTATTCTCAATGATTGAAAAGCAGCAGCAGGGGTGCCCTTCACTTTCACCTCTTTACCTAGAGTTATCATAAATCTAGAAGTAAACTAGTAGAAAATCGTGGAGTGGCATCAAGCATGCACAATTCTGCTGTGCGCCAAAGCACTTTCATCGATGAGCGCCCTGAGCCTCCGGAACACAACAATCGTGCGCATGCTGCCAGCGTCGCTATATCCTTATCTTCGAGCGCATCCAGTGTATTCGATGCCGATCGCATTGCACCGAAGGCGCTACGTACTATCCAGACTCAACAGACCACGCGCGAGCGCTGGAGTCAAATTAAGCCGTAGTCGCTTCGCACCAGTGCGTGTTTCTTGCTATTCATGCAAACACAATCTGAATCATCAAAAACAATATGTGAATGAATGAGTTACAGCGCAAGATGCCTATCAATTTTTAGCTTCAAGCTCTTCTTTGCAATGCTTTCGATGTGGTGAAATGAAGCGACCCCGAGATCGAACCTGTCTACATGCTATCCACATTTTCGCTTTGCTTCTTCGAAAAAGAGACCCAAGCATTCTATCCACAAGGCGCCTTCCTTTCACCAACTACGGCCACTGATCCCTTTGGTAATCTTTTCAAGCCGTCACCAGGGCTTCAAAATTCCGCAGTTGAAGTTTTTTCACCCGAGATATACCCCGACTCCCACTGTGTTGAGCCGCCTGCTTTCGACACGTCAAAAGTTTTCTTATAGGCTTCGTGTATCGTGAAGAGAGACGTAAACCCGAGTCTCCGGCTCATCCCATAGCGTTTCCTGTCGCGCTTTACTTTGTAGACAAGACAATAAACCACATATAGCAAAAACAACCCCGCAAGCGAAGCCCCAAAGACTGCATCGAAATCGTCGGGATGCACGCCGCTTTGGATGAAGGAGAGAGAGGAAGGAACATTGATACAGCAGAGAATCAAAACTCTATACTTGCTCCCGAAAACACTTATATGGTCAAGCGTTCTAGAAAAAGTTGAGGCTACATGCTATAATAGGATCAGTTACTATCAATTTGTTTTACAGTGCAACATAGCGCCTCGCCCCCATCATAACACTATCGTCAGCGTTCCGCCTACTCCACTTTCTGTAGAGCAGCTTACTCACTCCCGCACCGCAAGACATGAAAAACAGCGCCGACCCAACACCAAGCACAATATCGTCGAACACGGTTAGGTACGCGACCCGTGGGAGCCGGTCCATCGTAATCCACTGTACCGCGAAGCAAGTCAGGAACATGGTCGAACTACTTAGAAGGTATATTCTGTTGCGCGACGTAATCAATAGGTCATCACTCAACGCGACTACTAGTCCGCAATACCAATACGGGCACAACTCTACTAACATCATCTACCAACATATAGCCCGTGACATAAGTAAAGCGCCAGCCTGTCAGCCAGTGCGTCGGTGTCCAAAAAAAATCCGAGGAAACCAAACAGCGTGATCGCCACTAGCGGCAGCAGGCCTTTGTACAGGTAGAAACTAGGATTTCGAGCGACGTGCAACGAAAAAATCAGGTCCCTGTAGGACTGATTCTCGATCAGCGGCGACCCGTGTGAAGCCTCCGCATACGACAAACTGTGGATATAAAACTCTCCATTGTTCTGAGCACAGCGCCAATGGATGTGGTAGCCCTTTCCGTCTTTGTCCTCGTTGTGAAATGTGGGCCGCACCTGCGCCGCCGACTCCAGCCGCGTCTCACCGCTGAGACAAATACCAAAATCACAGCGAAAGCTGTCGAAAGGGAAGACTTTGAGGGCGTTGGAGTCCCGTAATGTGTCCATATTCAGCGGCTCAAATGCAATCTGCCACTGTAGGAGCCCATCGGTGCCAAACTTTCTTAAAGCTGCTACAGCCAGGCAGACAATCCAACACACTCCCTTATCTATAATGTGTTGCTTGAAGAGATAAGTCTACGAGTAGAGGGAAAAATAGCCGGCTGCTTTCCCTATGTGCTTCGAGCGCCGCTGGACCTAAGCCCCAACCTTATAAAAAGGGAGGAGCCAATCTAAATCTGCAGCACACCTCTGAGAAAAAGGAAAAAGTCTTAACAAGATCCTGCTATGGGAGGAGGTCACTTAATTACTGTTATGGAATTTTTTGGTTTTAGAGGAAGCTGTACATGGAAAATCCCACATGCAGCGATCTCTTTTGAGAATGGATGGAAACTTCGTTGCGAAACACTTTCCTAATTGTGTTCATCAACACTTCACACACAATCGAATAAAACTGCATGTCGCAATGCCCTTAACTTCCCAGGCTTCATGAACGTGACTGGAGTTTCTTGGTAGTCTTCCGGAACTTTCAAGACGTCCAACACATAGAGCGAAAATATTTCGGGCCTCCACAAGTTCGGCGGGGTCGTCTCATACGGCCAATGCTCCCCGAGTATTTTGTCCTCATTACCGGGCGACAGGTCCGATGTAGACAATTTTCGGTATCTTCGCTGCACCTCCCTCAGAGGCTCTCCGTCGTAGGCCTTCTTGCAGCCGACCATGAAGCGCTCATCGGTCCACCAAAGAGTCAGCTTGACGGTCAGGAAGAAGCGCTCTTTTCCATCAACAGGTTTGACCTCCCAGTTCTGAAAGAAGCACTCGACACGCACTTGCACAGGACCACCACCAAAGGGCTCAGGACGCTTACTCCAGTCGGTCAGGCGCATGCACAGTGGAACACGGCTATCCACGTTCGAGACGGATTCGAAGCCGTTGAATCCGCTCAAAGACTGCTGTGACGATGTAGCGGCATTTGCACCTCCTACATTGCCGCCTACACCTTTACTCTCCTCGTCTTGCGGGAGGTTATACGACCGAAACTTCTCTTCCCCTGATTCTCGAGCAGGTGCGCCGCCTTCTTCAGGAGCCTCTGGCGCGACGGATGACGCCATAGCTTCGCGCCACCGAGTCTCCGACTATGTTTTATCTTAATCGCCATCTAAGTGCCAGCATCTTTATATTCCTATCTGCGCTGATGGCGTAACCTTTCTTGTGTCTCGCCGCAGGCAGCACGATGTCACAACGGGTTGTCTGAAATGCGAGACGACCATGCATTTTTTTTCTTCAATTAGAGTTAACGACGGAGGAGCACAAAATTCAAAACTCGGAATGATTTGGCGGCCTGGAGTCCCCTATTTCATCTATGATTGCTTCTAGTTCTAGCCAAATCAATAATTCAACTCACATAAAGCAGCAACTACGTTTGTTTGCTCATCTATGTTGCCAAGAAATCAAATAGACTTTAATGGATCATCGAAACCGATAACGGCAAGGGCCTTGGATAAGTTAACGTGGCCACGACGGCTTCAATATTGCCGCTTCACCCTTTTCATTGTGCCGGTACAAGGAAGAGCCGTGCGTTGTTCTGAGTACCGATGAATATTTCGCCACAGAAGCCGGCGCACTCATTCCTTGTCCGCCCGTCGTTGGCAAGCTGTTACAGCATATGACAGCCTTCTTGCAATCAAAGCGTTGTTGCAAGATAGGCCTTCTGAAGTGTACTAGTTCTACATCCGAGGTTGGCCTTTCCACCGGGCCAAAAACACAGAATGAAATGGAGTACACTGCCGTCCCTTGCGGCTGGCGATCGAATGTGCGAGTGCGAGTGCGAGTGCGAGTGCGACTGCTGGAAGCAGAAGCTGATGCACTGAGCTGGCGATACAAAGTTTCCATGTCATGATAGAACATGATTTAATGCATGTGGAATTTCCTTAGGGTCAGGGCAAACAGAGGGACGACAAACGGGTGTGAGTATCCAGGATCAAGGAGGCGCATAAATGTTATTTGAACATGTTATCCAAGTCTCTCAAGCCTTGCGCGTTTGTATGACGGGCCTTTGCAGAGCTTTGCGGCTGACGCATGGCCTGTAAAACCGCACCCGTTGCAGGGGGCAAAGGTTCTTGAAAGGTATGCCTCTCCGATGGTGCTCGCAAAGGACTTCGGTCAGGCACATCATCATCATCATTTATGTACTTGACTTGCACTGGCCGCGGCTTTGGCGCTCGTTGCGACGTCGAAGAGTCTTTTCCGCTGCGCCCCCAACCGAACAGACGACTCATCAATCGCCCAAAGTATGATGCATTTCGCCTTTCTCCTGGGTCCTTCGACGTAGATTGCTGAACGCTAGAGGTTGCGACTCCGTCGTCGCGAGGACTCCCACTAGGTGTCGACCAGAGAGGCGTGCCAGAGCCTCCGTTTGAAATGGTGTAAATATCGTCCTCCTCGTTTAGCTCCTCTATTCTCCGAGAAAGCGTCGACACATCATCGCTGATGCCTGAATATACGGAAGAAACACCGGAACCACGACGACTCAGCTGGTCCTTGGACGGTGAGCGAACCTTCGAAGGTGACCGACAATGCCGCGCCAACTCTATCATAGACTGGATCTGCTCCTTTCGCTTGTGCCGCTTTTGCCTCCTTTCGCGTTCGGAAAAGATCTTGCCAAAATTCAATCGAAACTCCGTCTCGAAGTCGCGCCGTGTGTATTTTCTCCGCGGACTAGATGAAGTACTTGGTTTCTCTGCTATTGTCGAAGCTGTTGCAGAGCCTCCGACGATGTCAAAGACGCCTCGTTTGGATCCCAACCGCAAAGACTCTTTGCTCGCCGTAGTTCGTGGGGTTGTGTCTTGTTTGCCGCTAACCCGAGTCGCGGAGCTGCCGGCGCTCGCTCTCAATGGGGAGGTGCTTGCACTACTGGATACGGAAACCACCTCTAGCGAAGGCGTGGTAGCACCTGCTACGGCTCCTACCGTGGGCGTTCGAGTGCTGTCAACAGGTGCTGCAACCCTTGTAGGCGTTGTGCTCTCTGACGAAACAGCACCCGTTTGCCACTTGCTACTCGCACTTCTCCGATCTCTAGCAGCTGCGCTATTCGAAGGCTTCCCAACGGTACTAGTTTCCGATGTAACACCCGAAATTTGTTCGTCCGTGATCGTGAATGCACCCGGCCCCGAAGATGGGAACACCTTGTTACTGTATGACTTTGATGATGAGCTTCGACTTTGTTTAGCCGTTCCACTTGCGGAAGCCTTCTTCGCTCCAGAGACATCGTCGCTCTTACTATCACCGCAAGCTCGAACGGGGCTTTTCTTCATCCAGGGTAGTGGTTCGGACGGCGCCCCACGCGGCGCATAGAGCAACTTGTTGCTCCCTTCGCTTACCTGGCTCACGACCGACTCTTCATCATCGTCTATGGTCGCGCTTCCGCCTGGTGTCTTCCCGCCAGCTTGAGGCCCAGCCCCGACAAACAAATCTTCGCGCGGCGGAAGGTCGTAAGAATTCTGAGTCGCTGCAGACCCAGGACCTCGGCTACTGCTTGCAGCACTCGAACGCGCGCTCTGGCCTACTGTTGACGTCCGCAATCTACTATCACCACGGTTCCCCAGTTGCGCTGTTGGATTCAGCACGCGCCCCTTGCTCGCAAGCATCCCGTGCATCTTCATCTGGTGCCGCATGACCTCTTTCTCCTCATCCGTGCGTTTCCGCCGCCGCACCTCCTCGGCTGGCGCCTTACTGTGCCCACCCTCTGCATCCTCCATGGCTTGCTTTAGGTTAGGTTAGGTTGGGATCTACCATCCAATGTGGCAGTTTTGGCCTTCTTCTTATCTCTCCTAATCACGGAACGCCCAAGCTCCTCCGACAGTACGGTCATCCTGAGGCTCCCCCCTCTCCCGCGGCTTCAGAGTGAACGCAGATATTTCAGAAGGCCCTGTTCTTCCACACATCTTTCGTTCATAATTAATAAGGCGCCGTAGTTCGCCTACTGGAAAACTCAAAAAAGTCAAGATACATTTTCTCGTGAAAGAACGACTAGAGAAGCAGTTATCGTCTTGTGCACAACATCAACTTACTTCAAAAAGTGAAGCTCCTCCTCTCAACTACACTATAAATAAAACGAAAAGGTGTGTTTGATAGATAAAACAGGCAAATCGGAAGTAAGATGATCTTCGTTATCAAGTCTGGAATGACTGTAACAACAATTGTTTAACCACCGGCGTACCAAGAAAGAAGACCAGATCCAAGAGAAGCAGTTGTGACGAAATAAGGGCGCGTGCGAAAAATATTGGTGTGTGCGGCAGGGGATCTCTGTTTTCGCGAGCAGCCTAAGATCGAGGTTTAAAATCATAGGCATGCTTTATATGAGAACCGATAGATTGCAAAATCTCGTGAAATAGAAGCGAAGACAGGACCGATGAAACGCATCAAACGCTCTCGTTTGATTATAATTCTCAACAGGAGTAGCTGTGGAACAGGTGCGAACACCGATAATAACATCTGTATATCTATCGAGAGCTCGTGGTACAAATCCGTGTTGATTCTCCAAAGAACTAAGAAAGTATTTACTGCATTGAGTCATCCTAAATTTCAGATTACATTTCAATCAATCTAGTGCTGCTCTACCACCTCGTCATAGTTCTGCAACACGGAACAGCTTATTTACGGTCGTTGTTATTTCAAGCAATCATTCTATCGAGAGTCGAAAATCGCTTCCTTTCAAAAATCAGTACGAAGTTCTGCTACCAGTACCAAAAAATACCAAATATAAGTCAAAAGTCAAAATTGACTACCGCCATCATTTCATCTATACAGGATAACCGATCGACAGCGTACATCAATTTTCCTTAATCTTTCTCATCTATCTGGGCTACAACATCCTAAAAAGCGTGATATTCATTGCAGAAGATATTTCAGATCAAAAAAAGCAGACACAACGACAAGTGCTTGAATACTTTCTAACTAGCCGAACAAGATTGAACTAGCCCCACCTGGAGGCCGACGTCCGAACGCCGGCGGCGCAATCGTGCTACCAGCTGGAGAGGTCATATGACCTATTGAATTTTGCAGAGACGCTGGCTCCGCTTGATCGCCAAAGAAGCCAATCTTCCCTGTCGGTGAGCGATCTCGACGCTTTCGCTGCCGCAAGACCGATGAACTTGCGTTTGGGGTCGTCGAAGAGGATTGTTGTTGAGGCTGAACAACGACAGCTGGCTGAGCCACGACGTGGCTAGTCACAGTTGCAACCGGTGCTGCGGGAATAGGCATTACACTCGCAGAGCGTCCCCGACCTGAACTAGAAGTCGCAGTTGGGAGCTCCATTGATGTTCCGGTTTGATCAGCAACAGTGCCGCGGTGGGATCGATTGCTCGCTTGGCGTACTGAGTGCTCGTTTTCATGAGATGTCATTGGCTGTCCCGCAGCGGGTTGCAGGTTGCCCTGCTGCTGCCCATGATGGGCCGCAGACATCGGGGCTCCAGCCGGCGTTCTCACGCTAATCTTCGGTGGGTGTGGAGTATTTTGTGGAACGAACCGTGGACGATGGTGCTGCGGCGGTTCCGTTGCACCTGGCTGGCTCCCACCGTTGTAGACCCCCGGCTCGCGCAAGGATATCAAACTGAGTGGCTTGACGTTCTTCGAGGACGATGACATCCCCATAGTGCTTGCACTCGTAGCGGGAGAAGCCTCGACAGCTACGGGTGAAGGGCCGCCGAGCGTGCTACCAGAGGAGACGGGCATTTCGTGACTGCTACTCCTGCTTCCCACATTACCCAAAACGCCAAGCGCCGCGTCTCTTAGTGGCCCGGTGCGCGCGCTAACTTGTCGACTAGACGGCAGGCGCTGCTCGATTAGCTGCTGTTGCGCAATGATGGGTGTAGGTGTTGGTTCTGTACCAGTACCGCTATTAACGTCATTACTAGACTGGTGCATCATAGAGTAACTCGGCTTCAACTGCTCTGTACTTGCACCCGTGCTTAGCAAAGGAGGTCCTGTCTGCAAAGATGAAGATGGTACAACTGAAGAAGACGAGCTCGAGCTCTGCACAGTTGGTCCATGATCGGCAGTGCCCGACGGCGCCGGCAAATATCGTCTCCCACTCGTTGCTTGATTATTCGACCTTGTCGTCATCATTCGCGGGTGTTGTTCCGTCGACAGCATGTTGTCGTTACTTCGCGGCGGGGCTACATTGGAATTGCTGGCAAATGCATGATTCTCTTTGTCTGCTGCACGAGGCAAGCCACGCCCCTTCTGCATGCCACCTAATGGGAAATCGACATCACGTGGTGTACCAGTCAAAGGGTTAAACCGCTTTGGCTGCACTATCGGCGCAACAGAATTTGTAGTGGAAGCCGACCAAGATAGGTCCATGCTAGAGCCACCACCTGTCATGAAGATACGAAAGCGAAGTGAACTACAAATATTGAGGACAAATGAAGTCAGGTGCAAGAGAAGATGATGAAAAGTAAAAGGCTTTAAGTCACCGTTGTAGTAGTTAGATTATATGACGAAATCACGACGAAAAAATCGCTTCATTCTTCGAGGTAGAGCCCGTTAAATAATACCCGGTGGTTTTGCGATTTTGATCTCGGTTCGATTCCGGTCATGCGGTCTTTGAGGCACCCCATCGTCTACGAGCTTGTATTCTTGGCGCAAAATAGGCTTCGGCGGATCATTTTTCCTGCTCTCGTTCCAAGAATGCTCGATGTCTTCGCAAACGCTAGAAGAGGCGCTAGCCGAGTCAGCTGCGATGCCCCCGACCTTGCGATTTTGCAGGAAAGCAACCCGCTTGCGCTCCCAGATCTCTGCACGTCTCGACATCTTTTTCTCTCTCCTTGAAATCCTGTGCCACTTAGGTGAGTATGTAAAACTCGAGATCTTATCCCAATCTGTGCGGTAACTGTGCTGCGTACGAACTTTGTCGTTAGACTCTAGTGCAGGATTTTCTAGAATATAACCTCGCAAACGAGACCGTTCTTCAAGCAACTCGAAAATTTTCTTCTTAGTCTCTCTCACCTCCTCTAAAAACGGAGCTCTTTCTGTTATGCTAAGCTTCGTAGCCACAAGCAGGCTGCAACGAAGCGTTCAAGGGCGAAAAATTCCGAATTGATACGAAATCCAAAAAAGTTTCGACGAATCGCCTTCACGTCCTTCGATAACGAGATCATCCATACGAGAAAAGCAAAGTTGAGCAGATCCTTGTACAATCTTTTCAGATCGATCCACCTCTATCTGACAGAGGGTCCATTGCCCTCAACGAAGTAGTGTCTTAACCACATTCGCTGACGGTACTAATTCTTGTCTAAGTATATAGTACCCCAACAAAGGTACTCTAGTGTGCGTAGAAGAGTAACTCAGCATTACGATCGACAAAAGAGGAGAGTTCATGACATTATTCTCAACTCAGCAGCACAAGAAAGATAGTGGTCATGTAAATACCCGGACTATATGAAGATCATGAATATTTTTTGCGTATCAAAATCTAAGTCGTCCGACAAATCATAAAACTTGTCAATGATGTAGTGTGAATCCCCTCTGAACGAACATCAATTCGAACTGAACTAATTTGCCACAGATGCGCATGCGAATGCTCCTTTTTAGTACGATTTGCGATGGCACTAATTCTTGCGAGAAATGAAGATAAATCTGACTATGACAATCAATGATAAAAATTCGTATGCGATTTGCGCGAAAAGGTTATTAGATGTAGCTAGTAGTCAACGTGGAAAAAAATTTAAGTTCAAGATCAGCATGCCCAAATTCTTTGTTCTTCTATTCTTCACATATGTAACGCTTCAATCACTAGATGTATTCAGAGGCGGTTCTCATCATTGATAGTGTAATTTCTGCCAAAATGAGTATGATGCCCTTAATATGCTCACAGCCCGGCGACATTTTACCGCCATTTCGGGGAACGAATGGAAATCATACATTTTCCATAGGAACAAATCTAGTTTTTTCGAAGTACTTGTGGTCCATGTATCTGAAATTGCGCCATTACTACTATATCGACATAGCATGTTCGAATGACATGCGACTAGCAACGCAGAAATGTGGAGGGTCTTGCGGGACTCTTAGTACACTGTCGCAAGGTTCTGCAGTAATGTCTGGAGCCAGCGCTTGGTGGTGGCATCGCTTTCCAATAGTGGCTGCAGCTCCGTGCCAGATCGGAGGGCGTCCGGAAGACACCGTCGTAACGCGTCTCGCGCACGCTCGTTATCGGACAAGCGCAAAAAACATCTTACTACGTGCTTCAGCAGTCGCGCAGCTGGGTCACGGGCACGCCTTATGTCATCCACCATCTTGTTTAAGACTGTGGCTACCTGATAGAATCGCTCGGCGGTCTGGGTAATATAGGCTAGGCCGGTTTCGTCCAACAACAGCTTCTGGAGAATAAATGTGGCCACCGTCTTCGACAGTTCTGAGCCCGTCTCCATGATACGGAGGCATAGGGGAATAATCTCGGTCTGCAACAGGAAACCTAGAAGCCGGTCAGATTTCACATTGATGAGAGCAATAGCGGCTAGCAGGAGGTCTACAAAAAAGGACGAGTTCTTGAAAAATCAAAATGTAAATCAGTCATGAAGGTGAAATAAGTACTTAGTTGCAGTTGCACTATGGAATCTACATGATTTGCAATACCTGCAACGTCCGTGTCGTCTACCTTGACTAGGGCACCGATCACGCCGAGGGAAGTGAGCCGCAAGTACTCATATGGTTTCTCTTGCGAATGCGTATTCAGGAAAGGGTACAAGAGCAATGGGATTTGCGCACGCAAAAAAAGAGGCCGCGTTTCTGTATCGGAGGCTAAGCACTGCAATAGAGCTAGGCTGTTGCAAACGCGATTTGAAGACGTCGCCGTAAGAGAGTGAGACGACAACTGTGGATACACGCCGATCTGTCGATGGAGAGAACAGGAGTAATTTTGGAAGGTTTTGGTTGATGTAAATATATCATTTACATTTTTCAACAACGCTACACACACTGTATATAATTTCGTGGCCAAAATAAATAATTGAGTTCACTACGATTTCCTGACAGAGCGCAGCTATCGTTCCGAAGCTATGCCAGAGAATTGGAGCTAGATCCTGCAAGTTTTCCCGTCGCTTCGACAGTTCGTACAAGGCTGCTTCCCTTCGATCCTGCTGCCTCAAGTCTAGAACGTACTGGTATATGCCTGCTTGCCCCGAAGATGATGAGCTACCTCCGTGCTGACCACTACTTTGATTACCAGAAGAGCGCGAAGACGAGTGATGGTGGCCGCCACCGGCTGAACCTGCACCGCTTGCGGAGGCGCTGCTGGCTGCTGGGCCTCCGTGGTAGCTTCCGTTAGCCTGCGATGCACTAGACTGGTGGCCGTGATAGGAACCGGAATTACGTCCGACTAAATTGGAGGAGGTCGCTCCGCCTATTTGGCCGATTCCACTACTAAGACAACCACCCGTCGTGTTGTAACCGCCGCCAGAAGCATGTACAGTATTGTGACTACTGTAACTGCCATGATGCTGCTGTCCAACACTGGTCGCACTTCCGCCGTATGCGGTAGCCGCAGCACTAGCTTGTTGACCATACCCGTGTGCAGCGGCCTCCGTCGAGGACGTGAACGCACTACTCCCTGCTCCTCCGTAGTGATAAAAGTTGTGTTGTGTCATCGATGGGTGAGTGCCGTGCCCCCCTGCGCCCTGAGCCTGTGCTGCACCAGGCACTTGCTGTCCCAGCGAACCACTATTAGACGACGAACCGCGTACATTCGTCGTGCCAGACGAAATGGTAGAAGAATGGTTTTGGACATGAGAACTCTGCGGGGCCGCACCAGGTGGCTGTGAGCTGCCGGGATGCCCTCCATACGCATGATGCTCTCCATGGTGCTTCTGCAGCTCCTTTCGTATTCCAGCGGCCGCTTCTGCCTCTAAATTTATCGGCTGGATCAAGCTTTCTGCCACTTGAGCTGATCCCTCGACGTGCTGCCAGGAAGCCGCCGCCTGCCACCCGTTCTCAGGACTGGCATACTCTGATCATGTAATTGAAATTGTGGAACTAAAATGAAATCATGCTGGTACCGAATTATGATCAGTATAATGCCGTGACTGTCTGATGAAGATGATGAACGGCGAGAAGTTGAGTAAGTAGTTATTGCATTACCACGCAAGCTGATCATAATAATAAACAAGATGTTACTAGCAGCAGTTGTACGAAAGTCGTCTTCACGATGAAACTACCTCGGACGGTCTCCATGACTTCATACCCGCAAGTCTCAGCCGCGCTTTATGTACGAAATCCCAGGTGCGTGATCGTACAGGGGAGAGCAACCGTGAAGAATGACAGTCACTTCATCCACAAGTCTTAATCTAAGAGTGAAACTTTGTCGTGTTCATGAACTAGAACTTATCAAAGAGAGTCGACCGCAAGAAAAAAAAACGCGTAATCGAAAACGTCGACTTAAAGGCGAAAACCGACTCGTCACTGCTTACAGGCAACTACACAAACATCACGTTAAAACTATCCTCGGACACCTTAGGCCATGCTAGTCTGCTGTTATAAATGACAACGACAAGCAATCAACAAAGTGGGCGACTCATTGCGGTGTCTCATTGCATATTTCTAATCCTAGATACCGTGTAAACCAAATTTCTTCTAGAGGTCATACGGTGGAATAGGTGAATGTTATCTTTAGCAAAGATTACCACTCAGTCGCCTACAAGTAACAAGCATAGAGTACCTACTACACCCACATGATAAGTAGCTTTGCAAAAATCACAGCGCTCAGTGTTCATAGGAGATAAACAGTTGTGAAACTCCTCGCAGCAAACCGAGTGCAGTTTTTCAGTGGCGCAACCCGACTCTTTCTGACGCATGACAATGTGTGGGATTTCCACTTTCTAGTTTTTTCTTTTTACGATACTTTCGACATACAGGACTTCATGAGCGCTGGTTGATGTCTGTCCAGCAACTGGACTCTCCTGCACGATGCTGGTCTTTCACTTCTTCAGCACAAATGATAGACTGCCAGAAGGATAAACTAAATGCAATCAGAGTGAGCAGGATCAGCTGACTCGCGTCTTCAAAGACGAACACAACAAAAACAACGTAGAGAGTCCCGATGACATCATGATAGACATCAAATGCCAGGAAGAATTTTGGTGCGCGCGTGTATCACACTTTTTAAGTCGATGTAAATGAAAATAGTATTAAGAGGATGACGAGACCTTTTCCCTTGCGATCTCGATTCTCTTATATTGATCACTAAGTCACAGTCAGAAATGCGCAGTAAATGTGAAGGTATGGAATTGTAGATGAGTTCGTCAGGGGCGCCCAGAACTAATGAGCTCTTTGCGACAGGGGTTGGGAAGTATCAACACCAATTTGCGCATGGAAGTGAAGAGACCATGTCGGTATTGCTCGATGCGCTTTTCTTACATGGACGCACGCTAGACCAGCAGCAGCTTAAAAGGGTTCGCAACTGCAAGCCTCCTCCACGTGTTTGACCAGTTTCTCTAGTGGAATCTGAATGCGATCCGCAATTGCACTTTGCAAGGGCCAGCTGAGGAACAAAAACAAGTTTAGCAAGCTCCCATCCTCTATGTTCTTGCGGTAGTGACCATGAAAGTGTTCTGGGCAGCGCTTCGCAAGGGGCGAACAGCCAGCTACAAAGGGTAGTCTCTGCGCCAAATGAGCGCACAGGGTATTCAAAATACGAAACTTGGTGTCCGTCAGAGCGTTCAGCGCAAAAAAACTTCCGTCAGCTCCACCCAAGAAGACACCGCCGAATCGCTTACCCTTATGCACTCGCTCCATTCGCTCTATGGCTCGAGCGGGCGTGCCTGAGTAAAATTGGGAAAGGAAGTGAATCACATATCGCGAGAACAAATTCAATTTGAAATTCAAAATGTCATAAAATCTTGTTCTTTGGCCGTTTTCTGAGTTACTTCTACGCTGATTCATTCAGCCTCTTCCGTCTAGCGCAAAAATTCGTGAGCGAAACAAGTACCGAGATGAAAGCTTGCTGCGGTCCGTAGAACGCGGTCTCCTTCCTTTGAATCGATCATGTGCGGCAGGTATTGTGAGAGGTGAACGTTTCCGTAGATGTCGGTCGCCACAAGACCCAATGTGTTCTGCTCCAAGATGAAGTTACAGCCCAGCACCGGTACTTGACTCCCGACATTCTCACTCCCTACCCTGCGCTCCTTGTTCACCACAGAAACCAGTGAGTGCGAGCTCGATGCCGACCTTGCTAATCGCTCCAAGCGTTTGACAGGCTTCATCATGCCGCCCGGGGCCTCGAACCACCGCAACAAATCCATGCCGTTATGTGCATCCCCGAGCAAGATGTAGGCACTCTTGACGATGGACATGCTGGTGATACAGAAGCCGCTCTCATGGAACGCGAGAAGCTGTAAACTACTGTTTTGTGAGTCCCATCGATGCAGGCAGAATCGGTTGCCGCATGTATAGGCCAGCAGCTCTCGGCCAACAGCCTGCATGCACATGATCGGACCCTTCACTCGCTTGGAGAAGAAGGGTTCTGCAGTAGTTTCGGAACTCAGTAAGCTTCCCGGGGTAGGGACTAGCTCACTGCCGCTGGTGTCGCCAGCCTGATTGTCGGCAAGAAAATAAGGAAGTGATTTTTGTTCTCCCATTGATCAGCATCATCGATACCCCATGAGGGATGTTAGTTTTCAAAGAAATGAGTGAATCAAACGTGATCTCTTATTGCCACGGGTAAGCCACCAGCATATATTTTGCAATACAAGTATATTTACCTCAGTCCCGCTGTCCCCTCCTGGTTTCGTCGGGTCTTTTGCTAGAAACAGCAATACTCGACCTCGGCAGACAGTATCCTCGCCAAGATTAATGCCGGTGCCGACGCATAGGACACTTTCGCTAAATTGCCGAAACTTGCACCATTCCATGCACATCACGCTTTCCCTAGGATCCAGCGAGTAAGAAAAGTTTAAAGGCAACACCGCGGCGTTGTTCAGCTCACTGGGATCTTGTAGCGTACAAACCTGCACAAACAGGTGAAAGGAGAAGAGGTGGGCAAACCGAAACTATATAGCATGAATGAATACTAACTAATGAGAGATACTTTTTCAACTTTAACTGCTTTACCTCTGGTAACTGAATATCATCAGAAACATGTATTCATCGGGTTCTTCTCCACCAAAGGAAATCATTGGTCTTTACCTGCAATTCGTATTGGTGACCTCTCCTTGGAACAACTCGTTTCGCCGTGCCCTCTTCCTCTTTTACTGCATCTTCGTCCATGTCATCCTCGACGGTTTCTACTGCCGCCGCAACTTTAACCTCTTGCTCACCGTCAACTATCGGCGGCAACGGTGCGTCGTCCTCTTCCGCAGCAGCCGGGTCAAGATCGATCACTCTGTTTGTAGTGTATTGAGTAAAGAGGATCTTATCCTGAAGGCTGCAGAGGAAATCGATGTCATAAAAGTTTGGAGCACATACCGAATTAAATCTCATGTGTAAGATCCTGATGCAGTCAATCAAAGCTAGTAGAGATTACTTTTGCTCCACGACTGCTTCTGCAGTAGCTATCGCGCAGAGTTTCGAAGCTGGGTCCACTGAAGCCGCAGTCGGCGCATTTGGGAGTGCGAATTCTGTGCGTAGAACTGGCGAAAAGAAGTTAACTGCGTTATTCAGCATATGAATTTGGCCCTCCCAGACATTTACTGTTTCGAGATCGCCTTCTTCCTGTGCGCCAAAAGTGAAATCACCACCATCCACCAGTCTTGGCACGCGAAGCTGCTTTTTTACTAAGGAGAAAAAACAGAACTCCTCGCCCTCCTCGAAGAGAGTGCGAGAATAGAACGGCTGGGTGCAGAGTAGCTCCTTACGACCTAGATGCGCGAAGAATCGATTGCCGTCAGCAAAGAAGAACACTGGTCCATTTTGTCGACACCAACGATCGACACACACGCAATAACCACCATCGTAAGCAAACTTCCTAAGTCGAGGCTTCGTACGCTGACGGATCTGCGAGGTATACCTGATGAACATCAAGATCGTATTTAATTGAATGATGTTCTAACAACGTCGTGGAGACGATGCTAGTGCTACGTGAATGATCCAATTGTGAAATTAAAAGCAACCTTGACTATGGCTGTTCAACAACAGAATTGTTAACTGAACAAGGCTAGTACAATGCGAAGATCGCGAGATGACTTCTTAGTACCTGTGTTGAATAAGGCGGAAGGAGAAAGGAAAATGTGCCGCCGCCTCATCCTCCTCTTCGCTGAAAAACGATCTGTAGACAAGAATCGGTCTTCCTTCCTGGAGCAAAAAAAGCGTCGGACCGCAGTCTCCGCTCGCCAGGTTCATGTCTACAAGCTCCACACTGAATATATCGCTCTTTGCGCCCGCGCTACCTACCCCTTTGTCATCCACCACCTCTGCGGTCGGTGACGACAAACAGCGAAGCCGGTCCGAAGCTATTGCAGCGCCCTTGCGCTTGCTGTTTCGCAGAACGCACGCTGAAAGATCGAGATTCCACGACGCGAAGACTTCACGCACGGCCGCGTTCTCTTCTCGGCTCTCACTTGGAGACGCACTTCTGCTCGGCCGTTTCTGGCGTGTAGCCTTTGTACCTCCCACGGACCGTCGTCCCCGTCTTGGAAACGCCCTGTCTCCGGAGGACAAAGCCATCAACTCGAAGACACGCACTTTCCGGCCCTTGCGGTCCTCCGTCACAGCAACAATGAATTCTCGACGATAAAAGGCACAAGCGAGCACGTCACCCAAAGCGATATCCGCGTAGAGCTCGTCACGCGAGTCGAGCACACAGCGGACTGCGCCTGAGCGCGACATCTGGTCAAAATCAAGCTCTACAACAAACAGCCGTCTGGAAGCATTGTCCAGAACCATCAGATGGCCGCCGTCTGAATTGGTGGAGACTTGCGCTTCTGCGAAACTGTGACTTGAATCCAAATCAGGCGCGCAGACGTCCCGCACACTCGTCGAGATCAGTGGCTGCAAGGAATCTGGATCCACGATATGGATGTCGCCGCTCTGCGTCAACGCCCAATAAACGGAGGAACGGGCACAGCCACCAAGAAAGAGAAGACTCTTCTCCGTCAAGAAACTGTTTGAAACCTCGCGAATATTATCGTCGGAGTTGAGATCTAAAACTAAATTCTTTCCACTCTCCGTGCTAATGGCCAAGTATTTTGCCTCCGTAGGCGAGATCACTGGCAAGCCCGAGTTGATTGAGTCGTTTTCTGTGGCCGCAGTCTTCGCGCTTCTGCTTTGCTTCCGCGTCATGCCAAATGAGGGCAGTGTCCATATGTCTGAGCGCACGTCGCCAGGCAGCTGAAAGCTGGCCCGGACCTCGGTTGGGACCTCTGAATGCACACAGTTTAGATAGGAATGCTGTGCGCCAAACCCGGTCGCGGCTACGAAACCGGGATACCAGTTTTCGGATGTGCCGCGCGCATCGTTCAGATTGATCCCTATGGTACTGAGATGCCGAATCCGTCCAAGGTACCTTCGATCCAACTGTTGCAGGTGAAAACTAAGAACCTCACTCCCTAGTTCCACAATGCCGTTGCCGGCTTTACCGAGACGAAAAGGCGCCAAAATGCCAGCTTCCAGTGGAGGCAGTCCTGCTGCTCTCTCCTCCGTTTGAGCAGCTGCTAAGCCTTGACTAGTTCCGGCAGTTACTAAATCGATTACCTCTACGTCCCCCTCGTCCTCGGCTACGGCAAAATCTTCGCCGCTCAAGCTGCGTCGGCGCTTGCGCAGACGGTCCTGCCGGCGTGACACGTTGGTGCCCATTCCGGCGAGATCGCGGATCATGTCTAAGTGGCGCGCAGGATGGTCTTCCTCGAGGTCTTCCCCATAAGAGGAGGTCGCGTTCTCCTTGTCGTGGTGCAGCTTGGTCAAATATTCTAGCTCCTCTTCGGGCTGCAGCTGGAGAAGCATCTTCCCGCCGTCCACGGACTGCTCATCCATCCCTCCCAGCATGTTATTAGCTGATTCTGTCGACTCTTCGACGTCGAGTTTCGCCCTTTTGGCACTTCGTTTCCTGGCATCCATAAACGCTAGAATTGCACTCGTCGACCGCCTCCTCATTGGCACCGCGCCCTCCTCCGTGTACTGCGCCTCGAGTAGCACCTCCACCGCAGAGGAGCCGCTTGTCATGAGGACGTGATTGCCAAAGACGCAGATCCCGTCGAGCGACAATCCCGCGAGTGGGTCGCCGGTTGGCGCGCCCTGGATAGCCAATGGTCGCCACACAAACCTGGCAGGCATCCCCGGGAAGAAGACGACGTCCAACAGATACAAGGACACATCTTGGGCTAGGTTCGGACTCAGCAGCACCACGAAGCTGCTCTCACGGACACGCGATATGCTCGCTTCTGTGAGATCAATGCCCAAGCCCTGCGTGCTGTCCTCGATCGTGTACGCACTGCGGTTGACTTCGTCCAACAGCAAGGCATTGCCGTGCACAATTTGCGCTGACACATGCTCTGGCTCCAGCTTGCTGTCGCCCGCGAACACGAGGCCATGACTGCAAAAGAAGAGCAACCCCTTCGACAGCGAGAAAACGCGGAAACAGTTGAAGAGAAAGTCGTTTGCCTTCTGCAGGACCGAGGTCTCCTCAGAGCGCAGAAATAACGATAGAATAGCGGTGCGCGATGACCGTGCGCACCTTGGAAGATCCACGACAGTTGCAGGTGTACGGCGACCGCAGATCGCGATGCAGGGTCGTGTCAAAGAACGCCTGACGGATTAAGATGTGAAACAGAAAGAGTATCATTGTTCGTCTCATCTGGTTTTTGTTGAAAAGAACGTGCTACAAGTGATCTTCGGTCGAACTTACTTCTACTAGACCTCCTATTCTTTCATGTTGACTTACAGAAAACAACAGGGCCAACATTAACTCACCGTGGAGTAAGACATGTGAAGGCCACAAAGCAATCAATACGATTCCAAGAAGCAGAGGTCCTCCACCGTGTACATGCTGATAATCTTGCTCATGTTCAACACGTAAGCCCTTTTCCGAAATAGAGGTCGCCCTTCCAAGTATGATGCATCGTGAAGTGTATAGTCTGCAACCTTTCCTAGACCCTGCCTTCTGTCCGCGACTTTCGCTGAATTTGGAAATATATAGAGGGTGATGGGAAATGGCTCGTAACAAATCATAGTAAGCTCTTCGTACTTAATCACATCTCCATGGATAACTCTCTGGTCAACGACGAACTCCGGAAAATAAACTGTTACCTATGGATTTCTATCATCAAGAACTTACCATCCAGTGCTTCGGCTTCTTTCTCGCCGCTCGCTGCACCGATAACGAGTGTGTCCGTTGCTAGGTTCGTGAGGATCACAAGGTGCACGCTGTCCACCTGTACGATGAGGCAGCGGTGGTCCGGGTCAGGGTAGACTTTCGTGCACAATGCGCTCCACCTCAAGTCCGCTAGCCTCCCCAAGTGCAGCACATGCGTGGACACAGTGCAGAAGGAACAAAACGTTGCATCGTAGCGCAAAATGGAAAACCGGACGTCCGGAGAAACGCTGGACCTAAAACAGAGGAGCAACAGCGGCTGTCCAGCGTAACTCGGATGTGTGAAGTCTGCGCGCGCGTGCACCGGACTTTCGTACAGCGTGAGTGACGAAACTAATCGCATCGCTCTTCTCTTAGGTGCAGAACTGCTGCTGCTCTCGCCCGAGCCGGATATAACCCCCCGGCCAGCAGTTGGTGCAGTGTGGTTGTCTGCAGTTTTACTCCCACCTTCCTGTGCTTCTCCACCTTCTGCAGGTAGCTGCCCCAAAGTCCCTCCGAAAACCGCATCTTTACTCCGGGCAGGTGCAAACGTCTCCACGAGCTCCAAAGTACTACCACGGATCAAGACGCAGCGATCAGCCCCAAACGGCTGGCAGAAGCTGACACAACCAGCCTCACTCAACGTCTGAACCACACCACACGACATCTTTGCTTGTTAATGTTACCTATATCTACCTACTAAAATAGAGCAAAGGTCTCAAAGACTCGTGAGATGATGGAAGAAGTATGTCAAAGAAATAGGTCAACTACAAACGAAACAAAAAAGAGAAGGGAAGTGAATCCTTCTATCGACAAGTAAACACAGAGACCATTATCAACAACAGGCTTACGCAGCCAGTGTCGAACGACTTACAAATTCGTCATGGCATCTTCTAGTTGCAATCAAATCGGACTACACCTGTCATTACCGCAACAACCTTCTCTGTGTGCAGATTGAAGGATGTACGAAGAAACTATAACCGCAGCGACAACGCGGGATTTGTAATTCTGCCAAAAGGAAAAACCAAAACTTGATGATAAATTCATTGTTGAACTACAACCAACAGTGAGTCCTGAAGGCTTCTCATCTAATCAATAGAAGGACGGTACTTACTGGTGAATTTATTCTCATTACCATTTTCGGTTACAATTGTCACCGACTGCTGCATGAATACAGCTTCTCCAAGCTTTGGATGAAAGCCTTTCATACTGGTGAATAATCTTTGACCAGCAGTACAATATTGTGAAACATCAATCATCTCACCACCGTTGACCGACATTGCACAAGGAGACTTAATATTGGAAATGGTCACTGGTCATTTCCTGATGTAATAGTGGATCCATTCCTTTGATCTAGACGTAGTTGCAGCACTTCCGAAAACCGATTATCCTGATCCTATTTTGTTATGCACAAGACGAGATCAATTCTGTCCAGTGCTCCAGATGATCGACTGAGGTACAAGAGGACAGGGAACAGAGGACTCAAAGTCGGAATGACGTGTGCGTGTTGCAGACATCATGCAAGATCGGAATCCATCCTTCGGATGTCGGATATCGCATCGAAAATTGTATACTTTCTTACAGCAAAGACCACGAATCTGTTCACCTTACAACGGTGCTCGACTGTCGCTGCATCTTTTTCAGAAGAAGATTAATGTCGAATGCATTGGAAAAAATGACATAGTTCTGCGAACGTGATGTACAACGAACGAATCAAAATCTCAATTCTATAAATCTCTTGGACAGTAAAAAGTATTCATTCTGTACAACTTTCCAACTAATTCTTCGTTTCCAGTACAAAGGGCACTGATCGGTTGGAAGTGATATTCGATAGAAACCTGCGCGTTGGCGACAATGCGTTTTCCTGAATCGTCTTCCAGGCACTGGCACTGAAGACGCAATTAAATTACTGTTGAACATTACAACTGACTGCCATAGGTGGAAAAGACTTCTACGTACATCGATTCATTTCTATCATGCACGACTTTTGTGCCTTAGGCCATTCCTGTAAACTCCAGTAGGTTAAGTTCGCAGCCACAGCATCCCACTGTAAAGTTGTCCATTGGGTTTCCTCCTTGCTGCAATTTTGCCATTTTCTTCGGATCTTTCATCGCCTCTGCCATAATTTCATTTGCAGCTTGCTGTGCCTCGGCTTCCGTGTGCACTGCTGGTCCCGGCGCCTTCGCTTTTGGGCCATCATCCTCCTCTTTTTCAGGTTCCATTACGTTTCGATTTTTCTCTTGTTCTGCTTCAGCCTCCTCGCTGGCTTCTTCACCCCTCATATCGTCTTCCTCCGATGGCATCTTCTTCTGCAGTTCTTCCTGATCCGCGGCGTCGTCGTCCTCTCCACCCGGCCCACCCATAGAAGTGTCCCCACCCGCGCCCCCTTCATCATCACCTCCGTTCTTACGCCCCTTTCCCCCACCACGCTCTTTGCCCTCCTCGGCCTGCACATTTTGCCGTCTGTTCGTGCTGCCTCCGCGAGCCTCATCGGTCGCTGCCTGTCTCTCATCTTCGTGCTCCAGCGCTGTACCGCGACGTTGCATGTCCGCGTCCTCTGCTTCTCCGACAGCGCGATCTGCTTCGCTGGCCTGCTCTTGCACTTCCCGCTCCGCTTTCTGCGCGTCCAAAGGATTTGGGTCATCGTAGCCGTGCTCGCGTTGCGCGCGATCGGGCTCGCCAGGCATGTCGCCGACATTTTGTGTGGCACCGTTTTCAGAACCAGGTCCGACCGACTCGTGAGTTTGCTCTGCACTGTCAGTACCTAAGCCTCCCTCTTGCAACGACTTTTGCGTATCCTTTGTACTGCCAGGAAAAATCACCGGTTGACCCGCATACCTCGCGAAGCTCGTCGTGGAGTGATGCCGCGATGAAGATCCTCCATCATGATGACCCGAAAACGGAGTGGTTGACCGCGAGCACGACACAAGTTTCAGACCACTGCCATCTTCCAGATCTGCTGCTGCAGGAAAGAGAAACTGCACCGCTTCGTTCCGTTCCGCAGAGGAAGTCGGGGTCAACACCGAAGTTACAAGATGAAGCCCGCCGGCCGGCATCTTTCAATGCTGCCAAAGTGGTGCCGCGGGTGAAACCCCGCGTCACCCTAGGGGTACGAGATTCTCCTCAACATGATGATCCGTTTTCATCAAGCTGAGAATTTGTGATGCGTCATATTTTCCATCATCAAAAACAGGATCAGCCACCAGGATCGACTAGTCACCCGAACATAGTTAGCTAAGAACTTAGACTTAGGATTGCAACAGGTATGAATGTTCATCGTCAATTAATGAAGATCTTTATCATTATATTCGCATAAAAAGTAGGTAAAAAGTTACAAGGTAATTATCATATCAGTATTGGATCGAAATCCAAACCAAGAGTGCAAGAAATGCACAGCCACTCGGCTCTACTGTTAGTTCGGCGACTTCCCTCTTCCTTTTCAAAAGTCGAGTCGACACTTTAATAACTTTTCTTCATCTGTTAATTTGGACTTACGTTACTCGTAAATTGATGTGCTCTATCACGTCCAAAGCGAATTCGACTTAGAGGTTCGAGATTTTCATGCATTCGATTCGAACACAAAACAAACTGAATTCACCCGTGACGCACTATTCTAGCGTCTTCATCGTCTCAATCGCCTTACTTGCCATGCAGTCCTTTGTCTATGGAGTAGACAGCCGTCGCGCAATTCAAACGAGCATAGCTTTCGCGTAGTTATATATAAGGTCAATCTTTTAGTCGATGGTGCACGCTTTGTCTTCGCGCACAATCCAGGTTTACAAGAACGACCAATTTCTGCAGGTGCAGTTAATGATTCTCATATTTTTAAGAAGGGGCAAAGCCTAGACCTAGTTGGTTCACAGTGAACCGGAACTAGGTTTTGTGGAATAAAAAACAGAAGCATAATATTCATATTTTGGGCATCGAGAAAGCATCTACTTATCTTCAGCAATGGGGAAAATGATAATGGGCCGACAGCGTAGTAGTTAATTTATGACGACGCGCCAGAGAAAACCATCTTCAAGAAGGGGTTTTCTTTCTGCTCGCCACTAGCCGATGCTTCTGCTGCTGAGCGCTTGCCGCCACGTGTCGTGATGTTGTCATCTGTAATGCGATTGTAAGAAGGAAGCCTGTCTTCACGCATATATGAAGTCGGGACAGCGTTCCGTTTCAACAGCATTCTCTTTTGCGTTGTGAAAATCTGATGCAGTCTTCAACCTCAACCCAGGTAACAGTTATCAACCTAGATTGCAAAACAAAACAAATCAAATCGTACCAGACGGCTCAAGAGTGGGTTCACGGGCAGCCTCCTTGGCTCGGCCTTCCGGGGCGTCTTTATCAATGTCGTCTTCAGCTCTTCTCTTGCGAGACCCAATTGCCTGAATGCCACCTGCTGCCGCAGCTGAGATTGATCGATAATTTCGAAAAAGTTCACTCTACAATTACGAATGATTGAATTTATATTCAATGAATACAATAATACTTCTGTTGGCAAAATTCATCAGTGAGAAGATAATCGTGAATATTTAGAGATGAGAAGTGATCGTATTTCTAGGTAGCTGTCTTCTTAAAGTTCAAGGAGTACTTTTAGCTTGATAAGCGGCCAACGCTGGATCTGGCCCTGAAGGCTTGGTATTGTTGGCAAAAACAGGAACCGGCGCGGGCTCTTTTGTGCCGTCAGCTCCAAATCGCTCTGTGAGTGACTGCCCGCCAAACGCATTGCGGTCACCACCTCAAAGAATTTCAATTGTGATCGTGATTGTTGTACAGCTTCCTTTATCACCAGCATACATGCTATTAAATCACAGAAGAGCATTTTATCTTCAAGTTGAGTTTCTCTCGAATGCAAATTATCATCATTTCCTAAAATGCCTTATTTGACCCAATCTTACCAAAGATGCTCCCTCCTCCGCCAAAGATGGAACTCGCCGACGTTTTTGGCGGTGCGCCAAAGATCCCGCCACCTGGAGACTTCGACTCTCCAGCTTGTAGGCCTCCCCCGAATATCCCTCCACCTCCTGGTTGCGACGCTGCTGAGCCGTTCGCTGGCTTTCCGAAGATATTAGAAGCCGCTGAAGGCGCGGCCGGGTCTTTTACATCTCCCGTTTCTTTAGACGATCCAGCTGTGGCAGGAGTGACTGCGCCGAAAGTCGGAGTGCCGATCTTGTCCGAGCCACTCTTCGCTGCGTTGGCTGCTGCAGCGCTAATGAGCTTCTTGCGCTCACTCAGGAGACTGGTCTTCTTTGGTTTGTTCGCCGCAAAGATATTGGTGCCGGAAATAAGTGGTTCTGTTGGCGCCTTACTGAACATCGCGTTTGGATCAATCTTGAAAATACTAGCATTGGTGTCGGTTGCCTGAAAGAAGGGGAAGAGATAACTTTCGATGTTGAGAGAAATGCCGTGAAACAACTAACCCACCTAGTACATGTATCTTCCGGCGACGCTCTCAGACTAAGAGTCGTCCCTATGAATCTACAACGACACACATCATGAGAATACGAAACAGAAAAATTTAAAACGTGTCTCTGAAAAGATAATGACTACCTCAAAAATGGAGCGCCTCTTTGTTGCAGGCTTCCTTGTGCTCCCTTCGACTGATGGTTCTGAGCTAACGGAGGGTCGTCCAGGACCAAAGATTGCAGTAACATCTGGTCCACCGGATGCAGTTCCTCCGAAGATGTTGCTAGTAGTCGCAGTTGTCGCGGTGCCAGCAGCTGTTCCGCTGCACGCTCCTCCGAATATGTTGCTGGTGGCGCCAGCGGATGTAGAAGCGCTTGTGCTGGTTTGTTCGTTCTTTTTCTCTAGTATGCCTGTAGACGTTGATTCTCTCCTTTCTTCAGCTGGCTTTCCAAATATCGATGAGGTTGTCACTGTTGTGGGATTCGCATCCAGAGCTCCGCCGAAGATGCCGCCAGAAGTTGGTTTATTCGCTTCGTCAGACTTCGTTGGTGCTGCTGTTGACGCCCCGAAAATATTAGTCTTGGCATCTGCGCTACTTGCTGCTGGAGCGCTAAAAATGTTAGGCTTCGCGTCACCGCTTGCAGCACCAAAAATGCTAGTCGATTTTGATGATTCTGGAGCGTTGCCGAAAATACTCGGCTTTGCGTCTCCACCGGACGCAAGAGCTCCGAAAATGTCGCTGGATTTGGTCTCACCACTGGTTCCGCTAGTTGAGGGAGCGGCTCCAAAGATATTTTTTGCCGCAGCATCTGATTTTTTCTCACCACCAGCAGCGCTGCCGAAGATCGAGCTTGTTCCAGCTGCTGAGGTAGAATTGCCGTCCTTACTAGCCTCCCCAGCAGCTGCGTCAGGCTTTGCGCCGAAGAGCCCACCAGAGGAGCCAGCGCCGCCGAACAGCGTGCTACCGGTTCCAAAGAGACCTGTGGTCCCTCCTGTTGTTGTGCTCGCTGAGGCCGAGAACATTCCACCCTGATCGCCGAACAGACCCCCACCCGGAGGTGGAGCAGCACCGAAGATCGACGTCGACGACGACGAAGCTGTTGCAGCTGTGCTCTCAGCCTCACCACCAGCTCCATCGCCTGTTGATAATTGCAATGAAAGTGAAGTTTTCTATTTCAGGTGAATCACCTTCACCCCTCACTGGCTATAGAGATGAAGTAGAATGAGAGAGAATCCAAAATTGAAATTGCACCTTCTATCACCATTTCAACAAAGAAGAGCGTTACCTCTAACTTACTCTATTACTTAGAACCTTCAAATAAAATGAAAATAATCTAGCTTTATACCATCGCCTTCCTTCATCTCCGCCTCGTCGGGAAGGCCTTCGGACGCGTAGGTAAGGATGATTCCACCCTTACTATCCAAGAAGGGGACATCGTACATGCCGCATACTTTCTTGTACAAAGCAGTCTCCTTACCATTGTACTTCTCCATCAAGGCATCTAGGCCACCAAGCTTCTTCGGATTCTTCTTCCTGTAGATTGCGTCAATGTTGTTACGGATGATAAGTGTAAGTCGATCTTTTCCTGATTCCGGTCCTTTTTCTCCATCTGGAGGTCCCTTGTTCTCAGCTGATGACGATGCTTTCTCCGCAGGTCCTTCTACGTTTGTCTCCTTCTTGTATTCCGTTTTTGCTACAACTGCTTTTTCGCTTTCTTCTGCGGGTTCTGCCTTTGGAGCGAACGCCAGTTTTGTTTTCGCTTCGAGCTTCGATGCGCTTTCTGCATTGGCCGGCTCCTTCTTCATGGGCGCCGGGCTCTCGGCAACCATCTCTGCCGTCTCCTCTGGCACCGCAGGCAGTGGAACGCTGGTATCGGTAAAGCTGTCCTTTCTCAGCGAAGGCGCAGGTCCGCCGAACATCGAAGAACTGTTGTTAGCTCCAGGCGCGCCAAACATAGAGGTGCCTGCCGTTGTTGGTGCTGCAAAAGAACCGGAGCCGCCAAAGATGTTTGTTGTCGTACTTGCCGTCGTGGTACTTATAGCAGCAGCCTGCCCGAAGATAGACGTTTCCGGGGAAGCTTTCGGAGCAAAGCCACGCTCTCCACTGGCGCCAAAAATATTGTTCACTGTAGAAGCGGATGGCGCTGAAGATGTACCGTTCCCTGTTGCTGAACCAAAAATACTCACCGCCGCGGCACCATTCGCAGCGCTCGCCACAGGCTTTACGGATGTCATGCCCGAAGTTGAGCCGAAAATAATGGTGCTCGGTGCAGCCGTGCTAGTCGGTACCACGGCAGGGCTAGTGAAACTAGGCATTCCTGTGGATCCAGGACTGGATACTGGTCCGGTACCCGCGCTAAGGGGTGCTGCGTCAGCTAGCTTCTTTCCCTCCTCCTTCTTGCCACCAAGTAGCGTGTCGGAGTAGCTACCCTTGCGCGTACGAGACTGGTATAGGTATGCGTTGTGGAATATTCTTCGATAAGGTCATATTATTTATAGTGTCAAATTGATTCTGTATGAAGCAACTTTTTGCAATCACGAGAAAGACCGATCTACTAGAGAAAAAGGACTACTTGCTCTGTCGTTCTCGTCGTCGTCGCCGTGGGTGGCGAGCTGCGCTGCTCATCGTAGCGGTCATCTACCACAAGCCCTGTTTCCAGCTTCAGGTAGTATGCGGCTTCGGTATGAAAGTGATCGCAGAGGCGCACGAAAAGTTCAGCCTCCTTGCCGGCATACTTGTCTAATAGCGCATGCGCCTTGGTTCTAGCGATCTGGTGGTCCTGGCACAGACGCACAACCTGTTGGAGACACAAGTCGCATTATGCTACATGTCAAGGTCAACAAGACAGCGAAAAGCAGCACTGAAAATCATTTCGTTTTCATTCATATAAATAGCAACATACCAATTTTTGTATGGGTGAAAGCTTCGACTGGCTTTTTCACACACTAATCCGTTTGATAGCAAACCTAAACTCTGAAATTCAAGTACCAAGCCTGAATAGAGGGCCTTCTTGCGCGGGTCTTCCTCATCACTATCTTCCGGTGCACTAGAGGCGGCAGCCGACTGCCACTTTTGTGGCTTTGATGAGGACGGCGGCGAATCTGAGAAAAGTTTGTGAAGTTATGCAACGATCACTTCGTCTAGTGACTTGATTCGTATTTGAATTTGCACCATGCTCTAGATAAACAAATCACATTCATTTGCGATGGATCTTCATGACATCTACGAAGAAAGCAGAGTACTTTACAAGCATCCGTACCTTTCTCACACTCGTCAAGAAACTGCTTGATCTCGCTTTCGGATGCAAAACCTAATCTCGGTTCCTGCTTGACTATCGATCTTTCCACCGGGCGCACCGGTTCGTCTCGCATAGCTAGATCTGAAGGTAGCAGTATGAAGTAATAAATGAAGGTCAAAGAAAGAAGTTCAACTTTCGTGCAGAAGGGAACTTTTCAAGCTTGATCATACAGTCCTAGAAGAAGGTATACAAAATGACTTCCAAAAGGATCGAAACTCACCTCCTCCGAGGTCCAAGCCGCCCGTCGCGGTAAGACTCCTTCTAGTGAGGTTTCTGCTTGCCTCTATCCGTTGGGACACCGATTCCGCAGCTTCTCCTCTGACAGGTGGGTAAGTAGAGGGTGGCGCCCGACCGTTTGCTATTGCGGGACCGTCTTCTATCGGCATTCGCGGCTCCTCCGTTTCTCTTTCAACTGGCGGTCTCTCTACAAATCGGAAACGTGCTGTCTCCCTTGGCTGCAAGCCAGGATGCATCGCGCTTGGTCTAGCATAAAAGTCGCCACGGCGAACACCGCCGGAATACCTAAAAGTACAGGTAGACAGAATAAGAATTATCATTATTCAAAGTAGATTGAAACCATGATGGACATGGATTTGGTTACATGAATAACGTCAGCAGTTCTCCTCCGGAGTCATGCGAAACCCGAATCTACGTCAAAGTCAAAATAACCTTGGAAGAACAAGCCATTTCAAGATTTAATTACTCTTCGTCATCATCCTCAGTCACACCATTATCACAAGAGTTATGATTTGGTGAAGATGAAAGAGTGGTTTTTCTCCTCTTCAATTCTGGTGACAAGAGAGTCTGCTCAGTTTCTCGCAATGAAACAATCTGCTCACTCTCCGTTGCCCTAGGCAGACCGCCTTCGGATTGCCGATTCTTCTCGGTAGGCGAGATGAGACTATCAGCATAAATTTCTGTTCCCTGCTCTGTACCTGTGCTTGTAGTACTGCACGACACAGCACTGGTTCGACCGCAAAAAGAACTGGGTTCGTCAGGTGCAAGCCTTCTGCCCACAACCTGTGATGCCAAAGCGCCTGCAGCAGCACTAGGTGCATTCACGCCAGATGCCCTTGTGCTGCTAGACCTTTCCTCTGCATGTGTTGGAGGATAAGAAGATCTGGCGAATCTAGAGGAGAAAAACCCACTCGAAAAAAGTCTGTGAACAAAAGAATACGGCGCCTGCTGTTGTCCGCTGTTCGCTGGCGCGTTTCCAAGAGTGTTGCCGCCTGAGAAGAAACCCTTAAAGGAAATGCCGCCGAGAATTGTCTTCGCCACTTCTTTTGCTTTGTCCATAAAGCCGCCCTCGCTTCGGCGCGGCTCCTGCTGTCTGCCCCCATGTGCCTCTGGATGCGTCATTGGGCGGGCGTACGGATCGTAGCGTCGATACGGGTCGCCCACGGATGGGTAGCTTGCTCGATTGTGCGGATCCCTGTATGGATCCGCGTGCATCGCGAAGCCGCCTCCTCTGTACTGGCCATTTTGCATCCCTCCATGTTGATGCGGCGCACCGCCAAGTCCTCCCATGGCAGTGTTCATGCCTGGAGGATACTGCTGCGGGTCTCCAGCCGGAATGAAGCCATGTAGCGCTTGTGGATGCTGTGCATGGTACTGCCCTGGTAGCATGTCACCTCCAAATCGCGGGTCTCCTCGTCCTTGCTCATTCCGCATTGGCTCTCTTGCAAAGCCACGACCAGACGGAGAACTGCCGGATGCGAAAGCCCCATGCTCTGTCCCATGATGCGGTGCCCCAAAGTGTGGCCCCGGCCGTCGACCTGGCTGCGGACCTCCGTGTTGGTCCACGACATTAAACACAGCAGCCGCTGGAGGCACTCGGGTACGGTATTGATCACCAAAAGCAGACATGTTGACACGGCCATTAGAATGCCGACCACTCGAAGAGTGACTCATGAAACGCTCAGGGCCATAACCGTCCATCTTATCGCTGAAGTTCTTCGAAAAAGGTTTCTTTTTCTTCTTATCCTTTCACTATATGAAATCCCGAATCTATCAAGAACAAAAGTATCAATACTCAGAAGCCACGCTATTCTCACTTACTAGAATGCTCTATGCATGTATTACTCAAATAGTAAAAACGTACGTATGCACAAGGCACCCTCGAAAATCAAAATCTTCACATCTGGTGAAAACATGCAGCACCAAGAGCCTGGTGTTTGATTGATAGGCAGTGTAATATACAATTGATTGATCACCCGACAAGAACTCACCACAAATTAACAAACAACAAGTCGCTCTTGGTGAACTACTAGTTTGTCAGAGTGAACGGCACCCATACTCATGTGGGTGTCCCGATCCGACCAGAAAACAGATTTTTTTACTTAGCCGGCTAGCTGCAAGCTGGAGTCTTCGCATGGTTGATTCGAATGATCTTTCTCTTGCTCGTGCACGGCATGTTTCAGAGGGATGAAAAGGAATCCTTTTCTTTGCATAGCAGGAAGAGTCGCTTTTTTATGTTCATGAACGTGTTCTTTTGTAAAAAATTACAATTCTCGGGGACTACATCTTTTTAAACTTTGACCGAACTTAGATTTCTTTCGAAATTCTGTTCGTGAGATCGTCCACGGATAACTGGCATCACGATATTCGAGAGCAAATAAAAGCGGTAAGAACAAGAAATCACCGTCGCGCCGAAGAACGTTGATGAAGATTGATCGAAGGATCTGCGGGATAAGAACTTCTAGATCGATAATATGTGTGTAAGAATTCGAGGGCATCAATCGTTGTTGAAAATAAGCAGTCGTTTAGATCTTCCGAAATCAACACCTCCTCCGCATCACGGTGTTGCAGAACCACCAGCAGCAACTTAATCGAAACACAACGCGCATACTTGATGAGTGGGAGGACTATATATTAAAACCAGCTACTTAAATTCGAATCTTCATGTAGCAAAAGAAAGTGTTGAAAACTTATGACTCTGCATCAGGTCCTTCCGTACAGAGAGCTGGTAGTTCAGAGTCGCTGTCTTCCCAGTCGGGCGCCATCTCTTCCCAAAGTCTATCCCTCTCATCCTGCTCCGCGGCATCTGCCTCCTGTCCAGTGGAACTGTCTAGCGGTAAAGTCAACGATGTTCCTTGTTCCGACGCTTTGTTCTCAACTGCTTCTTTCATTTGTTCTTCAACCTTGTATGAACTGGAGGAGGGGCTGCTTTTTTCCTCAACTTCTAGTGCAATTGGGGCGGGGGCTTCAACATTTTCATCTTTCACTTGCTCTACAACTACTTGATCGAAAGCCATGTCGCTGGTCGTTTGTTCTACTTTTTCTTCCTGCGAATTCTTTTCGTCTGCGGCAACTTCTGCTGATTTTCCCGCTTCATCTTGATCAGCGTCTTCGAGACTCACATCGCCCTCTTGCTCCTCTTGTTCAACTGCTTGTGGCGACGGCGCATCTGCATCTTCACCTCTCATCGCTTTACGCTCTGCGGTCCCTTGCGAAACAGGCGTAGGAGTGCCAACATCTGACTCCATATTGTCGGAGACGGAGCGTGTCCCTTGGGACAGCCGCGGTGTAATGTCGCTATTGCTCTGTGATGCACGTTCAACTGCCGGAGACTTGGCTCCGCTTATTTCCTCCGCTTTGACAAAAGCAGTTTCATCAGAAAGTACCTGCGCCAAAGCGCTCACTGATTGTTGTTCTGTGGCTTCGAGCGTTCCTTCGTTAGACGTTTCTGCTCCAGGAATTGCAATTACTTCTTTTTCTTCTCCTTCATCACCTTTTGCCATGATTTCCGTTGATGCTTCCACTGCAAGCAGAGACGTTGTCGACGTGCGCTTTGTGTCAACCGCAACTGATTGCGTCTGTACTGTCTCTTCCTTGGTCTCCAGCAGCAACGTCTGCGCGCCGCACTCGGCGGTCTCTACCGCTCCTCCAGATGAGACACCACCACCACCAGACGACGACGGAGATGTTGAGATAGCAGTCTGCACACCGCCATCGACAGTGACACCGGATGCTGTCTGTGCACCACCGTCTACGGTTGGGGGAGCAGTTGTTTGCGCCACTGCCTCCGCGGTCAAAACCGACGGCGTTTGCGTCTCAGCAGAAACTAAAGCAGCGCTTTCGTTCATTTCATCTCGTTCGTCGATCAAAGCCTCACGCGCCTCACGCAAGCCTCGCAGCAGTGCCGGAATGTAAGTCTCGTCGTTGGCCGACAACTGTTTTCATGCAAGATCAACATGTGAAAAATGTTGCGAGAGAAAGTTAGGTTATACTGTATCTGATGAAAGACATATGTACAGAAATTAGTGCAGAGAACGATCCGTCCGAGTCTTTGCAATGTAGCGATGAACAAGTATGAAGTTCGTTGCAGACGAGCATGAGTAAAGACATCAGCGTAAATAATTATATACCTGGTCGCGCCTTCCCCAATCGCTCGCTCCGAAGTTCTTTGCGAGTTCCGCGCGCATCTGCACTGCACGTCTGCGAACTACTAGTGAGGAATGCACCGCTGCGCAGCAGTTAAGGACTCCAAGAAAGCAGGGTCGCAAATGAGGCTCCGTTTTAGTTTCGAAAACGGAGAGACAGCCCAGCGTGACATCTTCTCGCAGAGTCGGGTTTTCGAAGACTAGTTGCAGGAGCATCACGTGAACGCGCGCGAGGGCGCTTTTTTCAAGCGTGGGGAATACCCAGGAATCCTGCAACTTGCGAAAGAAGCGAAGATGTGCGACCAGGCTTTCCGCAATGTCTCTGGCTCCTTTATGAAAAAGACTCGGTTGCTCGTCCGCATCATCTGCGGTTACCATGGACTTGCGGGTGTTGAAACCTGGAAGCAAATAGGGTTCGTGCTTTGGGAAAAATCTTTGTTGCAAAGATTGAATGAGAAAATCTTTTGGTCAAGTCTACCAAAAACAAACGAAACAAATTTTCACATAAACAAATAACTAATCGCAATCAATCATGACTGAGTGTAAGAGTACTGTCTCGCAGTCTGTCGCCTAGGTTATGCAGGTGCACAGCGCATCGTCGAACAATCCGCTTCTCTAGGAATAAGCTAGCGTGTTCTTCTAAAAGAACCTCTAGCAAATTTGCAACTTCCGCACACGACTCCGTGAGATCTAACAACGGTGTTAAAACATTGGTCGCTACAAAGCCCTGGCCCCGCTTTCCCGCTTTGCGAACGAGCGTCGCCACAAAGACACAAATTGCAGAGCGGAGACACCCGTTCCTGGAACCGGTCGGGATGATATTCTGAAGGGCTGCTTGTCGGATATTTGTTAGCGTGCCGTCAATGATTGCAGGTGAGAGAAGCTCGACGAGCACGAAAAAGTCGTCAAGCGTCACGTCTTGGGTTCTAGCACCTGCTAGTACAGAGTTGAGCAAATGGACACAGGCTACAAGGGAGGCCTCCGCATCGGCTAACCGACCGAGCAAGACTTTCTCGTTCGACGAAACAGAAGTAGTTGCCGAAAACAATTCCGTGGCGTTGGACCCGGAAGGAAAGGACTCCATAAGCGCACGCACGGTTAGCGTTCGCGCTGTTGCGATTTCAAGCAACGCCGGCAGCAAGCCTTGGCGTGTTCCCGGGGGAGAACGCAGCAGTGCCGCAATTGCCGTTTCGCGCGCGTTCTCTTCGCCCTGAGGAGAGACGGCTAGACGGAGCAACAGCGACTGCAACGAGTCCACGCCAGCGACTCCCGCGTTTTGCTGCTGCTGTGCTGATGCTGCAAAGAGCCGCATTTTGTCCGACGAGAACAGCAAAAGACCAGCTTGTGCGACTTGTCGCTGCAAGACTGGCGCCAAAAAATCTGGTCTCCGAAGACACAAATCTGGCTGCACATGAGCGCTGTGGTCCGGGTTTCCCTCAACATTTGCTCCCACCTTGCGTCGCTTTGCACAAGGCTCCATAGACGTATTCGAGTTGTCAGCTGATTCTGCGTCCCTCTGGAGACTGCGTTCGCAAGCACTCAGCATCTTGTTCACGCTTCGGTTGATCAGGCGCCGGTCGATTTTCAAGTCAGTAGCATCCTTACTCGGGCTTTCACCATCTCGATTGGATGAAAACAAGACTCGAAACACCAAGCCGGCGGCCGCTGCTATCACTATGTCGCTGCGATCCTGCCCTAAGAGAAACAAAGAGCTCTCCAAGACCGTGCCGAAATCAAAAGCGGAGGCATCATCTTCCAATCGCTGAGAAAGAGAAAGGACAGCGCGAAGAACAGCGTCTGTTGACGCAGTCTCATTTTTCATCTGAGTGATTAGTCGCTTCGTATCTACCTTCTCTGACGGCGCTGCCGCAGAAGTAAGCGGCCTTGATGTCGCAATCACCATCTTTTTTCCTTAAGGGGGCGGACGATTAAGATAGTGAATCTTTGCGTTTACTGGCGAGAGACTGTAAATAGACGAAGATATTATCAACACGCTAACTAAAACAGATAAATATCGTACTTATGTGAAGCACGTCCACCTCCATTCACTGAGGACTTTTGATGAGCGATACGTCCCCGTGAGATATTCCAAACATAGATGCATGGATGACTAATCATAGACAAGTATCCATGATGGATCTCTGGTTCTTTAGGGTGGATCTTCTAACCGAACCAGTCCTAGCAATCGTTGAATAATTGTGATCTCCCCCCGCCGACAAAGATCCTTTATGCTTTCTCCAACTTCTAGGACCTTCAGCGCTACAGAAGAATTATCTTTGCAGATATTGATTGAGCATCAACTTGATCTTCTGAAAATGATTCCTTGAAGATCTAGACAAGATGGATTACTGAGATTACAACATTTTGACCGGATCTTAGAATCATACAGAGCACATGAAGATCTGCTTCAAGAGAACATGAAAAGAGGGCACCACCAACTTAGTCGTCTTCACAGAGAAGATATTTATACTTTTATTTCTTCGCGTATCAGCTATGCAGGAGACATCCACCAGACTCTTAGTTTTGGTAGAGGGAAGGCAGTGCCAATTCAGGTGAACTTCGGTCGCCACTCTTCTGGTAGAAGGCTGCGCAATCGTGATGCTTCTGCTGCCATCTCTTCTTGCGTCCGTACTTTTCTACTTTCCTCAGCAAAAGGATCTTCAGGCTTTGATGTCTTATCACTTGATGTGTTTGCTTTCACGTCTCCATCTGGTGCTTCTGCTTTCTTGAGTGCTTCGCCAATCTTGCTATTCTGTATTTCCTTATGCACCTGGTCCGGCTTTTCGAAGTCACCACCGGCTGACCTTGGTAAAATGTGCACATGTACATGCGGCACTGACTGGCCGGCTGCAACTCCATCTTGCTGCGCGATGTTCAGCCCCGCTGCATTATATTCCTTCTCCACCACACTACCAATGCGGTGCACCGCGAGGTAAAGATCGGAAACCTCTTTCTCCTCCAGGTCAGCAAATCTAGGAACGACGCGCTTGGGTATCACGAGAACATGACCGGGAAGAATCGGCTTCAGATTCACTAAACCATACGAGAGTGCCGTCTCGAAGAAAACGGCACTATGCCGCACAGGATGAGGGCCGAAGGAAATCATCTTCCTAATGCTGGTGCTTGTCGTAAAATTTAGACGAAAATGCACTGGCAAGATTGGCGCGTCCGCTTCGCAAGTTGAAGATAGGCTCTTTCCGCTTTCTGCGAGACACGACTCGCTGTGTTGCTGCTGGCGCTCTCCGGATGCGAAACGACAAAAAAAGATACCAAACCCGACTAAGACGAGCAAGTTAGGAAGGAGTGCGGAAGACGTATCTGCGATAAGCGTCTAGAGAGCGCTGAAGAACGCAAGGCCATTAGATTCTTTAGAAAGATGTAGCAACGAACTATTCGTAATGCTTGAGGACTAAAACGAAAAAGCTTTCACTTAGTATTGTGACTGTTTGTCTTTGTAGTTTGTAGCGTTTTCACATCGTAAGTAGACATAATTTTTTTTGCGGAATAACACCATGAAGGCATAGAAGCAGATTGATCTCATGCAAGTCAGTTGATCGATGATTGTCTGACTTTTCTGAACTTTCATTTTAGAAACTCATGCGATGAAAAGCAAAAGTCTTACGTTCTGGATCCGCGCACACAAGAAGAAAGCGATCCCAGAGAAGCTCATTGTAATTCGAATTTCAAGAGCTGCTAGTGGACTGAATATGACAGGAGCAACGCCACGCAGAGCCAGAATCGATTTCGTCATCTTCGACCCCAACTCTCATGAGGTTTCCTTCCTTGAATTCAGTTGCTAGTCCATCCAATAAAAGCTCCTTTGTCCCCTCCACCGCCTCGCCCACTACTCGCCGGTTGTACAGTCCGCTCAGTCGGAGGAGCGCGAGCGCTCACGTTGCCTAAAGCGCGTAGCTCCGAACTTGGTTTCCATGCAGCAGTAGCACGACTTGGAACCTTATCGGTACTCGTCCTCTGTGAGCCTATTTGCTGACACCCTCCCGTTTCAGCCTTATCAGCCATGGCACGCATGAAATCTTCTGCTGCGTGACCACCAGCTTGGACTGACTCCTGAAGCTGACCTGTTGATGCACTGCGGTGACCTTGATGCCCTCGCGAAGCGCTGACGTTCAACATCCTGTTCGCCGGGACGCCGTAGTCTTGTGGTCGTAAGTGTCGGGCTGGTCGCCTATCATGGTTCTCTATCTGTCCTCTCGATTGCTGGTCTCCGAGGTAGTGTTGTTCCTCGCGTCTCTCAACATTACTATGACCTCCACCTATTGCCCTCGCTGGCCGCTCCCGTCTATCTCGGTCTCCCGGAACAGCGTGCTTACGATTCACTTGCGACGGAATTGCATTGGAGATTTCTATATCTCTCCAACCCGTTGCCAAATCGCGAGCGTTTGCGAAGTTCTCGCGATACAAATCGCTCAACTTTGCATCCTCAAAATCCTGGAAAGAAATGCCCTCCATGATTGGAATCGCAGCTACAACAGCTTCGAGACCTACTGACTAATCACGAAAAGACTTACTTACAGAACCTAGTCGAGGAATGTCAAGAAAGTACTTGCGCTTTTACAACTCGTTTCCCACTCATTTTCCATACTCAATGTCTTCTTTATGTCAGCAGGGGTTTTCATAAATGCATATTTCTAGCGAGTACTCACAAATCGCCCCTCAACAGCCGCTTCGGCCACTTTTTTCTATGTCAAAAGAATTATGATTCGCGCAAACCGAAACGATTTTCGAACACTGGTAAGCAAATCGACACCGACGACTGATACGCGGGCTGGTGCGCGCGACGAGGCCGAAAAACCATATTTTGTCAAGAGTCACTTAATAGCAATCAATCGGTCATCATATTTTCAGCGTCATTTGGTATTTCAAAGTACTTCCTGCCCGACTGCTCCTGCATGGATACCATTCCATTCTTGATCTGCTTCTACGCCACCAGGCGAAAGCAGATACCAATAGCATGCAACATCAAACTAACGAATGACAATCCTGTCACACGGTGGTCAGCATGTCCCATAGGTACTCAGGTTCAACAATATTGAACATCGGTGCTCGCGCACCACATGTACTTCTTGTAGCGCGATCATAGTCTCATAATGACTAAAGCAACACTTCTTCCCTCAAGCTAGCTTAATCTCCTCAGAAGGCTTGGCTTTTCCGGTTATTACAAGGTACTCCTTGGGAATCTCAAGCGGTTTCAGCTCTTTCTTCTTCGGCGACGCAAACCACATCATCTTGTCGTAATCGAAGCGCAGTGATTAGAAGAAGAGTATTTTCATGGTCTCTCGTGTCGCACGATCATAGTGGATGATGTACCGAATGCAACTTGCATTTCACATTAAATCAGAAATCGAGTATTGCGCACCCCGCGAATTTTAGTGTAACTGTAGTAGTCCGCTGCATTCATTCAGGAAAAATCAAGTTGTAGTCATCCTATTCATCACACTATCTAAGTACCAACAAACGTCCGTCAATTACGATTCATAAATTTCCGTATGCTGGTTTTCGTTGAACCGTAGCCCGTTAGCTCGCTCCACATGCTTCAGCTGTTCTACGACATTCTCTTCCTCCTCGTTCTGCGGTTGGCCATCCAGCTGCGATAAGTGGTACTCGCCCCTGTAAATTTATTGGGGATTGAAAATTCATTCTAGCGGTGGAGGCTCTTCTGGCTGGCAGGCTCTAAGAACCGGAAAGCTGACAGTTTCTTTAATAGAAAGTAAATCGACAGGAGTAAGGGCGAAATTCAGCAGGAACATTCATTAGATATTCAGTAAGTTCTCAAAAGGTTGGCGGCCGTCATGGCAGATATTTTTAGCACCACAACTGCCTCTAGCACACAAAAAAAGAATACACTGGCGGTCGATATCCGAGTTTGTGCTCCCTGGCCCACTTGTCGTCTCTAAATTGTACGCGAGCGTCATAGCGGAAGCTTTCCGAGTACCGGTCGAACCAGGCTTTATCTGGTTCTGGCTTCGTCACGATCCGAGTGTCTAGACAATTCAAAGGAGGCAATTTCCCCATGTCGTCCTCTGTGACACCCAACATCTGGGCCATTTCTTCGTCGCCCTCATCCTCGCTGTCATCTTTCTTCGTAAAGATGGGGTGCACAAAGTCGGTAATTCCCTGCACCTCCACTGCTGGCTCTGCGTTATTCGCTTCGGGAAGTTTGGTCCGCGTGGCTTCGCGGGCGGCTTTTGCGCTGCTGCGGGTCATGTCAAGCGCAATTCTGGAACTAGTCCTCAAAGTCAACTTCGTAGCAGATCCGGTCACGTCAGCGACCTTTTTCGACACGTCCACCACGTAATCCCGAAACTCTGTCGCCTCCTGCGTCAGCGTAATCTCACTCTTAGAACGAGAACGTCAAATGCTAAGGTACAAAATTATTTTCTCTGCACACGCACCGATCCTTGAAAATAGAGAATCCGCAAAGTCGCAGAGTACAATTCCTCTACCGAATGTACTCCACTACAAAATTTTCATCATTCTAGTAAGCTTTTGATCCTTAGATAGTCAAGAATCTTATTTGCACGAGATGAAAAGAATCCTCATGATAATAATTGGAGATTCTTAACTGTTGGCTCGACTTTGAAGTGGGCATACACGACTTTCTCTTCACCGATGCTCTCCAATTGCGTTGGGGCTCCATCAGTGGCCAACTTTACGCTACCGCTCCGGAGACTGCGCCCGCGCTTTTTTAGAACTTGCATTTGCTGCTCTGTCACTGCTTGCTGCCTCTGTGAATCTGAGCCTCGACTCTCCCCAAGCACTGCCAGTGCGGTACTGGAAGTCTGCTGCTGGTCTCCGCCGACAACCGCTAGTTGAGTCGCAGGCGCTTCACCATTTTCGTTATCCGCTTTCGGTGCTGCGACTCCATCAGCTACTGGATGGGGGCCTTGGTCAGTTGCGGGCCGAACTTCACCAGACTGTTCAGGAGCTGCCTTAGGCGCAGCCCCCTCACCAGGAGGAGCATCTTCTGCCGTCCCGTCAGCTCCTTCCTCTCCTTCTGCGTTAGGATCTGCAGCGTCTCCGATGCTCAACACTTTAGGAGGTTCTGCTGCCGCCGCAGCCGCTTTCTTGGCCTCTAATTCTTGAGCGAATTTTTGACCACGCCGTTCCCTTGCCAAGTCTCGCAGCTCTTTGCGGTGCAACGCCACAACATGCGAAAACGAATGTCGCTGGTTCGCGGGAAGTAGGTTTAGCACCGTGTCCTCTGTCGCTTTCGTGGATGAAAACGCCTCCACGGCTAGAGCTTGCAATTTTGTGGACACGGCTGCGTCATTCTTTCCCGCCATTTGAAGATGCGTCGCTGCCTGTTGCGCTGTCGACACCACAGCACCCTTCGCACCGTCCGAACCTTGACGCCTTCCCTGGTACATTTGAGCATTTTTTTCCTCCACTGCTTGTTTCGAGAACACCACAGCAGGGGCAAAAACGTTCTGGGGCAAAGCTACGGAGAACTCTTCGCCTCGTGCCCGAACTTCCATGACACCGCGTGTTCTTGTAGCAGCCATAGTCGGAGGCGCCCCCGTTTCGTCCAAGTCATCCTCCTCCCACTCATCATCGTGCTCTCCGGTTTCGTCCGCATCTCCACCCCCGCTCAAGAGTGCCTTTTGACGCAACCACCTCGAGAGCACCACGCCGCCTCGGTCCTTCTCGCGTTCTTCCTCGTCGTAACCAACGCCGTGGCACGCCAGCCGCCACTTCTGGCGAATCGCCGGGTCGTCCTCACAACGCTCCTCCACGGATCCCGTCTCGTCACGTGGTCGCAAGTACCGCGAGTACCGTTCGATCAATTTCAGGTTGCCGTCGGCCACACGCTGGTGTCGACGCGCCGAGGGTCGCGGCTCGATTCGGCGATGCCCCAGAGCGATCAAGAGCTGATGTTGTCCACGCTCCTCAATAACACGACCCTTAATCCAGCGACCTTGTTTTAGCACACCATTCACGGACAAGGTGGACAAGGGCACTGGAGTATTTTTTCTGGGCGTCAAATTACCACCGCCCTCTCGTTTGGGTACAAGGCTCGCATAATTCATTTTCAAATTTGCCCATGAAGAGCCCGTAGTCTTCATCACTTGTCCGCTATTGTTGTCGCTGTGTGATATCGGTGAAATGGCGTTCCCTGCACTCGTCTGGTTCGGTACTGTTCCATCTGTTCTTGCAAGCTTCGCAGCATCCTCTGGTATGATTAACACTTCCTCTACTTGCTCTTGCTCAGGCTTAACGTCTTGTTTATCAGGCTTAGGCTTGCTCGGTTTGAAGACCAGAACCGGGTCCCCCACAGTGTAATCCATATACGCGTGTTCATCTGGGTCCATCCGATCCCTGAATTTTTCGCTCTCGTCTCTCAAATCGATTCCCTGTGCCGTCCAGTATTCCTTGGGTACCAGTCCCAAATGCACCAGGTAGCGCGGCGGAAACGTCCGTACGAGTCCGCGCTGCAGCGCCGACAATTTCGGAGGTGGTACTTTTGGAAGCTCCTCCGGAGTAGGCGGCCGCGGAGCGGCGGCCTCCTCTTCGACCTTCATGCGTTGTTCTTCGGCAGCAGCCGCAGCTTCCATCCGAGCCAGAAAGTCCCCTGCACCACTGGCATCGCTGCCTTCCGATCCAGAACCAGCCCCACCAGAGCCTCCATTGTCGTCCGAAGCACCACTTCCCGACGCAAGCGGGTCCGAACCGTCTTCCTTCGCCTCAGGACCACCACTTGTAGCTTCAGCAGCAACGTTGGTCATGTTCGCACTTCTCTTGGTTTAGAAATGCGCACTTTCTTTTGATCCCAATATGTCTGGTCAAGAATCCCGACAGAGAAAGCACAAAACGACCGTGACTTTGGACGCGGGGTATCTTTTTGCTACTACATTTAATAGGTGGCTTTTTATCACCGACAGAATCTACCTCGAAGTTCAGATGCTTAAAGTAGAACGAGAAGCTAGCAACGCTCAGTCCACTGTCGCAGGCGGCAACGGCAAGTAAAATATAAGTAACCACAAAGTGGCAGCCGCTGCGTGAAAGAATCACTAAAAAACACAAATTCAAAATTATCTGCTATAGATCTATCACTCAGTTCTTTGCTGGAGACAGACTCTAAAAACATCAAAGCAAATTATTCGAAATCAAATGGAGATACAATGTTTGCACAGAAATCAGGGTAACGGAGGGGAAAGGGCTAGCTATATCAATTTTCAGAATAGTGTAATGGGGTAGAGGGCCTGGAAAATTTGATGAGATAGGAGGTACTGCAGATGACAAGAAACTCGTTCGAAATTATTTCAATCACATCGGTCACTCATCAAAGGGTTATCGCTCAAGAAGGTCGTGACATGGCGATAGGGGTGAATCTTTCTGATTCTAACGATCACCTCGTGAAGCTATCAGACAGAGATGAAGGGTCACAGGAAGTAATCCTTCTTGTATGTCTCTCGGTGAACAGATTATCAAACTTGGAAACAACACAAATTAATAAGCGACAGCTGTTCCACCAATGTAAGTTTTCTCTTTTGATCAATCTCAGAGATTGAATCTCTCTCAACACAGAGCATAAGATGGATCTCTTTTTCTCTCTCATGACACAGATGCTGATCAATGATCATCATGTAGGATTATAAAATTGAAAACTCGTTTGGCTGACAACGGATCTTTGAAACGCTCCATCTACCTAAGAAAGCTATCTAAACAGTATCGCGCAACTTCTTTGATTGACACTGCTTCAGGCGACATCTCATCAAGGGCGTTATTAATGACACAGACTTTTACATATACAAACTGTTCCGAAGAGTGAGCCTGCTCATATTTGTTCAGCCCCATAATTCCTTCTTGTGCAATCTGAGCGCCAATTTTAAAGCGTTCTCTGCGCGCTCGTCAGGTATGCCACATGCTCGCCAGCGAATGAAGCCTTTCCGGTCGACCAGAAAGAAACTAGGCAGTTCCTTGTGTTCTGATTTTCGTGGAAATAGTTCTCGCAATTCAGGCAGCCAACGCCCGCGATACACGTACGCGTCTTCCTCGATGAAAGCATCGCGAATACTATTATTCTCTGTTTTCCCGTCAGAAGATGCACTAGAACATTCTTGTGAAGATTCTGCAAGTCGTTTGCGCAAGAACACTTTGGTTATAGTGCCAGCCAGGCGTCGAGCGACCCATGAGTCTGAGAGATGCAGACTTAGAAAAGCAGGAGGCGCGCGGCCGGATCCTCCAAGTCGTCTGCTTCTATCTGCAAGCACTCCTTCTAGTGCCTCTTTCCGTGCTCGCTCTAGCACCGCATTTGGCGTCACTGCTCCGCTCTGCGACGCGAAGACGCTCGTCGACGTACTAGAATTATACTGCCAATTGTTAAACTCCTCGTCTAAACAACGAGTGATTGCCCGTCTCCACGGATCCGCACCGGTTGTCACGCCAGCGAGTGCTCCGCCGCCGCTGTACACAGCCAGAAAAGTTGGTTTATCCTGTCCGTGCAAGCGCGACGCAAGAAAAATCTGCGCCCGGCACCGCCTATCTATAGCAGCGCCCTTGAGCGGGGTCAACCGCACTGGATCCACTAAGATATTCGGGAACTTGGCTGCCCACTCGGAAGGAAACATTAGAACGGTAGTTTTACCATCGACGTACCCTTTCCCGTACAAAACAGGAACGCGTTCCAAGGCGATTTTAGCGGTAGCCCCCAAACCTCCGACAGACAACATTCACAATGACCTTCTGTCAAATCATCTCATAAAATGATCTGTCCGTCTCGTGGATAGCCGAATGCTACTGTGTGCGACGGTGAGAGACGCGGAACTAGGGAAACACCAGGTGGGCACCACATTGGCGATGTGGATCTTGTCGCTACTAAGTTTCTCTCGAGAAACGCTCTTGCTGCAGGAATCAAACCACGGGAAGAACTCGACGCAAACACCGAAGAAGGCGACCACGACAGCGGATAGTGGTCGACAGTGCTTGAGGAGGTTGACAGGCCACGCTGTTCTTGCTCCATTGGTGAAGATGACGTAGAAGGGGACAATGCGGTAGTCGGGAGATAATTCGTAGAAGACGAGGACGCTGTCGTGTTCCTTCTGATTACGGAGGTACAAGAACTTGCTTTGTTGACTGTGGTCAACGCCCCATAAGCGTGATTCTCTGTACTAGTACTGTCACCTGACGAAGGGGGCAAAAACAACATTTCTCGAATTTTGGACGTGACGCGCGTTACCAGATCATTACGCTCTTCACCAACGAGAGACCCGAAGGTCGTGGGCAAGGCAAGCGACTCGCGGACGCGGGGACTGCAGTTCTGGGACTTCAGTCTTCCTGCGTAGCCTGGCAGTTCTGAAGAACTGTCAAGAAACCGAAGTCTCTCCATGACGCCCTGATGTCTTGCAGGAGCGCGCCGAAGCAACAAACCAGAACTACTGCTGCTGGATGCTATCATGATTTTTGATCACTACTGCGCAAGTATAGAGATTAATACAGGCAAGAGGATGTTGTCTGGGTGATCTGCATGCAATCTATCAGGTAAAACGGAAAAAAGACCAATGCGACAAGTAGAAATAAACTGCCAGTGCACTCAACGGAGTGCCGCCTTTCAGGATCCCAGGATAGAAAAAGGTGTTGGCTTTGCTTACACCAGCCTTGTCTTTCAAGAATATCCACTTAGAAGTACTTCTCCCTTTCCAGCCTCCGCAAAAAAAACCATACCGCAGTGTTCAATGGCAGAGTGAGAAAAGCCACCAAACCGTTATCTGGCGTAAAATTGCTGATGCCTTTCTCGTTTCATTTGTGACATCGTCAAATTATGAAAAAAGCGGAAGTTCATTTATGTCTATTTTCGCAATCGAATGCTGTTCCCAGTATTTGTGTTCGTGTTAGTTCTAAGCATGTAATAAAACCGTTGCCGAGGCTGTGCGTAACCGGAATTACGCGGACCCCGCGAGCTGCGACTTCAGTTGTCAAAAATTTGCGACAACATCAATTGGGTTCATACAAAGTGAGACATCGCAGCTGGAGGTCGCGACTACCCTCAATATCCATTGTCGAGGCCCGGCCGTTGTGCGTATCTATCCCATTCAAGCAACTGCGAAAGGAAATAAAATTCTATAGTGCGAAACAATAAGTGCGTATCTTATAGCGAAAGAAAAATAATTGTTTGCGTGTTCAAAACTCACGTTCTCTGTAAGCAAAAATGAAGAACCTTATTTGCATCTTGTGACAAAGTGAAAACTCTAATATTTCGTCAATCGATCTTCAACATTGAATCAGCTGTGGGAAGCGTATTACTCAAATCAAGCGTAGTTATCTTTCTATTTCAATCTGCAATAAGTGGTCGCAGCGTTTCAACTGTTACAGCAGTGCGGACCATACTTGTAATACTCGTAATCATACTTGATGGGAACAACGAGTCAGTGTTCGAATAGCAAATGTCAAAAAGACTCGACGAAGACGCTGTGTTTGTCCTTGGGGTCTTCGTCTTTTTAGGAATCAGGAATGCCTAGCAGTAGACGGCTAAAAACGTAAGTACTGGAAACCTGTAACGGGCCGAAGCCTTCCAGATATTATACCCCTGGCAGGCTTGCCCAGAGTGAAAATATGACAGACTATATTTCCACTGGCTTTGGGTTCGGGTTTCGAATATGCCGCATGGTTGCGCCAGCGGGTTGTGGCATGAAAGGGGTATGCTTTCCGTAGGCCTTGGGCAGACCGTAGGCGCCCTCCGGAATATACGCGTTCACGCGCGGTTCGGCGGTTGTGCGCGTCACATTGCTGTGCAGTATAGCTTCCTCCTGTAACCTCGCCTTTGCCCGCTCTTGGTCGATTCTTCGCTGGCCTTCCGTCTCCCTCAAGCGCTCGAATTCCTCCTCCGCAGTGTCAGTAGGTGCAATGCCATTGCGTAGTCCTGAGTTTGGAGGGAGATGCCGTGTGACTACAATAAGCTTGCGAGCCTTAGATAGTCGAGAACCATACTCCACTAGAGATGAAAAAAATCCTGATCACAGGACAGAGAGGCGGTTTGCTGCTGGATGACATTTTTCGTTTTGTTTGAGTTTGGATGGAATTGGTTAGTCTGCAGTCAATGACGTATTTTAAGATTGGAAAGATTAAGTAAGTGATAGGAGAGTTAGAAGTAAGAGCGAACTACAAAAAATTCAAAATGAATGATGTCTGCGTCCGCTATCCGCACTTACAATAAACCATCAGAAAACTACTTTCTCTAGCTTCCGCACTGGCGTCTCGCAGAAGTGCAGCTTCCTCTCCTAACTTCATGCTTGTGGCCTGATACATGGAAAGCTCCGATACTGTCGCCATCATCTGCCTCGTCACCTCATTTATTAGAGAAGATCAACATTGGTCGTAGTTTATCAATGACTTCATGAGCGGTTCTCGGAGGCATTTCCTCAACAACAAGCGTCAGTTTGACTCTAAAACACTAAAAATATAAGCTCAAGGTTTCATAACTTCATTTTCGCTTGAAACTGGTTGACGCGCTGTGACATCTTCAGCGTGCTCTGTCTCCCCTCAATGGCTTGAACCCGGTCTTAGAGCGAAGAAGACGTTGCCATAAACTAAGTTTACTAGTCAAAAGAAACCAAGGTTGTTCAGGTGAGATAGGATGAAACTGCTTCGAATAATCATCTTCATCAGTTGCAGTCGCGTCCTGCTATTACATAATATAGAAGGACAAAAAATATTTTCCGAGGGTAAATTGAACATCTTTTCTAGTATGATTCCAGATGCCCTAACTCAGTTTCTCCGACAGTGCGGTAACTTCCTCTACTATCAACTCTTTCTCCAACAGCTGTTCTTCCTTGGCATTCAATCGCTCTTCCAACCACTGTCGTTTCGCTAGCAACGTATCATGGTCTGGGTCCGCGCCAGCGTCACCCAGAAATCGCCACTTGCGGACCTAGAGGAGGTGATGAAGTAGGTAAATTCTTTCATTCTTTCAAGTACAATTGCTTTTAGAATGAAACCGTAGTAAAAATCTACTACTTTGTTTTAAATTCATTCATTCATTCATTGAAACGGGTTGCACTGAACAAGTAGCGTCCTGTCGAAGTTTTGGCCCGGACCTCATCTCTGTACCTTACTGCTTGGATTCTCAAGCTCCGCTGAGAGTGTGTCGCTCTGTCTCTTCACCGCACGAAGCTGGTCCTTCAGAATGAGCACACGTTCTGTGTACTGCGCAGTGTCCGTGATGCCTCGATTCATTGAAACCATCCGTCTGCTTTTAGAGATGAGGACTACACGGACATCAATCTTATGCCTGCTAAAATCAAAGAAACAGAAACTACTTCTTGTTCCTGCTAAAGCCAAAGTACTTGCCTCTTCATAGCAAGGAAAATGCAAAGAATTAATCAAATATCAAGTGTCGTAATGTTCAGAGCTCCCAAGTCTAGTCGGCAAGACCGCAGATCTTCCAGCTTCTGTTGTACACCCATTTCTCCCTTTTTCAGCAGGAGCTCGTGCACATTTGACTTCTCCCAGAGGATACACAGTTCGTCATTGCGATCGATGAGCTGAATTCCAGTCTCATTTCCTGCATATTTTGGAAATCACGTTGAACATTGTGTCTTTTAGTTATGGCAAGAACATTCATGAAAATAGATGACCATCGAAAGCGAAAATTACCTCTACCACTACAAGTAACACAGAATGGTACTTTGCTGCACCGCCTCCTCGTACTTCTGCTTGAGTAGAGTGATGTCCCGCTCTAGCGAGTTGATCAGCGCATTCAGTTTATCTATTTCGAGAACATAGAGCTCCACATTCTGGTTTCCGTTATTGATTTTGTGAATTACCCGTGTCAGCTCTAGCCTGAACGCGTCCCGTACTGCTCGCTGCTTTTGGATGCCGCCTGAGAGGTAGAGGCGAGAAGTTGGGAATTTCCATAACAAGAACCAACAGGCATACCATCCTACGCCCGTGTATTTCTTTACGAAGATCAAGGAGAAGCTCCTCAAAAAGTCGAAGTTGTACCTTTCGTTTCCGTTATTGTTTTGTCCTTTCCGGCCGATTCTAGCTTCAGAATTTCGATTTCGTTTCCTAAAACCTTGAATCTCTCGCGCATCTCCGAGAGTTTCTGCGAAGCTGCCTGAATCAAAGCGACGTACTTGTTCCGCTCGTTTTTCACTGTTCTTAGAATCTACATTGACCGAAGCTGCAGAATCCATGCTAGCAATGGATCTTGTCAGATTATCTTTTATCAGATCTGCCTTCTTGAACTGCTAAGCCAAACTAAATCAGGAAACACGATTAGACGTCCTCGTTAGATCTACTTAGTCCATGTCTATATCATCCACGACATCATAACACTTCGTATGCAGCGCAGAATTCCTTCTGCCTTTCTGCTACTTCCGTGAGTTTTCTACGGGCTTCGAATTCGAACATTTGCTTCATGTGCACTTGACCCCACACCTCCTTCGACAGCCTAGATGCCGCTTGATAGTCTTTTTCTAGCTTTGCGTGTGCCTGCTCAACGAAACGAATCTTAGAAGAAGCTAACTTCCACTGGAAAGAACGACCTACACATATTCGATAAAAATAGATCTACTTTTAGTTTTACTGTACTAGCGGCTTTACAAAAATGTTCGAAAACTACATTTCCTCTTCGTAAGCAAGTGCTTGCTCCAGTCAGCATTTTGTCGTCGAAGATTGCTCAGCTCCTGTCGCAGATCTTGCAACGCTTCCTGTAGCACAAGTACCTCATCTCGTTTCTCCTTCTCTACTCCTTCCTGCTTCAAGTAGGCCCCAATAAAGACATCGACTTCGTTCTGGATCTCGTCTAGAAGAAGCTGCTGCTTACTGTTCTCGTCGCCTGAAGTGGTTTTGGAGGTTCAAAGTCAAACTTGACGTATAAAACCAACAGCATGCTGCACGACACCAACATGCACCCGACACCAACTTCTAGTAGAGCCAGGTAGAGTCTCTTCTTTACAGCAGCGAGTTTCTTCTTCCACTTCTCGCTACAACCAGCAGTTCAGGGTATATGGATCACGAGAAAAGAGCAGAAACTAGTTGTAAATACGTTTATCAGCAGCATCTTTATCGAGCTCTTTCTTTTGCGCCTGGAGTGGAGGAATTTGCTGCCTGAGCGACTTGATTATGCCCTCTTTGCGTCTCAAATCCCGCTGTGCTCTGTCCAGTGCTTGCTCTTTCTTTTTCCTGTCGTCCATACTGTGCCGTATATCTTCAGAGACAATCCTCGTCTCCATATCTAAACCGACCTTCTTCGCTAGCAGGTCTGCGCTAGTATTCCGTGCCCGCTCGAGCTTGCGGCTTATTTCATCGAGCAGATTAGAAAAACAAGAAGCCTTCATACCCATTGATTAGTATCAACTGGATCGAAAGGGTACTCGCGAAATCACAACAACAATCATCCCTGGTGACAAGCTGTCCTTTGGGAACTATAAGCACTCTTAAGTCTTATATATAACAGTGCATCATAAAAAGGGAACAGCATATTAGCGTACGAGTCTCGATTCATCATTGAGTCCATCATAAAGTCTTGTCCTATTGAGACCACCGAGTCTTTCATCAACTGCACGCGCAACGTCGCTTTTGAACGCTGGTCCTCCACGGCCCGACGCTTTTCTACCAATTCCTCCATTTTCCTGTCCAACAGCGCTTGGTCCTCTAGGACCTGTTCAACAAATTTTTTTTGGAAACATAAGACGGAGCACGTAGAGGGAAACGAGAAAGTTGTAAGGATGATGAAAGAAAAGACGAAGAAAAAGCAGGTCAATTTCTCCGCTTCTGCGTTGACTTGCTCACGGTTTCATCTCTTTTGAAAACCACAAACAACCTGCAAAGCCTGCCAATCGTTTTGTTTGAGGGAAGTAAGACGAGGGAAAAGTAACCGTCTATTTTCTATTCAAAAGCCAGTAAGCTGTTGCTGTACCTGTTCGTCAGCCTTCTTCATGCTCTTCCAGACAGTATCGAACTTTTCGACCTGCTTGCGGACGCGTCCCGGCTCGTTTTTTACCTTGTTCAGCTCACGCTCGTGCTGTTCTAGATTGATCACATGCGTCGTCTCCAAATCATCCCGAAGAACCGCGCACTTCTCTAGGTCCCTGTTGAGAGCGGTTTAAGACGGGATCGAGCCTTTCCATTACACTTCCTTGTCGTACAACTCGAAGATCAATTGAAACTACAAGAAATGCCTTTTAGTGAAAAATATGAAAGTAATCTTAATTTCTATTCGGGGAATAAAAAAGTGGACAGCCCACTACAAGTACATCGTAACTACAAGTAGACAATGCTAGGGTGAGAGGTGTCAGAATTCGAGCAAATAGATACGCCGCTTTCGCTTGCTCCTTCTCTTGTTTGGATAGTGCCAATTGCGCTAATTGTTCTCGCTGTTGATGCAACTGGGACTCCATGTTCTCTGCTATTAGCGCTACCCGTTGAAATCCATCTCCTCTACTTGTTCAAAAAAGCCTCTGACTTTATATTTCACATCAACAGAATCTTAATCTTTCATGTGAAACCCGATTTTTATAGATATGAAGACTTGTACTTTATCGCGTCAGAAGCACCTCTGTAACCAATTGGAGATGGACATTTATAGGAGATGGACATTTCATTAGCATTCCGGTAGCCTTAATACTAAAGGTCTGAAAGCTGCTTGTTCTGCTGCTTTTTGGTTTGATATCTGCTCCACTAGCTCCCGTAAGCTACCCTCGAGCTCCTGCGCACGTAAATCAAGCGTTGCCTCTTCGTCTAGCGTGTTTTCTAACTGCTTGTCCACATATTAGAGAGACTGCGATTATGTCAGGAGATGATATTCGGTTTCGACCATTTCCTAGGTAGGAGAAAAGAGATAAATCTCTTCATCTAGTTTCTTGTGTTCCGTATGGGAAACCCCAAGTCCTAAAAGTCCTTTATCCTTCCCCGCTTTAGATTCACCTCCTCTTGCTGTGTTTCCGCCTCCGCAAGCGCCTTCTCGAGTTTTATTTTCTCCGCTGATATTGCGAAAAATTTCAAATTTCAGAATGCTACTTTCACTTTCTTAACTTCGTCGGTTTTCATCAGGAAACAGTCCAAAGAAATCTTCGAGACTAATCCAAGCACCGCGTGGATGTAAAGAAAAAAATCAACTGCAAATAAGCTAGAATCTGTATTTACTGAGCTTACAACTGACGGTGTTAGTATAAGTACTCATGAGTTTTGTATTCAGATCCTTTGCCGTGTCCAAGAACTTCTTCTCGTTCTCGTATATCGACAGAACCGCGTCGTGCTGCCGCTGATATCTGTCTTTGAGAATCTCCACCTGTTGTGCCGGTATCTCTCCTTCCCCTCCAAGCTCGTCGAGAACATGAAACGCCACTGAGTTCTCGAGGACCTCGACCTCCTCCTCCTCGGCGGCATCCTCTTCAGCGCCCGACATTGTTACAAGCGCTTTTTGAAGAACTCTTTCTCCCAACAAACAAAAATCTCTGCGTTGCAATAATCTAGTTGCTGCTGAAACGCGACAGCTCTCAGATAAGTCGTCTTGCCGTTTCTCGCACAAAAGAAGTTCGAAGTACTAGCAGCGTTTTTCTCGCTGGAAGAATTGACAAGAGTAGCGGAAGTTGCTGTCAACGCTTATTCAGCCGGTCAAGATCAGTGGTCGTGTGACAACAACTCACTGTTACTGTAACTGTCGTGTTTTTTTTACCGCTGCCGTTTACTCGTGGCAGGTAGACGCGGCACGACCGTTACGTGTTAGTACCGCGCTCGCCTCTGAGCTGCGGCTGTCAGACAAAGGCTTTCGCGACGCCTGTAGCATGTTGTGCTAGCCGGGTGACGCATGCGACGTCTTCTTTTGAATGCGTTCGTTCATTTTTTTGCAGCCCTGATGTGATTACGTATCTGTAGACATTGTTTGAAGGGATAAGCCTAGGGATAGAGGTGAAAACTAACCGGTTGTTTTACTTTAGTGCTTTCAGCGTCGCTGGACCTGAGCCCCATCCTTATAAAAAGGAAGGAGCCAATCAAGATTTGCAGCACGCCTCTAACTCAAAGGGGGAATCACCAATTTCCTGCTATGGGAGAAGGTTACATAAAAATTCATCAGTTTGCTTACAACAATCTATAGAAACTTTCTCGGGACTGCTTGTAAACTCTTTTCTAAATTGCATTTTATTGTTGTCTGCGGATCCAGATACTCGACTGGAAAAAAGCCTACCTAGCTGATGTCATCCTTGTTGTAAAGCATATCAAATTTCCGCGCTTTTTTCAATTTTAGGACCGTAGGTGATGCGGGTAAGCAACTTCAGCTTCTAAGTAATTAGTATATTTGCGCTCAGACCGATGCATGATTGATTCCTCAACTACAGCTTCTCTCCTGCTCGTTCTCTCAGCGGTCTTCTAGCTAACCGATCGTGCTGAGCACAGGCTGCTATCCTTCGAGGACGAGGGACGGTACATTTTCACAGCTGGACATGTCCTTGTATCAAAAAATGAACTACAACATTATGTTCTTTCTTAGCGCATTATTTCTTTCGCGTTTCATAACTTCGTCAGACAACTTCTTTCCAGCTGTACTTGAACATAGCATCAACTCAGTAGTTACAGTTGTGAGAGGCAAAATTAAAACGGAGGAAATTATTTCCATGATGGATCGATAAAGATTATCCACCACCCGAATCTGTATCAGCTATTAATTGGGGTAAATTACTAATTTCCTCCCTCAGCTTTTCGTACATAAAACTTGCCAGCTGAGGGCACGCAAGTTCTTTCTGGAAGCGTGCAAAACCACTCTGAAGACATCCAAACTTTTCAACCAATTGGTGTCCACCCCACACTTCACCCGTCCTGTGCTCACCAGTGAAAATTCGTGGTACGACCGCATTTTTGTTCCTGTTTTCAAGTGAGAACACTTCCTCGTTGGAAAAAGTGAGGCGAAGCACAAAGTCGTCAGGCTTAGCTTGGTACACAGTTGTCTCGGCGTCCTGCGTCGTCGAAGCTAGATTTCCAGATCCAGAATCTTGTTTGGGCGCGTCTTGCAGAATTTCTGAAGAGCATGCAGTAGATGCTCCATGAAGAACGTACTTTCGCAATTTTCGTAAATCCTCGGTGTTCGCGCCAGGCAAGCTTACGATTCCAGCAGCCCCCGGCTGCAGGTCCCAAGCCTGATAGTCCGCTACCCGCTCCTTAAAGATCTCAAACTGTGAACGCAGTCGCGCCATAAGTTGATCACGACAGCGGTTCACCGCAACTAGGCGGCTTCCTGGGCGCAAGCGCTTCTGCCGTAGTACGCTCTTCGAAAGAGCCGGCACGACACCGCTAAGGGAAATTTTCGTGATTATCACCTTGCTGTCCAAAAAGGTCTTTTTCGGAGTAGCTTGGAAAACTTCCTCTGATGTATTTACCCGCGGGCCACTATCTTCGGACTTCCCTGCGGCGCATGCCATCAAATCGACGGCACCCGCACTAGTGCCATTGGCGTTATCAGCGTACGCACCTTCATTTTCAGAAGCTGCAGTGCTAGGTACATCGTCCACATCAAGAAGCAGAGATCTATTTTTGTATCCCCCAGCATCCTTTTCAGTAACAACAGGACAGAGCGCTGTCTCTGTCCGCAGGACAAGACCCAGAGAAATCTTACCGGGGGAGAGCCGCAATTTAAAAAAATTCCATGCACTCAGCGTGACTTCGAATTCGTCAGCCACGTTCATCACTCGATCATCCGTTAGCGCTGTTGTACAACCGGTGTCTTTTTGTTTTTCGCTATCACTATAAGCAGCAACGGTTCGAGTCCACCACTCGCATACCTCTGCAGGTGTGAGAAGCCGCAGGTCACTTCCAATGTACGAATGACGTCCGACTTTATTCAAGTTTTGCTCCTCCTCTGCTCGCCTGCTCGTTTCATCTATCGGGGTACCCTCTGGACTAGCAAATGCAGTGCCACTTTTAGATTGTTCCTCTGCCGTTTCCTCATCCAAGTGGGCTATTCCCGGGACTAGCATTTGTTGAATTTCTGTATCCTGTGTGCTTGCCACGTTCGAGCAGTGCTCCAGGGTGTCCATCGCGTGCTCAATCTGCGTTGCTCCTAGAGACACAGTTGCGATCAACACCAAGTTGCAGTCCGATCCCAAAACATCCGCACGCAGAAGCTGCGTCAACTTTGATTCCCTCACTGGTCCGGGAGCTACGACTTGTTGTGGAGGAGGTTGAGGACTTTGGTGACAGTCGTGTGAAGCTGTTGACTCTGCTTTCTCTTGCCTTGCCCGGAGACAGTGCTTCAACACCATAAGGCTTCGATTGATTTCTCGCGCCTCCTGTGAGCGCTGTGGGATATGCTGGGCCTGGTCTGCAGCCCATTCGCTTCCCGCAAGATCTCATAATTAGAGCAAATCCCTTGGTCGACGAGACCAGCATAAGCGGAATTTTTGTAATTATCTACACTATGTATTCACGCTGGATACAACGAACTCGCCCTACTAAACTTAAAAATGGGACCAGATTTCAACATTCGCGTTTGTTGAAACCGCAATCTTAGCAACGGCCATAAACAAGTGTCACAACCAACCTGTGTGAGTCAGGGTCCTCGTCTCCGCCCCGAACTTCTAGGCGCATAATCAAATGCGACCGCGAGCTCGAATCATGCACACTTGTCTGTTCGGTGCGACGTACAGCGAAACAGTGCTTTTCTAGATCGTTCACTAATGCGCTAGCTTCATTCTTGAGAGGGCCATCCTCGGCTCCGTCTTCATTCTGATCCTGTGTTTGTTCTACGTGAGAGAACTGAAACTCCTTTTCAAGTAGGGTCTTCGAGCGCTCGCCGCACACCTCTGTCGCCAGTATCTTCACTGCCCGTCGACCACCACAAGCACGACCTTTCATGTTCGTCTTCTCCAACTCAATCATTGATGAAGACGAAAATAATATCTGCGTAGCCAAGAGACAACACACGCCGCGCAGGGTGTGGGTCTTGCCACTACCCGTTTGCCCGAATGCGATGATGCCAACTTTCTTTATCGTGTGCGGGTTCCCTATTTCCGTAGTAGTTGCAGCAACTCTTCCACCTTCTGGTGCAAGAGCTTCAGCTTCATCTTTGATATCAATTTCTTTTGCAACCATTCCCTTCGCCGTTAAAGAGGTCAGCAGCGGCCGGAGACACGCGTCGAACAGCGCCTTGGTGTCCTTTTCCGGACCAAACACATGGTCGAAGCCAGGGTAGTGGCTGCTCTCTACGTACATGTGCTTGCCGTCGAGTCGTAGCTCGCACCGGTGAGCCGCAATCCTGCGCTGCCCACAAGAAATCGCTTCGAAATCGCCTCGAGTGCATTCTTGTGGAAGCAATGGTCGAGCTCGAGCGACCACACACAGCGCTCCCAAACGACGAGAGCCCGATAAGCCATGATTTCCGGTACGGGTGTTGTCCGGAAGAACTTGTGGTGGTAATTCATCAGCATTGATCTTGTTCTCGTTGATCTCTTCTTTTTGCCGAGACGTCGAGAAAGTGCACGCCTGCTCTTCCTCTTGCAACTGCCTGTTCAATTCTGTGAGGACGGGCGCGAAAAACGGCCGCAATCTCGGGCGAAACTCCCTGCGCCGTTGAGTTGTGGGCTTCTCGGGAATGCCGTATGCGGCGCCCATCTTCTTCCACCTCTCGTCACAAATCAAAACTGTGGACAACAAAACAACAATAGAAAAAAATTGAAACTAAAAAAACCACTAGATTGTTCTTTTTATCGACTAAAGACACAGCTTAGTAGAACTATAGTTTATGTATGAGGATCAACGATCGATATTTCCGTACGTAAGCCGATGCGTTAAGTCGCGATTGACTGCATGACTCCAGTATATCAAGACAGACTTGTGCTTGGTGAATGCCAGGTTGAGGTACATCTTGTCCGCGCAGGTTGAGGTACATACATCTGATGCAGTGAATGCCTAGGGCCAAAGCCTGCATATCATAGTCTATCATGTATCCCTCTCTCGCCATCTCGCTCCAGTATCAGGGTAGACCATTCTCAAAAGAGAAATAATATCATAAAAACAATCTTCTGTGGGCGAATCCTGCAGCTGAGAAGCGCCCGCTCCAATGCAGCAAGTATTTACTTGAGTACATTTTTGTCTTTTTTTCCGAAGAAAATAATTCTCAGTACAGAGTAGTCTCGTCTTGCTCTTCCTGCTAACTAGTAGGTGCTTTCCTCACAGAAAGAAAGCCAAAAAGACCAAGAAGCCAAAAGGAAATCCAAAAAGCCAAAAAGACCACGTTGCAGCACCGGGCAGAAATAAAGACGAAGACCAGCAGCAGCATGTAATTCTAAATATATAACATGTCATCTGATGGAGACACTATGAAGAAAGCAAAGCTTCGCTTTAAATCTCAAGGGTAAGTTCCTTATCTATTAATGCCTGTTCCAAAAATTGCATCAGCAAGTCGTGGTCCGCACCTTCCCGACCTTCTCCATCTGCTCTAATAACGTAATTCATAAGCATTTCGCGTGCTTCCTCCCGACTTTTCGGGTCCTTGGGCACAAGCAAATTTGCAACCTCGACACCAAGCTTGCCACATTCGCTCTCGTCTTCTTGCAAGGCGGCGATAACACCAAGAGTTTCGTCGTCCTCATCAAAATTATATAGGAACTGTGTATCCGCGTGGACAGACGATCCGGCGGCAGCATCTTGCGCGACGGCGCGTAGTGCTAAGTGGCGAGCGACGTTCCAAGAGGCTCCCGGATCCTTCTTGTGCTTCCTGATCAGATACTTCAACCAAGATCGCAATATCTTGAAACGGCGACCGACGTCATTGGCGCCCACGTTCATATGACGTTTCCACTCTGCGAGCCCCTCTTCTTGTGCTTTCACGTCTTCGACATCGCGCTCATCGGCGAAATCAACATATCTTTCTGCTGTATCATTCGAGCTCACAAGTTTATCCCGATACCTGTAGTTCTTCGCAAATTGGAAGTCAAAATTTCTTACGCACAAAGAGCACCACACAATATGCGTCTGCAAACAAATGCCTGAAAAACGTTTGGGCGTGTCGAAGCAATCCATTCGCAACTCATATCATATTCGAGCAATAGTAAGACACTACGACATCAGTCAACCTAAGATCTTATTCGCACTCCGCTCAGGAAAAGTCATGCTGTTCTACTAATTAATTCCCTCGGAATAGGGCCGCTTCTTCTAGGGAGCAATTGCTTGAGGTACGCAAAACTGGTCGAGTAGTGCAGCTTTCATTGTTGTATAGTATTAGCCTAGACTTATCTTGGAACCCGGCGCACCGGATCAAGGTTTTGAAAGCAACTAATTGTACTTAGAAAAAAAGCTCTATGAAGTAGAAGAGGGTGGTACTGCCTCTCCATATGCAGGCCACGCCTCCAACTCTGCAGATTCTGTCTGTGGTCAGCTAATGCATCCTCTAGCGTCCCCGACGTATCCATAATGTGGGTCAGAAAATTTAACTCCCCATTGGGGAATCGCAGATCTAAATGTTGGTCGAGTACTTCGGTGAAGAACAATCCTTGTCCTGATGATCGTGAAAGAACGCCTCTGGCGGGGTCTTCGTCTGCTCCCGTCGGTGGCTTCTCGGTTCTACTTGTACTTCCATTTAGAGAGAATTCTGCGGTGGATGGAAGACCATTGGGCTCGTCCCCACGACCAAAGTGCTCTGCCCTGAGCTTCGGCACAATCCGGAATATAATCGCCAAGAGATCCAAGTCTCCGAAACCCAAATCTTCTTGCAAAAATTTGACCCACTTCTGCAAGATGAAAAAAAAATCACTTCCTCCGAGTAATTGTTATCAGCCTGGAAGCCAATGGACACGTCAAGGAGCTCGAGTATTACAGCCGGCAAAGACACTCCTAATGGGCCAAGCTCATCCGGACTTTTTCCTATTGCCTCTTCTATCAATATTGCCTCAGGCGAACGATTCTTGTTACTTTCGTGAAAGTAGGTTAAATCGAGCAAGGACTTACGCGGAACTTGTAGGTCAGCCGGCTTATTTTCTTGCGAGAATATTGCTGGTGAAAAGCCGTCGTAATGAGAGTGATCCGAGCTTGAGATAAGCGTTTCTTGAGAAATCCTCCTTCCTGTGAGAAAATTCTTCCAATATGAAAAAACGTTCCGGTACGCTGCAGCACCCTTCGCGACGTCTACAAGAGCGAACTCACGTTTATTAACGATCACTTTCCAGCGATTTAGTATGGAGATCGCCGCGTCAACAACTTCTTCGGCGCGCGACGACAGTTGTTTTTCCATGTTGGTCACACGGGTTTTTCTCTGTTCTTGTACTCCAATGTACGGGCGAGACGCTCTCTTGTCGTCCTCTAACATCGACGTCAGAGGAAATGCGTGTTCCACGATAAGGCGAGCGAACTCAAGAAACGCCTTGGCAGAATCTTCTGACGGGTCGAAACGGGACGTCGCTCGCATACCGGAGCATATCGCACGCACGAACTCCTCTACCATGGGGGTCTCCAACCTATCGTCGCCGTTCGACTCGGCGACGAGCCCCTTAAAAATGGAATTGCGGACCGATAGACCCCACTTTGCTCCCTTTTCATCCAAGCATTTCTTCGCGGTTTTTGAATTGACCGCCTCCTTGGCAGTAGCAAGCAAGGCCGCACTGCCATGAGGCCGCACTGCCTCATCAAGGAATGCGTGAACCTTCTCCTCCAGACCTCCATGAGACAGTAGTGGCAGTAACCCTCCTCGATAACCTTCACAGGCTGCCGCGAAGCTACACTGCCAGACGGAGCAAAAAACGCACCATCGCGCTAAGAAAAAGCCGCGTCGGCTCTTTCTTGGCACAGACGATAGCATTTTTGAACTTGACAGGAACAGGACCATATGCAAATAACTTCTTTCAACGTTCTTGTTAAGACGATAGGTTCTTCTCAAGATGGATTTAAGTTCGCCGATCCTTCTCCCACGACGTATTCGATAAAATTCAACAATAAATATGCGATGTTGTCCAAAAAATCAATTATTATAAGTTGATAGATAAAAAACATAACAAAAAAAAAATCTATATTATTAATCTAAAAAAAAATCTATATTATTAATCTATATTATTAATCTATATTATTAATCTATATTATTAATCTATATTATTAATCTATATTATTAA